GGGCTCCTCCAGGTGCCGTCGGCCAAACAATGTCGGCTGTCGGCCCCTAGGGGGAGAGCCTTCTCTGTGGGGGCACCGACGATCTGGAATGAGCTCCCCCCAGAGATACGGAGGATTCCGGATCTGCGCACCTTCCGCCGCGAGTTGAAGACGCTTTTGTTTCATCAAGCTGGCCTCGCCTAAATCTCCTCCCTTCTAAAGTGTAAATTCTAAATTTTTAATGGATTTTAAAATATGGGTATTTTAAATTGGGTATTAATTCAGCCAAATTTATTTAATTCATTTTATTCGATTTTAAATTTTGTATATCTATGTGTTTTATTTCATGGCTGTGCACCGCCCTGAGTCCTTCGGGAGTAGGGCGGTATAGAAATTCAATAAATAAATGATGCAAACCTGCTCCAGCAGCCTCTTCTTTTCTGCCATGTCCTGCTTTCTACTATGATGTTGGCTTTGTCCTGTCATCAGCCTACTGAGACAGAATTAAGCTTAGCCTTTCCCACTTGTTCCTACCCTATCTAATCTCAAGATACATAAAACTAGTTAGTATATCACATGAAGTTAGGTAAGGGAGTTCCTGGCCATAACAGTCACCTGCTTTGTAAAAGATCACCAGATTACCTGCCAATTTGTCCGGAGAAGTGCCACTCCATCCAGAACCTAAAGACAAATTCCACGGTACTAGAAGAAAAAGGAACTCACAACCATTTGGTCTTGTCATGACTGAGAAGCCTGTTCCTCCCCATCCCCAGTTTCCAAGCACTGGGTTAAGATCTTGAAAGCATTGCTTACACAACCAGGGATTGAGATGTGTAACTGGATATAATCAGCCTATTGAGAATACTTGACACAGTTGAGGGAATGACCTTCCCCAATGATTTCGTGTAGATGTTAAAAGGACAGATAAAAGCATTGAGCAATATGGTAATCCGCAATTGCAGGCCATAGGCTTGACCTCTCGATCTCATGAACAGCAGCTGAAATAGTCTGGATAGAGGAGAAGGGAACAACTGCAACATGATGTCTCCTATATCTGACCCCCACCCCCAATCCAGAAGGATATCATAATTGTGGTGCCAAAAGTTGCTGAGAGATGAAAAAGAACCAGGACAGTTGCATCATTCTATCTCTGTCAATAGTAATCAACAAGTAAAATCAATGCCATCACTATTATGCCTTTGCCTGGAACAGGTCCAGGTAATCCACATTTGCCAGGGCCCTTGAAGCTGAAATCTGATCACCTTCTCAAACTTTCCCCAGAAAATTAAGTTGGAGAATGGGCAAACATTGTCCAGAACTGTTGGATCCAGCAGTGGCCTTGTTCAAGATAGAAATGCCTCATCCCTCAAGGAAGCAGTCATCATCTCATGGACAAACCACATTTGTGACCCAGGAACTCTTGGCTACCAGGATGGGCATTAATCTAGCAGACAAGGGGTTAGATAAACACCCCCCAAGGATCCTGGCCACTTCCTAGGAGTTATATTTCTCACATAACTCATACTGTCTCAGTCAATTTACAAGGATTCGGCCAGGCAGAACTAACTTGAAGCAGATCCAAGCGACTTTATTTGACACCTGTCTAGAACAGAGTTCCCCAACATTTCAGGCTTTGCAGACCGGCTGGTGATGAGAGGGGATGGCTCCATACAAGTGGTTGGCAAGCGTGTGTGCAGCTCCATTTGCACAAGCGGTGTGCACGTGTGCTCTCCCACTGCTCATGCAAGTGAGAATGCGGGTGCATGCACGTGCACTCACTGGCTGTTTCCGTGGCCCAGTTGCAAACAGCTCACAGATTGGGGATTTCTGGTCTAGAATATTTTATTTTTTCCATTGTCCCTGAAGACATTATGGTGAGCCCTCCCTCCCCAGCAAAGAATTGGGCCCCTGACTGGATGTGAGGAGAAAAATAAGCTTTTGCTGCTCTTATTACCACAGTATTTTACACATTTAGTTGGATTAACACTTTTTTTTTTTCAACAGTGGTGCCCTCTTCCCTCTTCATAAGTGCAGTCACCTTTACGGTTTTCCTTGTTCAGTTTTTTCCCTTGGCTGCATCTCCAGTTTTTTAAACTGCGTTAGTGATACAATCCTCCACTTTTCTCAAAATTGTCAGTTCTTGCCTACACACATATATATACAGGAGACTAACAGATGCGTTGATCAGGAGAGCATCTCATGCAACTAGCTTCTGTTCAGAAAAAGTCAGGCCGCTACTCTGGATTATCAGACCAAGATATGGAACATTTTTGATGAGCTTGGAAAAGACAAAGAAGTATTAAAGGCCAAAATGATGGCAAATGATAGACAAGCTGAAGATAGATAAGTACTGTAGAAAAACAAAAGAAGAATCTGCTACCCTTGTATTTACTATTACTATTCCTGCTCCTACTAATAGTAGTAACAGTTTCTTTTCTCATGCTTAGTATTACTGTCTGGTAATTTAGGAGAAGCAAAAGTTGATTTATTTGTAAAACAATTTGTACACAAGTTTCAACCTTGGCTGTGATCCCTAAGAAGGTGGATTCAAGTTTAGGGCAATTTGTTCCTCAATTCTTCCCCTGGCTTTCTGAGCTATTATTTTGCAATGGTGACTTCTAGGATTGTCCCGAAGGTGTTTTTTTCAAGAGGCAACTGGGCTTTCTTTGGTTTTTTTTTTTTCTCTTAAAGACATTTTGCTTCTCATCCAAGAAGCATCTTCAGGTCTGATTGAACGCTAGAGAATGGAAGGATTTACATTCCTTGTCATCTGGTTGTTATTCCTTGCTGTCGTCTGGTTGACTTCTATGCTTGGCATTAGCTTTCTTCTAAAAAACAAGGGTAGTTCTTGCATGCTTCCTACCTCTTTATTTGTGGTTTAGCCAATTCATCCTGCTGAGATTTTAAAGAACAAAACATGGGCCTTTTATAGACAGATATAGAATGACATTTTGGAAATCTAAAACTATCAAAGAGACCATCCTCTGTTTGCAACATGTTTGACCCAGTTAACCAATAACCTGGTCAGATCTCTTGATCTGCTGTGGAAGCACATAATCATGCTAATGGGAATGAGGGAACACTACTTATTTTCTCCAGAAACTAACAAATATGTCCCAGATTTGCCTTCATTCATGGACTTCACCATCATTTCTCTTCTCCGACCTGGCTGCAGGAGGCAGAAGACAAAGAAGTAAAGAAATGGCAAAAAATTCACATGGAGCTGGATTTAAGACAATTCACCGTGGCCAATTCACTCTGTCGGCTCATTCTGGACCACTCACTGTGGCAACTTGCTACAGAAGAACTCGCTGTGGGACAATTTAACACGGGATAACTTGAGAAAGGGACAAGTGAATTGTAACAGGCCTTATCTTGCTTTAGGTTTGAACCTTCTCAAATTAGAAATCCTTGAGGGTGGGGTGAGCTCAGGGGTGAAATTCAGCAGGTTCTGACAGGTTCTGGGGAACCGGTAGCGGAAATTTTGAGTAGTTCGGAGAACCGGCAAATACCATCTCTGGCTGACCCCAGAGTGGGGTGGGAAAGGAGATTTTGCAATATCTTTTCCCCAGGAGTGGGGAGGGAATGGAGATTTTGCAGTATCCTTCCCCTGCCACGCACACCAAGCCACACCATGCCCAAGCCACGCCCACAGAACCAATAGTAAAAAAATTTGGATTTCACCACTGGGTGAGCTACAATTGTATTTATCCCTTTCTTGAGTTATCCTGCATTGAATTGCCCCGCAGTGAGTTGGCTGTGGTGAGACAGTCATGGTGAGATGGCTGCAGCGAGTTGGCCAGGATCGGTGAACCATAGTGAGTTGGCCGTAACAACTTGTCCCGCTCTGCATGGAACTGATTGCATATTGAGCTAGAATCCCCACAGACCATCACCCTGTAGTGGAGACACAGTTCTCGACTCACATCATCAACACAACAAGGAGAGTGAAGAACAGACACACAAACACAATGTCTGAACAGAGTTGGATTCCTCACAACGTACATCATACATGCAAAGATAATGCCAGCGGAGAAAGGATTTCTAACGAGACCACATCGGGAGAACTCAATGCACTGCCTGGAATAAGGAAACTTCATATAGCTCACTTTCTTCCTCCACTGAACTATTTTGAGTTGGTCCCATCTTAAGAAGCACTAGTTTCTTCATCAGACAATTCTGATAGTATTTGATGTTCTCTTTTTTTCTTCCATTCAATCCTGTCCCATTCTCAAAGACTTCCTGGATAGGTCTCTGCCATTTTCTTGACAAGGTTTTTCAGAGATGTCTCGCCATTGCTTCCTTCCTAGGGCTGAGAGAGAGCGACTGGCACAAGGTCACCTAGCTAGCTTTGTGCCTGAGGCGATACTAGAACTCACGGACACCTGGTTTCTAGCCTGATGATTTAACCACTACACCAAACTTTTATTTATATGGTAATATGCAAAACCAGAGCATCATTGAACCAGCCCTGGCATCGTACAGCAGGTGCGAGAGCATCGAAAGTGGTGTCTCAATGCTGCAATAGAAGATTACCCCAAGGAATCTTACGGCTGCTTTGAGGCATGAAGGATTGGGTCCATTCATCATTTAATTTATTTATTACATTTCTGTGCCAACCACCTCACTGATAACAGTGGCTCTATATCATACAGGTGCATTAAACAGAGAAGACGAGAGTTGAGCATAAACCAGTTTTGTGTTTTTCCAGTAAGTTCTCAAAGCCTATATAAACTGCTGAGATCGATAGGCCAACTGTGATTAAAATCCAATTAATGGGCTCACTATTGTTGTTTCCTTGAGCAAAGAGGGAGAGAAAATTATTTTTGAAAAGTAGGTAATAGGTCACTGTGACACAGCCCAGCCAAAGACTTTGGACCTCTCAGCCTAGCGCCCACTCAAATTAGAAACGAAAGGCAGGATGGACTAAAGTTATTTAGATAATGGTTACCCAATTTGTCCCAGTTATGATTGCCTGACTTCTTTTATGTCTCTGCCCGCTGAGCTGACAGTCTTTCTCCCATTGGAGAGCTGGACGAAAGGGAGGGATTTAATGAGCCTGACGCTATTTTTGTATCGTTGGAGTTTAAACTTTGCCACCCAGTAGGAAAAAAAAAGATTTTGGCTGGACAGACGGAGAACGGAGAAGAAAATAACCGTATTCAACTTCGCAGCAAGGAAAACCTTTGGGATTGGAAACAATTAGCTAAACCGAATCAACACTGGAGAACACTCTCAGGAGTAGGTAAGGTGGTACAACCTCATTTTTTTCCCTCCAAATTAACTCAACGGGTTTCATCTTTGGAAACAAGTGCAGGACAAATAAGAGGACGGAGGTCAGGGCTGTGTGCGGAGAAGAGAAACATGCCCAAAGCAGTGGTACATGGAGATAAGTCTGTTAATCAGAAGGCGATAGACAAGCAAACGAACTGTAGTTTTCAGAAGACCAGCCTCAGATTAGAAGAACCCCCAAACTACTCAAATTTCTTCAGCTTTTTTTTTAATTACATTTTTCAAAGCTGGATATGTCCTCTAAATTACTGGGTATAGTTGTGTTGTATTTGGGTGCAAACTGGAAGAATAAATGTACAGAGACTAAGCTTTAATTGCAAGATATCTATTGTGCCGAGAATACATTAATTGTTATTTATTAACAGAAGTTAACAGAATAACAGAGTTGGAAGGGAGCTTGGAGGTCTTGGAGTGTTGGAGCATCCACAAATTGTGAAGTTCCACTGACTAATTGTTCTAACAGTTAAGAAATTTCTCCTAAGTTGCTTCTCTCTTTGATTAGTTTCCATTCTTCACTTCTTGTCCTGCCTTCTGGTGCTTTGGAGAATAGTTTGACTCCCTCTTCTTTGTGGCAGCCCCTCAAGTATTGGAAGACTGCTATCATGTCACCCCTAGTCCTTCTTTTCACTAGATTAGACTATTAATTGAAAGTAAATATAATTTGGTTTTCTGCACATGGTTTTCCTCAAATCTTTGTGCGTGTTTCTGGAGGTAGAGAGATAAATACATCGCTGTCAATATACAGATTCATTTCTTTACACAGAAATAAAACAGATGTGTCTGATTACAAAGACGATTAGAGGACCCAAAGATGATTAGGGGACTGGAGGCTAAAACATATAAAGAATGATTGCTGGGCTTGGGTATGTCTAGTTTAATGAAAAGAAGAACCAGAGGTGACTTGATAGCAGTATTCCCATATCTCAGGGGTTGCCACAAAGAAGAGAGAGTCAAACTATTCCCCAAAGCATCAGAAGGCAGAACAAGAAGCAACGGACGGAAGCTATTCAACCTGGAATTAAGGAGAAACTTCCTAACAGTGAGGACAATTAACCAATGGAACAACTTGCCTCCAGAAGTTGTGAATGCTCCAACACTGGAAGTTTTAAAGAAGAAATTGGACAACCATTGACTGAAATGGTATAGGGTTTCCTGCCTGAGAAGGGGGTTGGACTAAAAGACCTCCAAGATCCCTTCCAGCTCTGTCATTCTATTCTATTCCATTCCATTCCATTCCAATTTTCTATTCTAATCTCAGCATCTTAATCAATGGCATACTCTGTGCACAGAGTGTGTTTCTTGACAAATCTGTCTCAGTTGTGGTTATACCTCCCATTTTTTTAAAGAAACAATATCAAGTAGTACAGGTTGCCCTCAACTTACAACCATAATGGAGCCCAGAATATGTTGAGCCACACACGAGACCAGACCCGATGTTAGGACATTTTTTCAGTGGTCATTAAGCGGACACCATGATTGATAAGTAAATGTTGCAGTTGTTAAGCCAACGCCATGGTCATTAAACAAATTATTCTATGCCTATGGCCATGTTTGTACACCACACAAATCCCAGTGACTCTTCGCCGTGGATCCCAAATTAACGAAAACATCTGGATTGAGTAATAATCAACGGTAGACCAATTGAGACAATGATAGCAGTAGTATAATAATACTGATGAAGCGATCATCAAAGGAATAATAATAATAATAAACCATCACAAAAATACAGTAACCCCTACATTCTGTATGGCTGTGGAGTGTAGGACCAGAGCTGATATTCAGCCAGTTCAGACCGGTTCGCCCGAACCAGTAGCGGAAAGTAAGTGAGTACCACCCCTATGTAGGATCAGAAGAAGAGACTAAAACTACCAGGAGAGAAATCAAGGCTAAACATCAGGAGGGTTGACTATGACTATAGGAGCTGTCAATCACTGGAATCGACTGACACCTGAGCAAGTAGCAAGTTCTCCCTCACTGGAAGTCTTCAGACAAAGGCCGGATAGCTCTGAGCAAGGGGCTGAATTAGATAACCTCTAGGATCCCTTCCAGCTCTACGGTTCCAGGTGCTCTCCAGAACAGCTCCATTTTAGCTTACTTCTGGAATGGGTCTATGACAATTCGCCGCAGCCAACTCGCTGCAGCTAATATGCTGCGGGACGATTCGCTGCAGAATAAGAGTTACATTAATATCAAAGAAATGGTGGAATAGAATCATTAAAGAAAGAATGTGAATGGCAAAAATTACAATATTATTTTATTTATTTTGAATCATTAAATTGAATTGTCAAATTGTCTCGCGGCGAGTTGGCCATAGCGAGTTGGCTGTTGCGAGTTAGTCACAATGAGTTGGCTGTGGTAAATTGTCCCATTCCGTTCTGGAATAGCGTAATGGTAGTATGTCCGTGGAGATTCTCCATCATCCAGAAGTGTTTCTTCCAAAGGGAACTGGACTTTCTTGATTATTTTTTTCTTTGAAAACATTTCGCTTCTCACGCAAAAAGCTTCTTCAGCTCAGGTTCCGTTCAACCGAAGAAGCTTCTCGGATGAGAAATGAAACATTTTCAAAGGAAAAACAAAAACAAAATCTGATTTCCTTCTGGAAAAAGCACCGTTGGGAGTGTAATGGAAGGCTCGAACCTAAATAAAGACAATTCCATGAGTCTAGCTTCAAGTCCCTTTAGAGTACAGGTAATCCTTGACTTGCAACCGTTCATTTAGTGACCATTCAAAGTTACAATGGCCCTGAAAAAAGTGATTTCTGATTGTTTTTCACACGAGCATTGCAGCATCCCCATTGTCATGTGATAGAAACTCACATGTTTCACAACTGACTCATATTTATGTTGGTTGCAGTGTCCCGGGAGTCATGTGTGATCCCCTTTTGCGACAAGCAAAGTCAATGGGACAGCCCGATTCCCTTAACAACCATGCTACTAACTTAGCAACTGTGGCAAAAAAGGTGGTAAAATGGGGGCAAAATTCACTTAACAGATGTTTTGCTTAGCAACAGAAATTTGGGGGTCAATTGTGGTTGTAAGTCGAGGACTACTCGTACTTTATGAACACAGGGTAGAGCCAAAAGCTTCTCTTGGGACAGGTAAACTGGCAGACCTTTCTGGTAGGACATCCTTCCTTGAAGATAAACTAAGTTTCTAGTCCCCATGGTCATAAATGAAGAGGCAAAACAGGAATCAGTCTTTGAATAAGTGATTTATCTGTTTGTTTTGTTGGGCTTTATTTACATGAATTGCTGGAGAATTAGAGGTGGTTTTTTTTAACTAGTATCAATTTATTTTCTTGGTTTTCTTTGTCCTTGTTTATTTTATTACTTGTTATTTTACTTTCATTTTGTCTAAGCTTCGTTTTTATTTCTTCTTTCTAAAATTCTTTTTCTTCTTCTTTCATTTCTTCTTTTCTTCTTTTCTTTCTTCTTTATGAAACTTGGTTGTGAACTGCCTAGAGCTGCCCCATGGCAAGATAGGCAGCAAATAAGTTTAATAATAAGAATAATTTCGGGTAAGACATTCCCCACCCCACAAAGATGCAAGGAGTTTATCTGCCTGCAAAAATAAAAGTAAAAATCGGCCACCAAGTTTTAGCTCTCTAATATTAATACCGTCCTTATAATACTCTATTCAATAATACCGAAGTCTCTGAAAGATTTCCAGAAGATTCTGTGTTTTTCCTGGGATCTTTCATCAAACTAAATGGATAAAGAGACGTTTGTCTCAAAGGTCCAAGCTCCGGACTTAAACCAACATCAGGATGTCACACAATCCGGGTTTATTAAACTGGATTCTCGGCACCCAGTGAGTTCCGTCAACAAGTAATAAGGAATGAAGTTAGCGCTGGGAGCCTCCAATTGAAGAAGCCTGAAGAACTGAAGGAGCTTCTTGGATGAGAAGCAAAACGTCTTCAAAGAAAAAACAGAAAGTCCAGTTGTCGTTTGAAATAGCACCTTTGGGATGTCCAGAAGAGTCTGTGTTTTTTGCTGAGACCTTTCATCAAACGAAACAGATAAATCCCAAAGGTGCTTTTTTTTTTCAAGGGGCAACTGGACTTTCTGTTTTTTCTTCGAAGACATTTCGTTTCTCATCCATGAAGCTTCTTCAGCTGTGACGGGATGGCGGGGAATGGAAGGATTTATACTCCTTGCAGACAGCTGTTCATTTGCATCCTTTTAGTGAGTCGTTGAGGCTACCTGGAGGTTTATCTGTGTCCTCAGGGTCACCTGAGTGGTGCAAGTGGGTATGGAGCCTTCTTGGAACTGCTTTAAGGACCGTGTTGTAGATTGGAGACAGATGGTGCTGTATCCCTCCCTCTCTCTTGAGAGAGGGCTGTTAAATTTGGACATAGATGGTCCTCTCTGTCCAAAATGTGCATGCTTTATAGGCTACAAATCATCTGTTCTGTGACCATAACTTCAGCTGTAACGGATTGGTCATAGTGTGTACTACCTGTAATTTAACAGTAATCTGGGTGGAGTCATGCACCACAGCAACTATACTATAAACCTGGGGAAATAAGTCTCAGTTACTCCTTTCCCATAACCTGCTAGGCCAAACCCGTAAACTTTATCATGGCATAAGGTGACATCTGAGTTGATGCATTGATTTGGTTGGTTGGTTTGGTTTCCATTCACAAGTTCAACTAACTCCATGGTTTAACTACCCTGTTTGTTGGGTCCACCCAACTGTGCCTAGCAGCTGCTCCCAACCCTCTAACTCAGGGGTGTCAAACTCAAGGCCTGGGGGCCAGATCCGGCCCATGGAGTACTTAGATCTGGCCTGCAGGGGTGCTCTGTGAAGGACCGGCCTGCGGTGCCTCTGCCAGCGAAAATGGAGCTTGGGGGCGGCCACGGATAGCCCTCCGGAGCTCCATTTTGGCGGGCAAAGGGGTGCAGGAGGCTGTGGCAGCCGAAAACGGAGCTCGGGAGCCCGTTTTCGCTGGCAGAGCGCTCAGGCCACCCCAACATGAGTGACATTGAGCTGGCCATTCCCACCCCGGCCATGCCTATCCCAGCGAGGTCATAAACACAACCCTGATGTGGCCCCCAATGAAATCGAGTTTGACACCCCTGCTCTAACTCGTCTTCTCTCTCTTGTAGTCATGGCCTGCCCCAATCTTGACGGCATGGAGTTGCTGGATCTCCTCTTTGACGGGCAGGATGGAGTCCTTCGCAATGTCGAGCTGGGATCCTCAGAGGCCCCTTGGATGGCACAGGAAGGCAGGGTGAGCAGATGGCACCGGGATGAGAAAGGGTGGGGGGGAAGGCAGCAGCTGAGCAAGACGTAGGAGAATAGGGTTAACTGCTCCGTTCTGGCTAATAGTATTGAAAATATTCTATGCTCGGAGCAAAACTTAGTAGCCTGGCCCTTGAAGATTAATATCACAAACAAGAGGAACTTAAACAATAGTGGTAGAATGGAATGGAATAAGAATAGAGAGGAGAGGAGAGGAGAATATTGGAATGTAATATTGGTGGTGCTATAATAAACAGAATTTCTAACAAAAACAACCAAGCTCAGAGAGCACCCTTCAGAGGGATACCAGCTTAATTCTGGCCTTAAATTTTACTAGGCATTGTCCTTATTAGGTATTGCCCTCTTTGCAATTAAGACAGAAAACTGAGAATATCCTGTTTCAGCACTTACATTGCCTGGTTAAAACATTCAGAATGATATGAATGGTTTATGTAAGATTTCAAGAGGAAATTAGTTTTGGGTTTGCTCTGTTGAAGCTTTGTTTGCTTGTAGGAAGGTTGCTTTTTCACGGAGAACCTCTCCATTCTGTTTGTAGGATTTGCTGAACCCTCAAGAGAACGATGACTTCATCAACTCCATCTTAGGAGCGGCAAACACCGTCCTAGATTCTCCAAGCTGGTCTCCAGCTGCCAGTGACAGCGGCATATCTGAGGATCCAAATTCTGATCAGCTGGACAGCCCTCCACATTACGTCCCAACCGGAAGCCCAGAGGCCTACTCTGATGGAAGTTCAGCTGGTGACCTGGCCTACGTCCCGTGTCAGGACTCCTGTCAAGCCTTACCTGTCCTAAAAGGACCAGCCACCGAGCTGAGAGAGATGGATGTCTCCATAGACTTCAGTGAGTGCCTTGTTTTTCCTTCCTTGAATGTAAAACCAGGTTGAACTACCATCTCTGGGGCACTTGAGAGAAGTGTCTATGGAGATTCTCAGACATCCAGGCCATGGATGTCTGAGAATATATAAATAATAGATACAAACTCAAGGTAAACCGTTCCAAACTCGATTGTAGAAAATATGACTTCAATAACAGAGTGGTCAATACCTGGAATGCTCTACCTGACTCTGTGGTTTCTTCCCCAAAACCCCAAAACTTTAACCTCAAACTGTCTACTGTTGACCTCATCCCATTCCTAAGTGGTCTGTAAGGGGCGTGCATAAGAGCACCAGTGTGCCTACCGTCCCTGTCCTAATATTCTTTTTTACTTACTCTTTTTATTTATTCAAATTATGCTTATACTTTTACCTGTTATCTTATATATGCTTGACAAATAAACTTATGATTATGAAATGATTATGGTTGTCCCAAAGGTGCCTTTTCAAGAGGCAGCTGGAGTTTCTGGTTTTTCTTTGAAGACGTTTTGTTTCTCATCCAAGAAGCTTCTTCAGCTCTGACTGGATGGAGGGGAACAGAAGGATTTATACTCCTGGCAGACAGCTGGTCATTTGCATCCTTTTAGAGAGTCATTGAGGCCACTTGGAGTTTTATCTGTGTCCTCAGGATCACCTGAGTGATGCAAATGGGCGCGGAGCATTCTTGGAACTGCTGAAAGGACTATGTTGTAGACTGGAGACAGATAATGCTGTATCCCTCCCCCTCTGTCGAGGGTTCTCCAAGTGGCCTCAACGACTCTCTAAAAGGGTGCAAATGACCAGCTTTCTTCCGCAAGGAGTATAAATCCTTCTATTCCCCCACCATCCAGTCAGAGCTGAAGAAGCTTCTTCGAAGAGAAGCGAAATGTCTTCAAAGAAAAACCAGAAAGTCCAGTTGCCGCTTGAAAAAAAACACCTTTGGGAAGGGCTCTCACACCGTGTCCACACATGGAGAACCTTAAGCATCTGGTCATTAGTGTGAACAATAGCTTTCATCAGCCCCACTCAATCATTTGTCCAGAATGGTATAGGATCTCCCGTTGGTGAAAGGGGTTGGACTAGAAGACCTCCGAGATCCCTTCCAACTCTGTTATTGTGGTAAACAGAGAAGGAAATGAGAATCACAGCACAGAATACACAGGGTAGTATGATATCATTACATATGATACATGTAGACAGATTATGGGTAATTGCCCCCAAAGAACCAAGATGTATAAATTGGCTTCCACATACAGGTAGTCCTTGACGTATGACCACAACAGAGCCCCAGATTTATGTTGCTAAGTGAGGCAGTTGTTAAGTGAATTTTTGCCCCGTTTTACGACTTTTGCTAACATTTGTTAAGTGAATCTGTGCGGTTGTTACATTAGTAACACAGTTGTTACATGAATTTGGCGTCCCCACAGGCTTATCAAACAACAACAAAAACCACAACCACAAGAATTCAGATTACCAAGTAACCAGAAAGGCCTGACTGACCTCCGAGGAGTGGCTCTCAGTCAGATAAGATAATAATGTACTGGAAGAACAAATCTTATCTGCTCCAAAGCAATTTCCATGTACACTGAAAAGCTGGATTTTTTTTTTCCTTCCCTAATCACCAGGTTCCCTCCTTAATTTCTTTGCAGATATGTGGGCTGCTGGTTTTTATCCAGAGGAGAGGCAAGTAACAGATGCCACCCATCAAAACCCACCCTCCTGCACGCTCACAATTAAGGATCTCCTCCTTTCAAACAACTCTGAAATGGCAAGTATTTCAGTCGTAATAACCGTGATGGGAATATCTAGAAACCCAGTTCATTTTTTTACAGTTACTTCCAGAGGTGGGCGTCACATACAGTGACAACTGGTTCACCCAGCACTGGAAATATGAGCATGCGGGGGTGCACGCTCACTTTGCTCGCGCACATGCCGTCCACGCATGTGTGCAGTGTCACAAAACACAGGAATTTGCTTGCACGTGCCATCCAGACATGTGTCCGGTGTCAAACAATACAGCGATATAGGACAGGATTGCGCCTGGGCGGGGGCGGACCCACCTGCAGGTCGCAACTATCAGTTCACCCAAACCGGCAGCAGCTGGTTATTTCTAAGTACACTTGTACATGCTTTCTACTGAATCAACCTGACTCAGGAAAAAGTAAACAGAAGAGCCACAAACATGATTAGGGGACTGGAGGCTAAAACATATGAAGAATGGTGGTTCCTGGCTCAATAGCAGTAACTGTGAGAGGGATTTTGTAGTGGACAATCACTGAACCAGCCGTGTGCGGCAGCTGCCAAAAAGGCCAATGCAGTTCTAGGCTGCATTAACAGAGGGATAGAATCAAGATCACGTGAAGTCTTAATATCACTTTATAATGCCTTGGGAAGGCCACACTTGGAATAGAGCATCCAGGTTTGGTCATCACAATACAAAAAAGATATTGAGTGATGGCTAATCTTTTTGCTGTCACGTGCCAAAAGTGGGGGGAGCGTGGGGGGGGGTCGCACCCGCGTATGCCCACGCCCATAATTCAATGCCCCCTGCCCCCCGTTCATGAGCCCGTGACCCCCCCGTGCAACCCCCGCTTTTGGCACGCGATGGCACGGTGGGCCCAGTAAGCTGGTTTTTCGCCCTCCCCAGGCTCCAGAGCCTTTCTAGGAGCCTGGGGAGGACGAAAACAGCTTTCCCCACCTATCTGGAGACCCTCCAAAGGCCGGAAACAGCCCCTTTCCCGATTTCTGGTGGGCCCGAAAGGCCCAAAAATCAGTTGGCTGGCACATGCATGCTCACTAGAGGTGACTAGGGCAATGCTCGTGTGCCCACAGATATGGCTCCACGTACCACATGGAGCACGCCTGCCATAGTTTCGCCATCACGGCTCTAGTAGATCAAGTAAGTATTAAAAAAACTAAATCACAGAAATGTATGCCTCCCTATTTTTATAAGTTTATAAAACCATGTCTGCGGAGGTGCGGTTCCGTGTCACACCCACCCTGGGCCTACCCCACACCCCCACCCGGCCCTCCAAGGTTAAACTCAATCCTGATGTGGCCCTCAATGAAATTGAGTTTGACACCCCTGTTCTAGAAAGAGTGCCGAGAACAGCAACAAAGAGGATTAGTGGACTGGAGGCTAAAACATATAAAGAACGATTGCAGGAACTGGATACGTCTAGTTTAATGAAAAGAAGGACTAAGGGTGACATGATAGCAGTGTTTTAATATTTAAGGGGTTGCCATAAAAATGAAGGGGTCATACTTGCTTTCAAAGACCCTTGGTGGCGCAGCAGACTAAAGTGCTATTAAGTAGCACCAGCTGCCTGCAATTACTGCAAGTTCAAATCTCACCAGGCTCAAGGTTGACTCAGCCTTCCATCTTTTCGAGGTAGGTAAAATGAGGACCCGGTTTGTGGGGGCAATAAGCTGACTTTGTATAAAAAAGAACATCGCTTGGGCGGTGGGGGCGAAAGCCCTACTAAGAGGTATATACAAAAAAGTATGAAGGCTATTGTTTAACACATTGTAAGCCGCCCTGAGTCTCCGGAGAAGGGCGGAATATAAATCGAACCAATAAATAAAAAAATAAATAAATAAATAAATAAATAAATAAATAAATAAATAAATAAATAAGAAAGAAAAAAGAAAGAAAGAAAGAAAGAAAGAAAGAAAGAAAGAAAGAAAGAAAGAAAGAAAGAAAGAAAGAAAGAAAGAAAGAAGAAAGAAAAAGAAAGAAAGCACTGAAAAACAAGATGACAAAGAACAAATGGAAACTAATCAAGGAGAGAAGCAACTTAGAACTAAGGAGAAATTTCCTGACCATGAGAACAATTAATCAGTGGAACAACTTGCCTCCAGAAGTTGTGAATGCTCCAACACTGGACACTTTTTCAGAAGAGATTGGACAACCATTTGTCTGAAAGGGAATAGGGTCTCCTGCTTGACCAGGGGGTTGGACTAGAAGACCTCCAAAGTCCCTTCCAACTCTATTATTCCATGTTCTATGATGGGGATATCTAGAAACCCCCCCTTTTTTTTAAAATGGCTATTTCATTCTCCCCTTGTGACGTTCTAGCACCAGCAGGCTATCACCTCCTCAGTGATGAGACAAGTCCCAGGGACCTGCCAGGAGCTGGTGCTGACCGAGGATGAGAAAAAATTGCTGGCTAAGGAAGGTGTGATGCTTCCGACCCAGCTGCCTCTCACCAAGGTAAGCAACATTTCGGCCAGGGCAGGGGTGAAAGGCTACCGGTTCGGACTGGTTCAGACGAACTGGTAACGATGGCGGCGGGTGGTTCGGAGAACCAGTAGTAATGGCAGCGCAAAGCTCCGCCCATCCACCCGGTTGTCGTTACTTCCTGATTTTAACCAGGAAGTAACCTGGTTTTTTTACCCTCTGCACATGCGCAGAAAGGTTTGCGCATGCACTTCCAAACCGGTAGGGAAGGTAAGTAGATTTCACCCTTGGGCCAAGGGTCTCCAACCTTGGCAACTTTACACCTTGTGGACTTCAACTCCCAGAATTCCTCAGCCAGCACATGCTGGCTGAGGAATTCTGGGAGTTGAAGTCCACAAGGCGTAAAGTTGCCAAGGTTGGAGACCCCTGATTTAAGCTGTGCTTTTTCTCAGATATAATCTTGGAAAGCAGGGCTTGCTAATCAAGTAGTCCTCATCTTACGACCACAATTGAGGCCCAAATTTTGCATCGCTGGGCAAGACCATTCTCCAGCGAGTTTTGTCCCATTTTACGATGTTTTTGCCACCGCAGTTAAGCGGATCGTGCGGCCTTTAAGGGAATTATGTCATCGTTAAGCAAATCTTGGCTTCCCCTATTGATTTTGCTTGTCGGAAGCCAGCTGAGTAGGTTACAGATGGTGATCCTATATGACCCTCTGAATAGTGCAACTGTCATAAGTACGTGCCAAGTGCCCAAATTTAGATCGTGGACCATGGGGATTGCTGCAATGGTCGTAAGTGTGGAAGCTGGTCATAAATCACTTTTTCCAGTGCCGTTATAACTTTGGGAAAGCAGGGATTGCTAATTAGTACAGTCCTTGACTTACAATGGGTATATTTCTATTACTAAGTGAGATAGTTGTTCAATGAGGTTTGACCCATTTTACGACCTTTCTTGCCACGGTTGTTAAGTGAATCACTGCAGTTGATCAGTTAGTACCATGGTTGTTAAGTCAATCTGGCTTCCCCCATGGACGTTGCTTGTCAGAAGGTTGCAAAAGGGGATCACGTGACCTTTGGAACCCTGCGACAGTCAGAAGTACGAGTCTGTTGCCAAGCATCTGAATTTTGATCATAATGATGCATGGGGATGCTACAAAAGTCGTAAGTGTGAAAAAAACGGTCGTCGGTCATTTTTTTCAGTGCTGTTGTAGCTTTGAACGGTCACTAAATGAACTGTATAGTAAGTCGAGGACTATATACAATGAGAAATTAATTGACGTACTTTTTAAAAAGAAAGGACTTTGGTCATTGCACGTCGTGTTCACAAAGAGCCTCGGTGGCGCAGCAGACTAAAGTGCTGTTAAGTAGCACCAGCTGCCTGCAATTACTGCAAGTTCGAATCTCACCAGGCTCAAGGTTGACTCAGCCTTCCATCCTTCCGAGATAGGTAGAATGAGGACCCGGTTTGTGGGGGCAATAAGCTGACTTTGTATAAAAAAGAACACCGCTTAGAGATGCCCCTGAAAGCCCTACTAAGCAGGTATATACAAAGTATGAAGGCTCTTGCTTAACGCATTGTAAGCCGCCCTGAGTCTCCGGAGAAGGGCGGCATATAAATTGAACAAACAAACAAACAACAAACAAACAAATAAATAAATAAATAAATAAATAAATAAAATAAATAAATAAAATAAATAAATAAGAAAGAAAAAAGAAAGAAAGAAAGAAAGAAAGAAAGAAAGAAAGAAAGAAAGAAAGAAAGAAAGAAAAGAAAGAAAGAAAGAAAAAAAGAAAGAAAAAGAAAGAAAGCACTGAAAAACAAGATGACAAAGAACAAATGGAAACTAATCAAGGAGAGAAGCAACTTAGAACTAAGGAGAAATTCCTGACCATGAGAACAATTAATCAGTGGAACAACTTGCCTCCAGAAGTTGTGAATGCTCCAACACTGGACACTTTTTCAGAAGAGATTGGACAACCATTTGTCTGAAGGGAATAGGGTCTCCTGCTTGAGACCAGGGTTGGACTAGAAGACCTCCAAAGTCCCTTCCAACTCTATTATTCCATGTTCTATGATGGGGATATCTAGAAACCCCCCCTTTTTTTTAAAATGGCTATTTCATTCTCCCCTTGTGACGTTCTAGCACAGCAGGCTATCACCTCCTCAGTGATGAGACAAGTCCCAGGGACCTGCCAGGAGCTGGTGCTGACCGAGGATGAGAAAAAAATGCTGGCTAAGGAAGGTGTGATGCTTCCGACCCAGCTGCCTCTCACCAAGGTAAGCAACATTTCGGCCAGGGCAGGGTGAAAGGCTACCGGTTCGGACTGGTTCAGACGAACTGGTAACGATGGCGGCGGGTGGTTCGGAGAACCAGTAGTAATGGCAGCGCAAAGCTCCGCCCATCCACCCGTTTGTCGTTACTTCCTGATTTTAACCAGGAAGTAACCTGGTTTTTTTACCCTCTGCACATGCGCAGAAAGGTTTGCGCATGCACTTCCAAACCGGTAGGGAAGGTAAGTAGATTTCACCCTTGGGCCAAGGGTCTCCAACCTTGGCAACTTTACACCTTGTGGACTTCAACTCCCAGAATTCTCTCAGCCAGCACATGCTGGCTGAGGAATTCTGGGAGTTGAAGTCCACAAGGCGTAAAGTTGCCAAGGTTGGAGACCCCTGATTTAAGCTGTGCTTTTTCTCAGATATAATCTTGGAAAGCAGGGCTTGCTAATCAAGTAGTCCTCATCTTACGACCACAATTGAGGCCCAAATTTTGCATCGCTGGGCAAGACCATTCTCCAGCGAGTTTTGTCCCATTTTACGATGTTTTTGCCACCGCAGTTAAGCGGATCGTGCGGCCTTTAAGGGAATTATGTCATCGTTAAGCAAATCTTGGCTTCCCCTATTGATTTTGCTTGTCGGAAGCCAGCTGAGTAGGTTACAGATGGTGATCCTATATGACCCTCTGAATAGTGCAACTGTCATAAGTACGTGCCAAGTGCCCAAATTTAGATCGTGGACCATGGGGATTGCTGCAATGGTCGTAAGTGTGGAAGCTGGTCATAAATCACTTTTTCCAGTGCCGTTATAACTTTGGGAAAGCAGGGATTGCTAATTAGTACAGTCCTTGACTTACAATGGGTATATTTCTATTACTAAGTGAGATAGTTGTTCAATGAGGTTTGACCCATTTTACGACCTTTCTTGCCACGGTTGTTAAGTGAATCACTGCAGTTGATCAGTTAGTACCATGGTTGTTAAGTCAATCTGGCTTCCCCCATGGACGTTGCTTGTCAGAAGGTTGCAAAAGGGATCACGTGACCTTTGGAACCCTGCGACAGTCAGAAGTACGAGTCTGTTGCCAAGCATCTGAATTTTGATCATAATGATGCATGGGGATGCTACAAAAGTCGTAAGTGTGAAAAAACGGTCGTCGGTCATTTTTTTCAGTGCTGTTGTAGCTTTGAACGGTCACTAAATGAACTGTATAGTAAGTCGAGGACTATATACAATGAGAAATTAATTGACGTACTTTTTAAAAAGAAAGGACTTTGGTCATTGCACGTCGTGTTCACAAAGAGCCTCGGTGGCGCAGCAGACTAAAGTGCTGTTAAGTAGCACCACCAGCTGCCTGCAATTACTGCAAGTTCGAATCTCACCAGGCTCAAGGTTGACTCAGCCTTCCATCCTTCCGAGATAGGTAGAATGAGGACCCGGTTTGTGGGGGCAATAAGCTGACTTTGTATAAAAAAGAACACCGCTTAGAGATGCCCCTGAAAGCCCTACTAAGCAGGTATATACAAAAGTATGAAGGCTCTTGCTTAACGCATTGTAAGCCGCCCTGAGTCTCCGGAGAAGGGCGGCATATAAATTGAACAAACAAACAAACAAACAAACAAATAAATAAATAAATAAATAAATAAATAAATGGACCAAAACCTCTTCAAATTCGATGTGTAAAAAAATGATACGGTTAAAAAGAAAACGAATAGATAAGGTGGATCTTTGCATCGGCAGTATGAGGAACGGGTTCTGAAGAAGATCCGTCGAAAGATCCGGAACAAACAGTCAGCTCAGGAAAGTCGCAAGAAACGGAAGGAATACATCGATGGTTTAGAAAGCCGGTATGTTATTTTTCCCTTCCTCGTTTTGAGTTGGATCTGATCATCAACAAGCTAGACTAGAACATGGACGAAGGTTCGTTTGTTCTGAACACACAGATTTGTAAAACCACATTGGTGGGATTTTTAGGCACCATCATAATCCATCCTCTTGTGAGTGGTGCGGTGGCCTAGAGGTGGCGCTCTCGCCTCACAATCAGGAGGCTTGTGAGTTCAATCCTAGGTAGAGGCAGACATTTCTCTCTCTGAGAATATATCTGCTGAACAAAACTCCGCATTGGTGACAGGAAGGGCATCCGGCCAGGAAACACTTAGCTCCATTCAGTTGCCCAGACTCCACCCCGCAAGACTCCTGATCCATCTTCTTGATTGTAGTCTTCCAGTATTTGAGGGGCTGCCCCAAAGTTGACCCCCTCGGTCAACTTATTTTCCAAAGCACCTGAGGGCAGGACAAGAAACAACAGATGGAAACTAATCAAGGAGAGAAGCAACCTGGAATTAAGGAGAAGCTGTTGTGACCTAGGCTCACTTAGTCATTACAAGACACAATTAGTCCCAAACAAAACTATTTTATTATAACAGCTGAGAATTACTTCATTCCCAGCTTAGTCCAAATTAATTCCAAAACAAGTCCTTCAGAAAAAGTTCTTTGGGCTTATCACAAACCTTTATCTTCTTTGGCACCCTGCCAAAAGCATTTCTTGGCAAAGCCCCACGAAGTTCAGAAACAAGAGATGCCAACTGGAAACAGATTTAGCAATGTTGCTTTCTTACAAAGAGCCCAAGAGCCTTTGCAGCTCTGCACAAGCGTGCACTAGGAACAGGCTCCTCCTGTTCCTCTGCCTCTCCGTTGTCCGACTCTGGAGGCTCCGGTGTCCGCCCATCACTCCCAGATGGCCCTGGCCCCATCTCTGCCTCTGATGCAGAGCCCTCGTCCGGGCCTTCCCCAGACTCCAGGACTGGCCCATGGTCCTCCCCAGCCTCCTCACTGTCTGACTCTGCTGCCAGCTCCACAGGCTGCTGGTGGACCACAACAGAAGCTTCCTAACAATGAGAACAATTAATCAGTGGAACAGCTTGCCACTAGAAGTTATAGACGCTTCATCACTGGAGGTTTTAAAGAAGAGACTGGACAGCCCCTTGTCTGGAATAATATGGGGTCTCCTCCTAAACCTCCAAGGCTCTATTCTGATTGATTGATTGTTTGATTGATCGATCAATCGATCAATTTCTCCTTTCCACTAATTTCTGTATGTCAGGCTGGAAAACTTAGAAAGATGACGAAAACCATCTGGGAATAAACCAATTCCTGCCTGTTTCACCTCTGTTGGCCTTTTGCTTTTCAGGATGTCGGCTTGCACAGCTCAAAATCAGGAGCTCCAGCGGAAAGTGGTTCACCTGGAGAAGCAGAACTTGTAAGTTGTCCACCGCAATGGGTGTTTTGGCAATGTAGCAATTTGGTGTGTTTCCCAATAAGCCCGAATACTTATGACCACGATTGGGAGCAGAATTTCCTTTGCTAAGCGAGGCACTTTGTTCCTGTGAGTTGTGTCCAATTTTATGACCTTTTTTTTTTTTGCCACCGACGTTAAATGAATCTGGGTCCTCCCACTGCCTTGGCTGGTCAGAAGATGGTTGAGACGGTCCCCAATGGCAGTCACATGACCCCCGGGTCTCTGTAACCATCGTAAATACATGCCGGTTGCCAAGCATTCGAATTTTGATCATGTGGCCTTGGGGATGCTGCAACGGTCGTAAGGGCGAGGACCGGTTGTGAGTTGCTCTTGTCAGTGCCATTGTAACTTCAAACAGTTGCTAAACGAAAGTTGTAAGTTGAAGGCCGCATGAATGCAGAGCACACGTACATTAAAATACCAGTTCAATTACATTATTTTGATTTTGCTCTGAAGTTAGCCTTTAAATCAGGGGTGAAATCCAGCAGGTTCTGACAGGTTCTGGCGAACTGGTAGCGGAAATTTTGAATAGTTTGGAGAACCAGGAAATGCTACCTCTGGCTGGCCCCAGGAGTGGGGTGGGAATGGAGATTTTGCAGTATCCTTTCTCCCAGGAGTGGGGAGGGAATGGGGATTTTGCAGTATCCTTCCCCCAGGAGTGGGGAGGGAATGGGGATTTTGCAATATCCTTCCCCCGGAGTGGGGAGGGAATGGGGATTTTGCAATATCCTTCCCCCAGGAGTGGGTGGAAATGGAGACTTTGCAATATCCTTCCCCCAGGAGTGGGGTGGGAATGGGGATTTTGCAGTATCCTTCCCCCAGGAGTGGGGAGGGAATGGGGATTTTGCAATATCCTTCCCCCAGGAGTGGGGGTGGGAATGGGGATTTTGCAGTATCCTTCCCCTGGAGTTGGGGAGGGAATGGGGATTTTGCAATATCCTTCCCCCAGGAGTGGGGAGGGAATGGAGATTTTGCAGTATCCCTCCCCTGCCACACCCACCAAGCCACGCCCACAGAACCGGTAGTAAAAAAAATTGAATTTCACCACTGCTTTAAATGGAACGAGGGAATCAAAGATCCAGAATGGGACAACTCGCCACGGCCAACTCACCGTGGCCATCTGGGCCACGACCAACTTCCCACCGGACAACTTGCTGAGAGACAATTCGGCAATTTTATTTCATTATCTTAAATGATTTTTTAAAATGGTTTTGATTTTTGGCCTTCGTGTTTCATTTTGTCCCTCTTTTTTTTTGTGTATCCTTTAATGATTCTGTGCCAATATTTTTCTGATATGAGGTAATTTTTGTCCTGGGGAAGTTTTACTACCACTTTATAAAACCTTTAGTAAGGCCACACCTGGAATACTGCAGCCAATTTTGGTCACCACACTACAAAAAAGATGTTGAGACTTTGGAAGAAGTTCAGAGAAGAGCAACTAAGAGGATCAAAGGCCTGGATACTAAACCATTTATTATTTGTTTATTAGTTTGTCAAATATGTACAAGATAGCAGGCATGAATATGAACATGGACATGAACGAAGGAAATGAATACAAATACAGGGAAACCATAGGAAGAACGGCTGCAGGATTTGGGTTTGGTTAATCTAGAGAAAAGAAGAATTAGGGGTGACACAATAGCAGTATTCCAGTATTTGAGGGGCTGCCCCAAAGAAGAGAGGGGTCAACTTATTCTCCAAAGAACCGGAAGGCAGGACAAGAAGCAATGGATGGAAACCAATCAAGGAGAGAAGCAACCTGGAATTCAGGAGAAACTTCCTAACAGTGAGGACAATTAACCAGTGGAACTACTTGCCACCAGATGTTGTGGGAGCTTCATCGCTGGAGGCTTTTACGAAGAGTCTAGAGACAGTTACTTGTCTGAAATGGTATAAGTTCTCCTGCTTGAATAGGGGGCTGGACTAGAAGACCTCCAAGGCCCCTTCCAGCTCATTCATTCTATAGACTTCAAAGTTGGCCGTGGCCAATTGTCCCGTGGTGAGCCTTCTTCTGGCGAGTTGTCCTAGACCCATAAAGAGGAGCTGTTCCACAACAGCCTTGTTTCTTTCCTGGCCATTACCCCTCCCCACAATGCCCCCCCACCCGCCCAGTGTGCCCAAATGGCATTCACTGAATCAATAGAAGAAATTCTGCCCTTGTTCAATGTTCTGAATTCACCCTCTGCCCCTCAAAAACCTGCCCCTAAACTGGAGCCTTCTTCTCCTCCTCCTCCTCCTCCTCCTCCTAGGTCTCTTCTGCAGCAGCTAAAGAAACTCCAGTCCATCGTGATGCAATCCAGCGGCAAGGCTGCACAAACCAGCACCTGCGTGGCGGTAGGTTAGAGCTTGTGTACCTGCATCCGTGTGCAGTTAAAGAGGAGTCCTCGGCTTATGACTGCAATTGAGCCCCTAAATTTCTGTTCACTAAGTGGGACAGGGGTCACGTGAGTTTCGCCCCACCCAAGAGTCCTTGGCTTGTGACCACAATTGAGCGCCAGAGGTGGGTTTCAGCAGGTTCTGACCAGTTCTGGAGAACCGGTAGCGGAAATTTTGAGTAGTTCGGAGAACCCTATCTATTCTCTGCCTCCCGAGTCCCAGCTGATTGGGAGGAAATGGGGATTTTGCAGTAACCTTCCCCTGCCACGTCCACCAAGCCACGTCAACAGAACCGGTAGCAGAAATTTTTGAAACCCACCACTGTTGAGTGCCCAATTTCTGTTCGCTAAGGAAGACAAGGGTCACGTGAGTTTCACCCCCATTTGACGAGCTTTCTTGCCACCGTCATTAAGGGAATCACTGCAGTCCTTAAATTAGTCACAAGGTTGTAAAGTGAATCTGGCATCTCCATGGATTTTGCCCGTTGAAAGGTCACAAAAGGGGATCACGTGACCCCGGGACACTGCGACTGTCATAAATGTGAGTCAGTTGTCAAGCATCCAAATTGTCAATCACGTGACCACAGGGATGCTGTAAATGGTCCCTTTTTTTTCAGTGCCACTTAACTTTGAACAGTCACTAAAGGAACTGTTGTAAAGTTGAGGACTACCTGTAATAACAGAATAACAGAGTTGGAAGGGACCTTGGAGGTCTTCTAGTCCAACCCTCTGCTCAAGAAAGATATCAGCGTCTTTTTTAATGTCCTCCTCAGGTCTTGCTTCTCTCCTTCGCCCTGTTCATCTTTCCGTCCATCGGCCCTTTCACCAGCAACAAAGCCGAGACCTCAGGTGACTTCGTACCTGTGAGAGGTGAGCAAGGGGGGCTATTAGGTGGGGGGGCACCTGGGCAGAGAGAAGGCACTGAAATCACTCTCTCTCAGCCTCAGATAGTTGGCATCAGAGCCGAAAAGTTGATGATTAATCCCCTCAAAGAGCCCAACGTCTGTAGAGATTCTCAGTCATTCAGGTCATGGTTATCCCAAAGGTGCTTTCTTCTTTTTTCTTTTTTGAAGAAGTTTCGCTTCTCAGAAATTGAAATTGTAGAATCTGCACAGTTGTCAGCATGATACAGCAAAGTGGTAGCTAACGTGCAGAATACAGAGTTGGAAGGGACCTTGGAGGTCATCTAGTCCAACCCTCCGCCCAAGCAGGAGACCCTACACCATTTCTGACAGATGGCAGTCCAGTCTCTTCTTGAAAGCCTCCAGTGATGAAGCTCCCACAACTTCTGAAGGCAACTTCTGTTCCATGGGTTGATTTTTCTCACTGTCAGAAAGTTCCTCCTTATTTCTAGGTTGAATCTCTCCTTGGTCAGTTTCCATCCATTCTTCCTTGTCTTGCCTTGGAAAATATTTTGACCCCCTCCTCTCTGTGGCAGCCCCTCAAATACTGGAAGACTGCTATCACGTCTCCCCTGGTCCTTCTCGTTCACTAGACTAGCCCAGTTCCTGCAACAGTTCATCGTATGTTTTAGCTTCCAGTCCCCTCATCCTCTTGTTTGCAGTTTAGTAGGAAAGGCAGAAGATACCTTAAGAATCAGTCCTTTGCAATTCCCCCAATCCTTTGTGCGTGTCACTCATGCTCCATGTCCCTTTCCCTCCCAGTTTTTTCTAGGTCCCTCAACAACGATGCATCATCTAGAATTGTCAATGCCCTGGGCAAGGAGGCCGAGCAGAGTGCCAAGGAGAGCGTCTGGAAGGAGCCAGCTCACCGGGCACACGATGCTCCCAGCACCTTGATCAAAGACCTCTTGAAGCTTCAGAAGCAGGCAGAGACCCTGCCGGACAACCACACTGAGGTCTTCGCAGAAGATAGAGCTGCCCCTTCGGAAGGACTCGGGCCTGAGGTTCCGTATCCGGTCCAGAATTTGACCTCGGTGGCATGGACTGAATCGGAGCAATTTGGAAATGGGGCCTTGGAACAGACGGACGAGCTGTGACCTTCCGTCCGGCTGCTTCCTCTCCCTCGCTGGGCCTGTGTGGACTAAACCAGGAAGGGGAATGGGGAAGCTGTGTGTATGTGTGTGTGCAGCAGGGTTACGTCTCTTCTACTCAGGAGGATGGAAACGATGTGGAAGAGAGTCACAGTGTGAGAGAGCAAGGGGGCTGAATCCTCTCAGGATATTTGAGGACCCCCCGAAAAAGTCAAGCCGAGCCCCGGTTCCCCTCTTCCATTTTTAAACCCAGGGGGGGGGGGGGGGGGGGGAATTCTCCAGGATGGTGTGGGAGTCTCAAACAGAACTGTAGTTGTGACACCTTCAGGGTCATTGCAAAGTGTGTCGCGCCCGACATCCCTCATAGAACTAAGGGCTTTCAGTGTTTTTATTACAGGGAAGATTTGGAGTTTGAAATCTGAATTTTTTTTGTTCCTCCTGGCTTCTTGAGATTTCTGTTCATCTAGTTTGCAGTGAGGATGAGTGAAAGAAAATGTTCTTTTCTTTCTTTCTTTTTTTTTTGCAAGGTGGGGAAAAAGCTGAAATGTATATATGGTTACCCCTAATAGCTTTGCACCATCCGAAGTACAGGTAGTCCTTGAGTTACAACCGCAATGGACTCCCCCAAATTTCTGTGGCTGAGTGAAACATTTAAGCGAGTTTGCTCCGTTTTACGATTTTCTTGCCACCTTTGTAAATGGACCACTGCACTTGCTCAGTTAGTAACATGGATGGTTAAGTGAATTTGGCTTCCCCCGTTGACTTGGCTCATCAGGTCACAAAAAGTGGATCATGTGACCCCGGGGACACTGCGACCATCATAAATATGAGTCAGATGTCAAGGATCAGAACATAAATCTCAGGATGTTGCGACAGTCGTAAGTGTGAAGAAATGACTTTTTCCACTGCCGTTGCGACTTTTGTCACTAAATGAACTGTTGTAAGTCGTGGACTACCTGTGGTAATCTTTTTGGCGAAGGGTTAAGAGTCCAGAAAAGGGAGCAAAGGTTCATCTCAATCAGCCTCTGCTATCTTTATTTGGGAAAAAAAAAATCTTAATCAGGAATGTAAAATATAATCTGCCTCTATAAGAATGTTCAGATGGCTTCGGCTGTGTCTTGCACGTTCGATTATGTAAGGAAGCGGCCGGCCTTCAGGGAAGCTCAAAGCAGCTTCGGGAGGCATCTGTTCAGATTATTTTCTTCGCGTTCCCTGAACTGCCGCTTTCGGCCCCCACGGTTTGGCTGCTTTCCCTTCTGAGGTGTCAAAGCGTGGCGCGGAGTTTTTTTCCCCCCAACATGTGACAGCTTCTGAGGATGAAATCCAAGTACCGAAGCCAGCTCAGAAGTTTCGCTGTCTCAGATGTCCTCCTAGTTCTAACTTCCTGATTTATTTTCTTTTCTGGGAGAGCAGCATTGGATCTATTGGAGTAGTGTGAATGGCCTTGAGGGGTGGGGGAAGGAGGGAAAGAGATGCTGCCTAGGGAGCGGTTGGATAAGAGAGGCTACGGCCTGCAGCTGAATAGCAGGTAGAGGAACGAGGCTCAGAAGGGACCCTCCCTAAATTCCTAGGCTGTAAAAGTGGGGAGGAGCTGCATAGGGAACAGTCAGATAAGAAACGACTTAGTATGCAGCTGCATAACGGGTGGAGAAAAAGACTGAGAAGGGACCCTCCCGAAGTTCCCAGGCTGTAAAAGAGAGGAGGGGGAAGAAATGCTGCCTGGGGAACAGTCAGATAAAAGAGGGCTTAGCCTACAGCTGTATAACGGGTGGAGAAAAAGACTGAGAAGGGACCCTAAGTTCCCAGGCTGTATAAGAGAGGAGGGGGAAGAAATGCTGCCTGGGGAACAGTCAGATAAGAGAGAACTTAGCCTGCAGCTGCATAGCAGGTGGAGGAAAAGACTCAGAAGGGACCCTCCCAGTGGTGGGTTTATAATATTCTTACCACCGGTTTGCCCCGCCTGCGCGCCATCCACACATATGCCTGGCCTTCCACGCATGTGCTTTGCTTGCGCACACGCCTTCACTTGGCCTCAAAAACGTGGCTAAATAGGACAGCATTACGTCCGGGCGGGTGGGCAGGCCCACCCACAGTCACCATTACCAGTTCGCCTGAACCGGTACGAATTGGCTGAATACCACCTCTGGACCCTCCCTAAGTTCTCAGGCTGTAAAAGCAAGGAGGGGAAAGAAATGCTGCCTGGGGAACAGTCAGATAAGAGAGGGCTTAGCCAGTAGCTCCTTAACAGGTGGAGAAAAAGATTCAGAAGGGACCCTCCCTAAGTTCTCAGGCTGTAAAAGAGAGGGCAGGTGTTTGAACTGTCAGATTTTACTATTGTAACTTTACTGTAAAGTAGAAATAGCTAATCTGGTCATATTTCCTCTCTGGTCTGCCTGGTGACAGCCCCAGTCTAATACGATCCTATGGATTTTTTGAGCACATCCTGCGGTCAGCCCAGGGTACCTATTGAGCACGGCTGAGCTAACTTTGAAGGATTGGGGGGCGGTTTGGGATCAGAAATTGCGATGTGGATCCCTTCGCACACCTGAAATACCAGCAGCCGGAAAACGGAGAGCTGAGATAACGTGGTCGCCCATTTTCGTGTACAATAAATGATTTGAGATAAAGCAAATGATTCATCAGCTGGTGGATTGGATTTATTGATATTTTCCCCCATAAAGACTGCACTTGAAAAGAAGAGGGGGTAGAAAAGAAGTGGGCCAAGCAAGAGGGAGGGAGGGACCCAGAGCGGGAAATGGGGCACAAATTAAGACTTAATACAGGTAGTCCTCATTTAGTGACTATTTGACATTACCAATGGAACAGCTTACCTTCGGAAGTTGTGGGAGCTTCATCGCCGGAGGCTTTCAAGAAGAGACTGGACTGCCATCTGTCAGAAATGGTGTAGGGTCTCCTGCTTGGGCGGCGGGTTGGACTAGATGACCTACCAACTCTGTAATCTGTTACAATGTCAAAATGACCCAAAGGTGCCTTTTCAAGAGGCAACTGGACTTTTCTTTTGAAGACGTTTCGCTTCTCGTCCAAGAAGCTTCTTCAATTCTGAGAGGATAGTGGGGAATGGAAGGATTTATACTCCTTGCAGAGAGCTGGTCATTTGCATCCTTTTAGAGAGTCCTTGAGGCCATTTGGAAGTTTGTCCTCGGGGTCACCTGAGTGGTGCAAATGGGTGTGGAACCTTCTTGGAACTGCTGAAAGGACTGTGTTGTAGACTGGGGATAGATGATGTCTTATCCCTCCCTCACTGCTGAAGGTTCTCCAAGTGGCCTCAAGGACTCTCAAAGGATGCAAATGACCAGCTGTCTGCAAGGAGTATCAATCCTTCCATTTCCCCACCATCCAGTCAGAGCTGAAGAAGCTCCTTGGATGAGAAGCGAAATGTCTTCAAAGAAAAACCAGAAAGTCCAGTTGCCTCTTGAAAAAAAGCACCTTTGGGACAACCGTGGCCTGGATGGCGGAGAATCTCCACAGACCCTTAATAAACGAGCATTTTATTGAGTATCGCCTCTTGAGTGAGTAAAATATTCTAGGAATGGGCACTTTCGGTAAAGGGACTTGACAATTTTAGCAGGCAAGAAATTACAGATTTATAAATACCTTTGTCACAATTGCCCAATATCTGTAGCGTCCTGGGGAAAATTATTTTGGGAGGCAGGAGGAAGAGCAGGGCGTGAAGGAAGAGTCAGATAAGAGATCGCTGAGCCTACGGAAAAAAACGGAAATGTGGCAAATATCTCCAAAGGAACCCGGTCTAAGTTTCTGGGATTGAAAAGGAGTGTAGGGAGGAGATATGTACTTCCAGACTTGCAAAAATTGGTTAATGTAACCTCAGAGTAAAAATAAAATTAGTACCCCTGGGGCAGTGGTGGGATTCAGCCGGTTCGGGCAAACTGGTAGTTAAATTGCTGGCCCACTCCTCCCCACGCACCCCATTTTGGCTCCCAGGTAAGTGTAGGGAGGCCTCCTAGGATCAAAATGGGGCATGGGTGGGCAGGGCCCACCCCCCCCCATGGCCCATTTTCACTCCCAAGACCAAAACGGGGCGTGAGGAGCAGCACGTCCCCCCCCCCGCGGCTGAGTGCTGCCTATTACACCCCCTGGCTATGCCCACCAAGCCACGCCCATAAAATCAGTAAAAAAAATTTGAATCCCACCACTGCCCTGGGGGAACTTCTTATCTGGGCCACCTTGAACGGGTGACACATTTTGGACAGAAACGCACGTTTTGCAACTTCCAATTCCAAAACGTTTCCGAAGTTTGCAGGAAAGCCAGAGATCCATAAAAGGTCTCTTCTACCCCCAACACTCATTTTCTTCCTTCCTCTTAGCAGGCATGTTTCCAAGAGTTTTGCTGCCACTTCATTGCAAATATCGCTGGCAAAAAAACGTGCCTCGTGCGGCACACGGTTCCACAATCGATCCTGAAAAAAAGATCGCACTTTTATCGATTTAATTTCGTGGCCTAACTGGAATCTGTTGTCTGGAAATAACTGAGCCCTTCTGTGAACTAAGGATGCCACATGCGGAGACACATTTGTTGTCGTATACACTTGCTTGGTTTATTTCATGTACCGCTACTCCTCGACTTAATGACCGTGATCGAACCCAATGCTTCTGTTGTTCGGTGAGGCGTACGTTGAGTTTTGCCCCATTTTAGCATCTTGCTTGCCACGTTTAAGGGAATCGCTGCAGTTCCTAATGTAGTATCATAGTCGTTAAGTGAATTTGGCTTCCCCGTTCACTTTGCTTGGCAGATGGTCGCACAAAGGGATCACGTGACTTCCACCCACCCACCCCAGGAGACACTTTGGTCGTCATAAATACGAGCCTGTTGCGAAACGGCTGAATTTTAATCAGGTGACCAGGGGAAGGCTGCAGCGGTTGTGAGAGAAATGGTCATAAGTCACATTTTTCAGTGTCATTGTAACTCCCAACGGTCACTAAACGAATGGTTGTAAGTGTCTAAACGGCGATTCTCCGTCATCCAGGCCATGGTTGTCCCAAAAGTGCTTTTTTTCAAGAGGCAACTGGACTTTCTGGTTTTTCCTTGAAGACGTTTCGCTTCTCCTACAAGAAGCTTCTTCAGCTCTGACTGGATGGAGGGGAACAGAAGGATTGATACTCCTTGCAGAGAGCTGGTCATTTGCATCCTTTTTAGAGAGTCCTTGAGGCCACTTGGAGGTTTGTCTGTGTCCTCAGGGTCACCTGAGTGGTGCAAGTGGGTGTGGAGCCTTCTACAACACAGTCTGTCAGCCTCCGCTTTTGCTGCTTTGGCTGCCATAGGAACCAGGAGGGGGGAGAACTAGGGAGCTTGGGGGGGGGAAGCATGCTGGAGGAGGGGTGTGGCTTCGGAAGAAACGAAACTGATTCCTTGGAGTGGCTATCGGGTAACCGTCGTGGCATTCCTGATTGATGACGCTGGCAGACGTGCTTCCACCTGACCCTGGGAGACCTTTGGATTGGATGATTTACGATGGACAGTGGGAGGGGATGCTTTCTACATGCACTTTTCACGCCTGTTGCTTTAATTTCAGTTTAGCCGTGGTTGCGTTCATTTCATTTCTAGTAAAAGTACCTGTCTCTATAAATCATGGAGTCTGGGTCTTTCTTTCCTGGATTTTGAAGGAAGCACACCTGACATTGTCCTTTCAGCAGTTCCAAGAAGGCTCCATACCCATTTGCACCACTCAGATGACCCTGAGGACACAGACAAACCTCCAAGTGGCCCAGTGGTGGGTTCCTCTCGGTTCGGCCGGGTTCGCGCGAACCGGTGACGCTATTACGTCACCGAACCGGTTCTCTTTCTTCGGGAGCTGGGCCCTCCCGCCCGCCCCTGCGTTATTCTGACCTTATATTTCTGCTGTTTTTGCCCAGCTGAGAGGTGCGGCAGAGCGGATTGACGCACCTCAGCTGGGCAGATTCGCAACGCGCTTGCGCGAAACGCTCGTTTGGTGTGCCTGCAAGCGAACCGAGCATGCGCGCGGCGATCGCGCGGAAAGCGCGCACACAAAGAGAACCGGTAGTAAAGCCGGTTAGAACCCATCCCTGAAGTGGCCTCAACAACTCTCTGAAAGGATGCAAATGACCAGCTGTCTGCAAGGAGTATCAATCCTTCCGTTCCCTGCCATTCAGTCAGAGCTGAAGAAGCTTCTTGGATGAGAAGCAAAATGTCTTCAAGGAAAAACCAGAAAGTCCACTTGCCTCTTGAAAAAAAAACACCTTTGGGACAAGAATGGTTGTAAGTCAAGGACTTCCTGTATAATAGCAGCCTACTTTGTGTGTGTGTGTGTGTGTGTGTGTGTGTGTGTGTGTGTGTGTGTGTGTGTGCTGAAAACTGCTGTTCTTTCAGAGCTGCAAATTTCCACCAGTAACAACCTGGTTGCTGCCTTATTCACAAAGATCGCACAATTTGTTTCCTCTGCATGCGACAACTTTGGAGACCCACTTTAGATGGTTTTAATGGGACAAGATCTGCCCTTTCCAAAGACCACCGACCGTGGCCGGCGGCTGTCGGTCAACCACGAATCGCCGGCCTCTCTTCCCGCCGTTCCCAGCCTCACTTAACCAAGCAGTTAGGTTATTCTGGCCCGTTTTATTTTTATTTTTATTTTATTTTTTAATGTTAAAAAAAAAAAAAAAAGCTGCCATCTGATTCCTTGGCAACGTGAGGCGCTGATCACGCTGTGTGAAACCTGTTCCGGGCTAGGAAGTGAGACATAATTCCCACAGATCCATTGCCTATTTGGTCCGTGTTCAAAAAAAATAACACGGCAGGTCACGGGGAAGCCCGGCAAGAGCTGGGATCCAAACAGCCATGAAGAAAAGAAGAGCACAGATTTGCAAATGGAGAGGGAGAAGGAAGGTTTCCTCCTTCGGTGTGGCAATATCTTCCTTTGTCTTTCGAAACAGCTCGGAGTTGGAAACTGACTAGGAGCTGGAAACAGGCACTTGAGGCCAGGTGAAGGATTTGGTAAAAATGATCTTGCTCGTGCCGGAAGGCAGATTGTGTTGCATTTTGGATCAGGCAGGCAGAGGAGATAGAGTATATAAAAATAACAGCCAGCCCTGCTCCCTTCTAGCACTGATGATGTTACCTAGTTGGGTAATGAAACGTCTTTAAGAAAACCACCACGCTCAGAGAACACCAAGGTCCCCACAGAGAAGGGTGGTGCCCCCTGCCTACAAATAGTCCTCGACTTACAATGACAGTTGGGACCAGAATTTTGGTTGCTTAGCAAGGCACTTGTTATCCCACAATTTTGCAAACTTTTCCCCGACTGTCATTAAACAAATCACTGCAGTCGTTAAAAGAGATTCGTGGGGTTGTTAAATGAATTTAGCTTCTCCCATTGAATTTTCGCTTGTCGGAAGCCGGATTGGGAAGGTCAACAAAAGGCGACCACACAACTGTGAGAGATTGCAAGCACAGTACATACATGCCAGTTGCCCAGTAAGTACCTGAGTTGTTATTGTGTACCATGGGGATACCGCAACAATCATAAGTGTGATGACTCCGGCTGTACATCACTTTTGTCAGTGCTGTCATTCACTTCAAACGGTTGCTAAGTGAATAAGTCAAGGACTACCTGCACCTGGTTTCTCGGTGGAACCAGAGTTCTACGTTCAGAAAAATCCAGGGATATCCTAGAGGTCATTTAGACCAACCTTGATGTTTGTAAAGAATCATTTCCCATCTTCGGTTTTGTCACCGTTAGCCCAAACCAGTAATTAAAGTCCTTGAATTATGACCCAAACTAAGTCCAAGATTTCCGTGCTAAACCAGGCCGTCGTTAAGTGAGTCATGGCCCATTTTACGACTTTGGCCACGGTTGCTAAGTGAATCACTGCAGTCGTTCAATGAATTATGGGGTCGTTCAGAGAATCTGGCTTCCCGCATTGATTGCTTGCCAGACGCTGGAGGGAAAAGTCTCAAATGGCGATCACGTGACTCCAGGATGCTACGACGTCGTAACTGCATGCTGGTTGCCAAGCAACCAAATTTTGATCACCGAACTGTGGGGATGCTGCAACAGTTTTAAATGTGAGAACTGGCCATAAGTCTCTTTTTCAGCCAGTGCCGTTTTAACTTCGGTCACTAAACAAACGGTTGCAAGTTGAGGACTACAGGTAGTCGAGGACTTATGGCCACAACTGAGCCCTGGATTTCTGCTGTCAAGTGAGACATTTGTTGAATGAGTTTTGCCCCATTTTACGACCTTCCTTGTCACAGTTAAGGGAATCCCTGCAGTTAAGAAAATGGTTGTTAAGTGAATTTGGCTTCCCCATGGACTTTGCTGGTCCGAAGATCGCAAAAGGGGATCATGTGACCCAGGGACGCAGCGACTGTTGTAAATATGAACCAGTGGCCAAGCATCTGAATTTTGATCATGTGACCATGGGGAAATTGCAATGGTCGTAACCAGAGGTGGGTTTCAGATATTGTTACCACCGGTTCGCCGTGCGTGCTTGCCTCGCACACACCTTCAGCAATTTCCGCTACCAGTTCGCCTGAAATGGAACGAACCGGCTGAATACCACCTATGTTCGTAACTGAAAAACGATCACAAGTCCCATTTTTCATTGCTGTCGCTAAATGAACTGTTGTAAGTGGAGGATTACCTGTACCTGTAGTAACCAAGCTCCCAGGAAATTCCTCCGTGGTCCGTGGTCCGTGTGGTTTCAAAGCCAGGCCTGCTCCTCTAAGAAAACCCCCCAGATTGCAGAATGAGAATCGTTATAAACTCTCCTTGGGAGGGATTTTCCCAGGAGGTGAAAAAAGGAAGAATTTCCTTTTTTTCCTGAAATATTTGGAATGCCTTTAATTTTTTTTTAAAAGTATTATTATCAAAACGAGATAACGTGTTCTTGTACTGATAGATATCGATTAATCATTAAAAGAACAGCAAAAAAAGAAAAAAGAAAAAATTTGGAAGGTTAATTGGAAAGTTCTTTAAAGTCAAGCTTGCAGCCGTAACTGCCTTCCATCGCATATGTTTAGACCTCAGCTTACAACCGTAATTCAGCCCAAGATTGATGCTCTTCAGTTCAGACCTTTGTTAAAGTGAGTTTGGTCCCGTTTTACCACCTTTTTTGCTGCAATCGTTACGCGAATCCCTGCAGTTGTTAGCGACGTGGTTGTTATGTGAATCTGGCTTCCCCGTTCACTTGGCTGGTCGCAAAAGGAGATCACATGACCCCGGGACACAGTGACGGTCATAACTATGAACCAGTTGCCAAGGATCTGAATGTTGATCCCCTGTTCATGGGGAAGCTACAAAGGTCGTAACTTTGAAAAACTGTCACAAGTCACATTTTTCATTAAGCCTGAACGGTCACTAAACAAACTGTTGTAAGTTGAGGACTACCTGTATGAACCAGCTGCCAAGCAGCTGAATGCTGATCATGTGACCGCGGGGTTGCTGCAATGGCCGTAAGTGTGAAAAACGATCATAAGTCCTTTTTTTGTGGGGGGGGGGTGTTGTTACTTTGGTCACTAAAAGAAGGAGACTGTTTTGCTGTGTATATTTTGTTCCGATACAGAAGAAACGTTACACGCTTGTTCTCCGCACCCCAATTTCCGTTTTATTACTTAGTGAGCACTTGCACATACATATTCCTATGACTGAAAATTGCACTGGAAATGAGGAGGGGGGCTTCTGAGAGTGAGAAAAATCCTATGCATGACTTCATCCCCCCCCCAAAAAAAGAAAGCAGCCGTGGCATCCGAGGGTTTTGGGCGATACCTGGAATGCTCGGGGCCCTTCCCCTCAATTTGTATTCCTGGGATGGGCTGACCTGAGAAGTGAGGAAGTGGGGGGACATGGGCTGGAAGGAAGGGCCCGAGCTTCCGCTTATGGGGCACGGCTTTTTATATATATATATAAAATACTTTTTTTAGTCAGGGTTTTTTCCCATGTAGATCAAGTTGTTTACTTGGCCATGGTGGGGTGGTATCTCAAATCACCCCACCATGGCCAAGTAAACAACTTGATCTACATAGGAAAAAACCCTGACTAAAAAAGTATTATACATTTGAACCTATGAATTAAAAAGTGTGTGTGTGTGTGTGTATGTATGTATATATATATATATATATATATATATATATATATATATATATATGTGTGTGTGTGTGTGTGTGTGTGTGTGTGTGTGTGTGTGTGTGTGTGTGTATATATATACACATACATACACACATACGTACACACACACACACATACATACATACATACATACATACATACATACATATATTTTCTGAGGTTTTTGCGGGTGTTTGTATGTAGGTCTTTGGTTATTCGGGTTTTTCTCCCGCGTAAAATTGGAGGTGTCTTGGTAACGTTTCAATGAAGTCTCATTTGTCATCTTCAGGCTGGTGTTTTCGGCTTCATGCTTCTAGGAGCAATGTTATTGCTCCTAGAAGCATGAAGCATTGCTCCTAGAAGCACGAAGCCGAAAACACCAGCCTGAAGATGACGAATGAGACTTCGTTGAAACATTACCAAGACACCTCCAATTTTACGCAGGAGAAAACTCGAATAACCAAAGACCTACATATATATGTATGTATGTATGTATGTATGTATGTATGTATGTATGTATGTATGTAAAGCTGTGCCCCATAAGCAGATATATATATATCCCTGACACTATACATATGTATCAGTGGTGAAATCTGAACTGGTTTACTACCGGTTTACTACAGTGTGCACCACGCACCAAATGTGAGGTGTGTGCACGCACAGTGCACGCCAAAAGGAGGCATGGGGTAAGTAGAACAGCGCCCAGGGGGCGCTCGATCTTTTTTTCAACTTTTAAAAGCATTTTTTTACAAACTATTCGGCTGAATAGGTTGTAAAAAAAATGCTTTTAAAAGTAAAAAAAAAAAAAAAGGCTCTGACGATCAGGCAGCTCAGCTGGGATCGTCAGAGTCTTTTTAAAACTTTTTAAAAGCATTTTTTTAAAAAGAAGCAGCAAGTGGGCGACTGGACGATTGGGTGGGCATCGGCGGGCGGGGGGGGGAGGAATTTTTGCTACCGGGTCTCTGAACCACCGCTGCCATTGCTACCAAATTGGCCTATCTGGTCCGAACCGGGAGCATTTCACCCGATATATATATAATGTCAGGGAGACAAAGAGTGACAACAGATACGCGACTTAAGGGACGCTATTTCCTATTCTAAGTGGTTCGATAAAGGTAGTTCTTTAAAACGCTATTTTCTCCTTCTCACGCTCCCTCCGCGGCGGTTTATCAAGAAACAGAGGAGAGCTCAGTGTTGGCAAACCAAGAGAAGGGTTTGGAGAGTAGCAGCAAAACCAGTGGACCCGTAGCGAGAATACCAGGGGGAAGGAATGGGAGTGGACTAAGGAGAAGAGGAAGGAAGGAAGGAAGGGAACAAAAGGAGAAAAGGATGAAAAAGGGGATGAAAGAGGGGTGAGAGAGAAAGGAATTCAATGGATGGATGAAAGAGGGAAGGGAAAGAGAGAGGGGAGAGGATTGAGGACGGGGAGGAGGGAGAGAGGAGGGGAGAAGGAAGGAGAAAGGGAGAGGAAGAGGAAAGGGGAGAGAGAAGAAAGGAGACGAGGGGAGAGAGAAAGGGGAAGGAAAAAGAAGAGAGGGGTAGAAAGAGGGGAGAGAAGAGAGGAGGGGAGAAAGGAGAGAGGGAGGAAGAGTGAGAAGGGAAGGGACCCTGTCCCTCAACAGCACCCATGAGGCATAAAAAGAGGGCACAAGCCTTGTTTCCTGGCTTGCCCCCACAGAAAGAAGGATAACTGACTAGCCGTTACCTTCTTCCAGAACTGGAAAATCTGGGCTCATCCGGAAAAGCTTCAAAATTTCAGGGAAAGAAGAAAATTACATACATACAGAACCCGGAGGAAGACAATTCTCAAAAAAGTCAGGTAGAAACGCCAAGGCCGAGCTGGTTTTCTGAGAGATACCAGGCAACGCCCACGCAGAGAAGCCCCGCCAGGATGGCATCCGTCAAGTTGGCAACGGCTCCAGCTTCGGCCGCTTAACTGGGACTGAGCCGCCATCCAGCAGGCGGGATTCCTGTTTCAGGACCGCCGTGTGTCCCAGGCCCTCCCGCGCGCCATTCCGGCAGGGAGACGGCTCTTCCTTGCTCAAGAATGGCAAGTCCGTGCCTGTCTGGGTGAGCGGTTTGGCCTCTTGCTGCTCCGTACTCTCCACCACCAGCGGCCCCGTCCACTCCGGGATCTCCAGCCCGAGGAGTTTCATGAGCTTCGTTATGACCTCGTCCACGTAGCCGTGGATGCGCAGGTCCGCCTGCCTGTCCTGAGGGCCAGAAAAAGAAGGGGCAAAGATGTGACATGGAACACAGAACGAGGACCGGGTCTTGGGAGTGGTTAGTGGCTTGCTTCTGGGTCCAACCCAAGATGTTGGGGAGGGGAGGGGAGAGTAGAGAGAGAAGGGGCGTGGAGAGGACAGGAGAGTGGAGAGAGAGTAGTGGAGAGAAGAGTGGAGAGGAGATGAGAGTGGAGAGAGGAGAGTGGAGAGACAGGGGAGTGAAGAGGATAAGAAAGAATGGAGGAGAGAGGACAGGGGAGTGGAGAGAGTAGAGTGGAGAGAAGAGTGGAGAGGAGAGTGGAGAAGAGAGGAAAGTGGAGAGACGGGAGTGAAGAGGATAAGAAAGAATGGAGGAGAGAGGAGAGGGGAGTGGAGAGGACAGGGGAGAGGAGTGGATGTGAGCGGAGATGGGAGTGGAGTGGAGTGGAAAGGAGATGGGTGTGAAGAGGACAGGAAAGAGGAAGGGAGAGGAGATGGGAGTGGAGAGGGTGGCAGAGGAGAGGAGTGGAGAGGAGATGGGAGTGGAGAGGAGATGAGAGTGGAGAGAGTAGAGTGGAGAGTAGAGTGGAGAGGACAGGGGAGCAGAGAGGAGATGGGAGTGGAGAGGAGATGAGAGTGGAGAGAGTAGAGTGGAGAGGACAGGGGAGTGGAGAGGAGAGTAGTGTTCTGACCTAGGCTTCCTTAAAAAGCATGAAGCAGAGTCTTGGTCCCGGTAAAACCCCTTTTATTTACACAACTGTGAATTCCCTTCATTCACAGTCAGCAAGGCTTGGCAAACAGTCTTTCAGAGGAATATTTATCAATACACCTTATCTCGCTTGGAAAGCTGCCAGATAACTAGTTTCCAAATGCAGGACAAGGCAAAACTTGGCACAGAGTCTCTGAGAGTCACGAAAAGAACTTTCCACTGTTGAAATGACCGACCGAACGAATTGTTTCCTGTAAAAGCCCCCTCCCCGTTCGCTCCTCTTTTGTTTCCTATGGGAGGGGCCAATCACCTCCAAGGTGTGGCTTTACTCCCAAGTCGACCCTGCTGAGTTGTTCTTGTCTTTTGGCAGCTCTACGCATGGCCACACTGGGAACGGGCTCCAGCTGTTCCTCTGCCTCACTGCTGTCTATCTCCCGCTCTGCCTCCAACGCAGAGCCCTCGTCCGAGCTTTCCCCAGCCCTCAGAACTGGCCCAAGTTCCTCCCCAACCTTCTCACTGTCCGACTCTGCTGCCAGTTCCACTGGCCGCCGGTGGGCCATAACAAGTAGAGAAGAGAGGGAAGTGGAGTGGAGATGGGAGTAAAGAGGACAGGGGAATGGAGAGGGGAGTGGAGAAGAGAGGAAAGTGGAGAGACAGGGGGTGAAGAGGATAAGAAAGAGTGGAGGAGAGAGGAGAGGGGAGTGGAGAGGGCGGCAGAGAAGAGGGGAGCGGAGAGGACAGGGGAGAGGAGTGGATGTGAGAGGAGATGTGAGGGGAGAGGAGATGTGAGGGGAGAGGAATGGAAAGGAGAGGAGATGGGTGTGAAGAGGACAGGAAAGAGGAAGGAGAGGAGATGGGAGTGGAGAGGGCGGCAGAGGAGAGAAGTGGAGAGGACAGGGGAGAGGAGTGGAGAGGAGAGTGGAGAGGAGGTGGGAGTGGAGAGGGTGGGAGTGGAGAGGACAGGAGAGGAGTGGACAGGTCACAAAAGGGGATTGGATGACCTAAGGATGGTGCTCACCACTGGAGGTGGCTAATAGGATAAGAAAGCCTCGATCCTGTCCCATCCCTTTCCTTGGCTGGAGTTTTTGCATTGTTTTAAAGTTTTAATAACTTTCTATTTCTCTTTTCCCTTTCTGTAAGCTGCCTAGTCACCGTATCAGGAAGACAAACAGCATATAAATTCAATAAATAAACAAACTTCAGTGAGGCAGAATTACACAACAGAACTAAATAAATGGCAGTAATTGTGGGACAGGGACTACAGATTAACAATGTCAACTGCATATAAAGAAAATCTGTATAAGACGTTTTATAGATGGCACTTTGCACCTGCGAGGTTGGCAAAGATGTTTAAAGATAAGTCAGCTAAATGTTGGAAGTGCCACCAGACACCTGGGACACCCGGCATCTCAGTTCAGGGGAGAGGTGCCATCGCTGACTATAGGGGGTGAAGTTTTGCCCCTGTAGACAGGGTGTGCAACTTGGGCGTCCTCCTGGATTCACGGTTGAGCTTAGAAGATCATATAACGACTGTGACCAGGGGGAATTGGAGATGGGAGTGGAGAGGGTGGCAGAGGAGAGGAGTGGAGAGGAGAGGAGGTGGGAGTGGAGAGGACGGGAGAGGAGTGGACAGGAGAGGAGATGGGAGGAGAGGAGATGGAAGTGGAGAGGACGGGAGTGGAGAGGAGATGGGAACGCAGAGAGGAGAAAGGGGAGTGGAGGGAAGAGGAGAGAGGAGAGGGGAATGGAGAGGACATGGGAGGGCAGAGGGGAAGGGAGAGAGGTTTATGGTTTCCCCCATTTATTTTGTTTGTCAGAAGCTGACTGGACAGGTCACAAAAGGGGATTGGATGACCTAAGGATGGTGCTCACCACTGGAGGTGGCTAATAGGATAAGAAAGCCTCGATCCTGTCCCGTCCCTTTCCTTGGCTGGAGTTTTTGCATTGTTTTAAAGTTTTAATAACTTTTTCTATTTCTCTTTTTCCATTCTGTAAACTGCCTAGTCGCCGTATCGGGAAGACAAGCAGCATATAAATTCAAGCAATAAACAAACTTCAATGAGGCAGAATTACACAATAGAACTAGATAAATGGCAGAAATTGTGGGACAGGGACTACAGATTAACAATGTCAACTGCACATAAAGAAAATCTGTATAAGAAGTTTTATAGATGGCACTTTGCACCTGCGAGGTTGGCAAAGATGTTTAAAGATAAGCCAGCTAAATGTTGGAAGTGCCACCAGACATCTGGGTCTTATTATCATATGTAGTGGACATGTATAGAAGCAAAAAAATACTGGACAAAAATACATATATGGCTGGAAAAGATGATAAAACAGCACACTGATTTAAAATCAGAAATATTTTTGTTGAGGATTTTACCTGAAACTTATAATAAAGGGAATGCATATTTAATTATCCATGTATTAACTACAGTTAGAATTGTATTTGCACAAAACTGGAAAAGAGATCCCTACTGATGAGAATGTGATTAGGAAAATATTAGAATGTGCAGAAATGAATAGATTAACACTTGCAATTAAGGAGAAAGGACAAACTGAATATTATATGACATGGGGAATTATGTTATCGATGGTTAGAGAATAAAAATGGAAGTTAGAAATAAAAGAAGAAGATCGGTGAAATGTAGAAAATACGTTTAGAGACGCAAACAATATGATTGTTATTATGACTATTAGGATTATTATGTTCAATATTATTATATTCTTATTAGAAGATATATTAAGAGGGAGAAATGAATAGGTAGTAGTATTGAATTATTATGTTCAATACTACTATTGTAAGATTAGAGAATTAATATCAATGTAATGAATACTGTTGTAAATTATGATTGTTATTGCACAGAGATATTTGTATCCAGATGACACACCGTTTAATGGAAGATGGAATGTTCATATTAAAAAAAAAATTTTTTTAAATGAGGCCTGAGGAGAGCCAATGTGGGAGATGACAAGACTGAGCCCAAAGGCAGGGTCAAATGCGTCATTAGTTTGGAGTCTCTCTGCTCCTACAAGAGACCTAATTTTTTTTCTTTAAATTTAATTTATATGCCGCCTTTCTCTGGAGACTCAGGGCGGCTTACAATGCGTTAAGCCAGTGTTTCTCAACCTTGGAAGCTTGAAGATGGGTGGACTTCAAGTCCCAGAATCCCCCAGCCAGCGCTGCTGGCTGGGGGATTCTGGGAGTTGAAGTCCACCCATCTTCAAGCTACTAAGGTTGAGAAACACTGCGTTAAGCAATAGCCTTCATACTTTTTGTATATTTATACAGAGTCAGCTTATTGCCCCCACAAACTGGGTCCTCATTTAACCTACCTTAGAAAGGATGGAAGGCTGAGTCAACCTTGAGCCTGGTGAGATTCGAACTTACAGTAATTGCAGGCAGCTGGTGTTAATCACAATGCTATCAGTCTGCTGAGCCACCAGACCCTTTTTAATTCTAGTACCCCCTTTGAGGTCCATTCTTATCTGTGGCCAATTTGCCTGGACCATGAGTAGATCAGATTATTGTGTATATATAGCAGGAAATAGACTAGTGCGGTGGCCTGGAGGTGGAGCTCTCAACTCACAATCAGGAGGCTGTGAGTTCGATCCTAGGTAGAGGCAGATATTTCTCTCTCTGGGCACAATGAGAGAAATATATATATTTATATAGATATAGATATATATATATCTGCTGAACAAAACTCCGCATTGGCAACAGGAAGGGCATCCGGCCAGTAAAACTCAGCTCCATTCAGTTGCCCAGACTCCACCCCGCAAGGGATTATGGGGTCGTTAAAAGATGACGATGATATAGCAGGAAATAAACTCTGAGTCCTTTTGAACTCTATTCTGGCTCCTGGTTTATTGAATCTGACAGCCGAGTACTGAAGACCTACCTTCCTCCTCCTTCTCCAACTAGCCCAAGAGAAGAGGATCCTGGCTTGTCGGTTATCCGTTGCTCTTTTTCCCAACCAAAAGGACTGCCCTAGAGGAGCTGAAAGCAAAGCGTTGAGGGTCAACGGTCCAGTGGTGGGAAGAGCCTGGCGCATACTCACGTGCTTGGTGGGCTGCAGGTTGACAATCACCAGCTTCCCGCCTTTCTTCTTGGTCAGCAGCGGAAGGTCCCCGCTGGGCTTGATCTGCAGTGAGGTCCCCAGGGTGATGGATAAGGATGCCCTCCTGGCAAGCAGAGGAGAAATCAGCCGTGGAGACCCTTTTCAAAGTGGAGCAGGATTTTTACCACCCCTACCTTAATTGTCCTGCCCGCAAAAATAATAAAGACAGGATACAAATTAAGTATAAATGAATGAATAAATAAATAAGACCTGGTTGTCGTTGTTGTGGCCCGTCTCTTTTATTTTTTAAGGCAATATGGGAGGGACACCATGGTGGGCAAGATGGGACTCAAGCCCACTGGCTGGCTCTGCTCTCCCTAGTTTGGGTATGTTGTGGCTCCGTTGCCTGAGCCTGGGCTATCGACAGATGCAGACTCTGAGAGTGAGGGAGAGGAGTTGACAAGGCCTCCCTCTCCAGGACCCTCCTCTCTGGCAATGCCTCCGGAGGACACCAAAGGCCAAGAGATAGGCCCAGAGCCAAGCACGTCCCCGCAGTCACAGTTGGACAGCGAAGAAGGAGATAAGTGCTGGCTGGACCCTCGGCAGAGGCGCAGGGAGAAGCGTGCACAGCAGAGGGGAAGGCGTGCCAGAGATTAGCTGAGTCACTGGACCACACCCCACAGGGTATAAATGTGGGTGTGGTGGCCGGTTCAGTTTGTGACGAGCAAAAATTAGAAATAATCCATGATCTCTGCGTTACTGGACTTCTGCCTGCCTTGTCGGACTGCATTTGGACTAATCCTTGTATTGTTGAAACTCTGCCTGCTTTATCGGAATGCTTGCAGTCTAATCTTTGTTTTGTGTGAGTAAAGTCTGAATTGGCAGCTAGCCACTGGGTTGCTGCCAGCTTTATCTTCAAAGATTTTGTTGTGTGGCTTATTAACTCCGGGCCGTCCGTGGGGGTGCGTGAGTGGGACGGGGACAGAACAGGTAAGGCAGTGAAGTTTTGTGGAGGAGGAGGAGGAGGAGGAGGAGGAGGAGGAGGACAGCTGTTGGGTCCTTGATGTTCTCTGAGCTTGATGGTTTTCTCACAGATGTTTCATGGCCTAACTAGGCAACATCATCAATGCTACAAGGGAGAGGGCTTTACTCTCTGTTTATATGCGAGTGACTATGCATGAGCCCTGCCAATGTTGGTGGGAGTGATCTTGATGCCTGCTTGGTTAGCTTATTGTTTTTTGTTTGCTTGTTGGTCTCAGTTGGTAGCTCCTTGGAGTATTAATACTTGACAACTTGTATATAAACAGTGAGCAAGTGCGACTCCCTTCTAGCACTGATGACGTTACCTAGCTGGGTCACGAAACATCTGCAAGAAAAACCACCAAGCTCAGAGAGCACCGAGGACCCTTCATTTCAACTCTGAGCCCTCCTCCGCCTCCTCTCCACAAAACTCACTGCCTTTTAGGACTGATGATGTTACCTAGCTGGGTTGCGAAACGTCTGCAAGGAAACCACCCAGCTCAGACCCCCCAGTTCAATCCTGAGCTACAAATATTGTCTTCTATCAGTGACATTTCAACTGGTTTATGAGCCTCATTTGTGTTCACCTTGGGTTCCTCAACCGCAGCTTCCGCCAACCGCTGTATAGATTCAGAAAGACCCAACCCAACAGAAATTCAGAACCAGTGGTATTTGGAGAACCAGAAGTGTTGCGGCGAGACGGCTGGAAAAATAGTGGGCTCCGACAAGCTCTGTGAAAATCCAGCCGGACAAACCACTATCGGGGGGGGGGGGGGGGAGGGGGGGTCTTCGGACCGGAACCATCCTGCAGGGGCGGTGAAGAAGGAGAGGTGCCTCAGACAACCAAGAGGAATAGACAAGTTCCTCGAAAGATCGGAGGCTGCTCTTTGAACCAGTGGTGGGCGTGGCAGCCATTGAAAAATGACCGCTCTGAAGCGGGGGCAACTGGACTACGTTTTTTGTGCAGGAGTGGTGTCTGAATGGACTGCTGGTACTGGGTGAGTGATTGGCCAACTCACAGGTAAAAAAGAAAATTTTTTAACAACTTTGAAAGGTGTCCCGGAGCGGAAATGAGCAGCTAATTGGCACTTGGGAAAGTTAATAGAGGGAGAAGAATAAAGAGGATTTATTTATTTATTATTATTTATTAGTTTGATTTATATGCTGCCCTTCTCCAGAGACTCAGGGCGGCTTACAATGCTTTTAAGCAATAGCCTTCATACTTTTATATATACCTGCTTAATAGGGCTTTTGGCCCCCCCAAGCGGTGTTCTATTTTATATGAAGTCAGTTTAAGGAGGAGGTTAAAATACCAAAGCCCAAGAAAGAAAATTTTACAACTGGATTTAAAATTGGATTTGGAGAAATTAAAAATAATAAAAGAAAAAGAAACCCGAGGGAAAGTACTTTCTATGTGGATTAAAAATATTTTTGATAATTTTGACATTTGAAAGGAGAAGAACAAAGAAGATGGTAAAATACTAAAGCCCAAGAAAGAAAATTTTACAACTGGATTTAAAATTGAATTTGGAGAAACTAAAAACAATAAACGAAAAAGAAACCGGAGGAAAAGAACTCTTTATGTGGATTTAAAACATTTTTGACAGCTTTGATACTTAGCAGATCTGAGAATATTGTGGATTTGAGAGAGACATCTGCTGGGGGAAAGTGAGTACTGCAATATAGATTGGAAGATAGAAGAAAAAACAATAGCTGTGACCTTGATTTAATCCGGAAACTGTGAGAACTTTTAAGGAGTATCTGTTTTTCTGGACTGCTTCATTTCATCTTTCAACGGTTGTGAAAGTGAACAAAGCTTTAATTTGGAGCAGATTGGAATAAATATTTGAATTGGATACTCTAAGAGACTATATAAACTTTAGAATTTTAATTAAATATAAAGTAAACGTTTTTTAAAAATTTAAATTGACAATATGGAGTCTTGGATGTGTGAGGAATTAATTGAGATGCTTAAAAATATACATGAATCATTAAAGGGTAGTAAAAAGTCAGAAATTTTGTTGGAATACACAGAACAGGAAAAAGAGAGCATAAATGAGGAGCAAGAAAATAATACTGAAAGAATAGGAAATGAAAGTAAAAAACAGATGATTTCACTGGGATTAACAGTGGCAAAAAAAGGAGTGGATGGGGGGAATATTCCCCCAAAAAGATTCAAACAAAGGGAAAAGACGAAAACAGTGAAAAGAGACTAGGAGAAAGCTTGGGGAGATTTACTCGAGTAATATATTTAAAAGTGAGAAAAAGATAAAATAAATACAAAAAGAAAAAAAAGAAAAAGGAGAAGTTAAAAGAATGGGATAAAGGAGGAAATTACCAAGAAGTGGAATTTTGGAAAGACCAAGAGAAAATGGTTGAAGAGGGGAAGAATAGTGGAAAGGAGAAAGGGGAATAAGGTATATAATAGTAGATTTAAGGAAACCGTATTAATATTATTAATTGTGGATGGTCAATTAAGTTAAAGGGTTTTAATGTAAGAAATGAATATGATGATGTATACTGCTTATAGCAAAACGGAATAATGGCTGAAAAATGAAATGGTAATTGGGTTTAATTATGAAGATAAGTTAAATTAAGAGACAAAATTGAAACGTTAAAAAGTGGGATGGGATCTTGAACAATATATGATGTAAATGAAGAAATAAGATAATTAATTGATGTAAGAAATTAGGAATTAAGGGCAGATAGTGATACTGTTTGTGTATTATGTATTAAGAAGAGGTTAAGATAAGATAAAGAAACATGGAAAAAAAATATTATGGCCGAAATTGGAAATATGTAAAATGTACTGGAGGGGGGGGAGGGAGAAGAGAGATGAAATAACAAGACATGGTGAAAAATGATGAATTTGTGATAATAACAACTTTATTGTCATTGTGTGTGTATACCCAGTTTACCCATACAACGAAATTCACTTAACACCCAAAGGCCAGGTCCAACACATAACAATCCACAAACACACTCCCACCCACAATTTCCCCTCCCCTAAACCACCCAAACATCCACACAACAGACCAAGTTATGCTGTCCGTATATATAAATATAAATAAATATATATAAAGAATTATATAAAAGGGATGAATATGGAAAAAGCGGGAAGATTGGAATAGATTATAAAAATTAATATATGTGTATAAAATGTGACCCAGTCATAAAGTATGTATAATGAAAGAAAAATTTTAATAAAACTTGTTTACAAAAAAAAGAAAGAAAGAAAGAAAGAAAGAACCGTGCGGAGGAAAACAAACCTGCTGGCTTCGGAGGCCAAATTGAGGTCCCGGTCTGGCAGGGAATCTTCCCAGTCTAAAATGGTGTCCATTAATTTGCCTCTTTAAGAAGAAACACAAAAGGCACACCGATCAAACCAACTGTGAATGGGAAATAAAAGCATTTTTTAAAATACATTCCCTCCCTCCCAGAGTTTTGGGGTGTATTTCTATGATCAGGAGGCTCAACCCCCCCCCCCTTTCCTCTTCCTCCAGAGAGTTGGAAGAAGTGAATGAAGACCCCAACTCACCCTTCCTAGCCCTGCCTTCCAAACTCCAGCGGCCAGGAATTGGGAGCTGAGCGGGTATTAAGTGCCTTTTTAAAGCAAGCAGCTCACAAAATAGAGAAAGGGAGGATCTGATTTTGGGTGGAATAGAAATGGATCCCATGGGATTTTTTTTTTTGCAGGAAGCTTGACAGACAGCTTGGACTTTTCCTGTTTAGCCAATCGGAGTTTGCATCCGATCTCCGCCTCATTCTACAGATCAGGGGGGGTCTCCAAACTCCGCAACTTTTAACACGCCGGGACTTCAACTCCCAGAATTCCCCAGCCAGAGAGACCCTTAATAGGTAGTCCTCGACTTACAACAGTTCATTTAGTGATCGTTTGAAATGACAACGGCGCTGAAAAAAGTGACTTAGGATTGTTTTTCACACTTACGACCATTGCAGTTACTATGGGCCACCCCACCCCCATAGCCCTGATTTGAATTTCTGGTGCCTACACCACACCCCCATGGTCATGTGATCACATTTTGGCATTGGTGCAAGTTGATGTTCGAGAACCAACTTGCATTTATGGCCATTTGCAATCTCCAGTTGAGAGAATCTTGGATAGGCCAAAGGAAGGGAAGAATATGAAGAACAGTTGCAGGATTTGGGTTTGGCCAGTCGAGAGAAAAGAAGGACTAAGGGGGACATGAATGCAGTCTTCCAATATTTGAGGGGCTGCCACAAAGAAGAGAGGGTCAACCTATTCTCCAAAGCACCTGAAGGCAGGACAAGAAGCCATGGGTGGAAACTAACCAAGGAGAGAAGCAACCTAGAACTAAGGAGAAACTTCCTAACAGTGAGGACAATTCACCAGTGGAACAGCTTGCCACCAGAAGTTGTAGGTGCTTCATTACTGAAGGCTTTTCAGAAGAGACTGGACAGCCACTTATCTGAGATGGTGTAGGGTTTCCTGCTTGAGCAGGGGGTTGGACTAGAAGACCTCCAAGGTCCCTTCCAACTTTCTTCCTGCAGTCGATGGCGCAATGAATGACTGAGAGATGGGTGTAAATTGACAGGGAGACTGTTGAGACAATCCATCTTCTGCCTGCCTGTTTCCTTAGCAGCTCTCCTCTCCACGAAGGACCCCAATTAATAATCTTGTCAAGGAGATTTAATGCCAGTTTAAAGCATGTAAGCTGAGAAGCGATTCCCCTTTGCGCTTCCCGGATTCTAGTGGCAGCTGTGGGGTGCAAAGGCCACCCATTAAGAACTTCCCAGTCCATAACTCACATTTTGCTCCAAAGCACGAGGTGGAAGGGGAGACCCACTGCATCCTCCCCAGCCTTTAGCTGACACTTTTTAATCACTTTGAACCAAATTAACCAGTGGAACAGCTTGCCACCAGAAGTTGTGGGGGATCCATCACTGGAGGTTTTTAAGAAGAGACTGGACAGCCACTTGTCTGAAATGGTATAGGATCCCCTGCTTGAGCAGGGAGCTGGACTAGAAGATCTCCAAGGTCCCTTCCAGCTCTATTCTGATTAGAATTAAGAAAGCCCAGAAGGGGGTTCAAGAATTGGAGAAAGGCATTGTTGTGCAGGTACTCCTCGACTTATGACCATAACAGAACCTGCGGCTCCCTAAGTGGCTCAGTGGCTAAGACGCTGAGCTTGTCGATCAGAAAAGTCGGCGGTTCGAACCCCTCATATAGGTCTCCTGTGTGAGCAGGAGGGTTGGACTAGATGACCTCTAAGGTCCCTTCCAACTCTGTTACTGTTACATTACGGTCTTAAATTGTGACAGTCGTAGAGCAAGTTATCACACGATCAACTCGATTTTACGACCTTTTTTCCCAGCAATTTTTAAACAAATGAGCATGGTCTTTAAGTGAATCTGCAGTCGTTAAATAAATGCCAGCATTTCGGCAAAAGGTTGTAAGGTGTAGTCCTGCGATCCCTGTAAATGGCCATAAATGCAGGCCGGTTGCTAAATGCTGAAAATGGGCTCACGTTTTCAGCATTATCTTATCAGAATTTGGGAAATGTGTTGTAATTACCATTGGGGGAAAGTCTGTTGTAACTTTGAGTGGTTGCTAAGTGACCCGGCGTAAGTCAAGGACTATCTGTAATGGTAGAGGCAGGGTTAAAAAAAGAAAGGAAGGCCAGGCATGAGGATGGATGAGAGAGAGAGAGAGAGAGAGAGAGAAGAACCAAGGGTTAGGCAAAAGCTGGGGAGGAATTCTTCAAAAAAATTTTAAGATTTTTAAAGCGGAAAGAAATTCACTGATTCACAAATGAGCCTTAATGAGGTGACTGGCTTCGGAATAGGCTGGGTATGGAATAACCAAGTACAAGGTTGTCCTTGACTTACGACCACAATGGAGCTCAAACTTTCCATTGTTAAGTGAGACATTTGTTAAGTGAGTTTTGTCCCATTTTATCACCTTTCTTCCTCCGGTTGTTAAGTGAACCCTGACAGTTGATAAGTTAAGTAACTCGGTTGTTAAGTGAATCTGGCTTCTCTGTTGATTTTGCTCGTCAGAAGGTCGCAAAAGGGGATCATGTGACTCCCCCACCTAGGACACAGCAACCGTCATAAATATGAACCGTTTGCCAAGCGTCTGAATTTGGATCACGTTGCCATGGGGAGGCTGCAAAGGTCGTAAGTGTGAAAAACAGTTATAAGTCCCATTTTTCAGCGCCGTTGTAACTTTGAAGGTCACTAAAAGAACCGTCGTAAGTGGAGAGCTACCTGTAATTAAGGTATCCAATGGGCTGCGTTCACACCACATTGCCAATCAATGAAAAGGCAAATGGAAGTGTAGCACGTCATGTGAACGGATGCCGGTTCGGTCTTTGTGTGACTTGATGGAGTGGGGTGTGATCGGGGCTCTACGAAGGACCCATGGGGAGGGGTCAGGGGAGGCAGCCGTGGGGCACGCACCTGCAGGATCGGAGCCCTCGGTGTTTGGAGACGTCGCAGAGCCGGCCGGTGGGTTTGAGCCCCATGGTGCCCACAACGGTGTCCCTCACGTATTGTCTTAAAAAAATGAAAAGAAGACACGGCTGCGGCAATGATAACCAGACCTTTATTTATTCATTTGTATTTATTTAATTTGTATCCCGTCTTCCTTATTTTTACGAATAACTCAGGCCGGCAAAACTATCTAACACACCTTCCTCCTCTTACTTTCACAACAACCTTGTGAGGTGGGTTGGGCTGAGAGAGAGGGACCGGTCCAAAGTCACCCAGCTGGCTTTCATGCCTAAGGCGGGACTAGAACTCACAGTCTCCTGGTGATCGGCCCAAAGTCACCCAGCTGGCTAAGGCGGGACTAGAACTCACGGTCTCCTGGTAAATGGCCCAAAGTTACCCAGCTGGCTTTCATGCTTAAGGTGGGACTAGAACTCCCAGTTTCCTGGTGATTGGCCCAAAGTCACCCAGCTGGTTTTCATGCCCTAAAGCAGGACTAGAACTCTCAGTCTCCCAGTTTCTAACCTTGGTGTCTTATCCAGTAGACCAAATGGGAATATTGCTGCCATCCAATTCTTGGACCGAGGGGTGACTGTGGATTAACAGCTCCCAACCCAGATGAGCATCTTCTACTTCCAGGTGTGGGAACAGCTGCCTCTTGGGCTGAGTCCCTGACTTGTGGGGAATCGGCAACCGGATAGGCTGCTGAGATACTTTCACTGGGGTGGGGAAGATCCAGATCCTGTTCTTGAAATTAGGGGAGGATGTCTTGCTAAGAGAGAGGAGTGGTGAAGTGGCGTAGAAGTGGAGCTCTCGCCTCACAATCAGGGGGCTGTGAGTTCGATCCTAGGTAGAGGCAGATATTTCTCTCTCTGGGCACAATGAGAATATATCTGCTGAACAAAACTCCGCACTGGCGACAGGAAGGGCAACTGACCAGTAAACACTCAGCTCCATTCTGTTGCCCAGACTCCACCCCACAAGGGATTATGGGGTCATTAAAAGATGATGATGATGATGTCTTGCTAAGAAAGACCCAGCCCAGGATGGTGTCCCACTTTAAGAATGCTGAGCATCCCTAGTTAAAAACACTATCGTGATTAAAAACCACATTTGTTTTCAGGCATGTAAAAGCAGCGGGGGGGGGGGGGGGGGAGGGAGAAAAAAAGGAACATACTTGCCACATTTCATGCATTCCTCTACGAACATGTTCCCGTGCAGTTCTGCTAGCTTGTCCCTAGAGCGGAGACATGAAGAAAAATTGCTAGACGGGGGAGATCAGATGCACTAAAAGGGGTCTCCAAACTATGCGATTTTAAGACTTGTGGAATTTCCTCTCTGTTTATATACTAGTGGCGTAATGGCGTAATCAAGGAACTACCAAGAACATTCAAGCCAGCAAGCTACTAGTACATAAATGGAGAGCAAGCCCCACTCCCTTCTAACACTGATGATGTTACCTAGTTGGGTCATGAAACGTCTGCAAGGAAACCACCACGCTCAGAGAGCACCAAGGACCACCCCAGCCGCCCTCCTTCACATTCTCCTTTTCTTCCTCTTCCTCCTCCTATCCACAAAACCCCCTCTCCCTTCTAGCACTGATGGTATTCCGTAGTTGGGTCATAAAATGTCTGCAAGAAAAGCACCAAGCTCTGAGAGCACTAAGCACCCCACAGCCAGCCTCCTCCTCCTCCTCCAACACTTCCTCCTCTTCCAGTACTTTTTTCTTCTCCTTCTCCACCACTTTATCCTTCTACCTCCCCAACACTTTCTTCTTTACCACCACCCTTTCTCCTCCTCCTTCTCCAACTCCACCTCTCTTTCTCCTTCTTTGCTCAGGAATTCTGGGAGTTGAAGTCCACAAATCATAAAGGTTCTCCATCCCTGATCTAGGATGATTTCTTGGAGAAGCCCTAACTTGACACCTCATTGGCCGCAATGTTTCAAGCAGGTAAGCGTTACCTGGGGAAGCCGGACCTCACGTGAAGCCCATCTATGTTCTGGCTGACCAGGAAGTGTAGGATGCCCACTCGATGGAGCTCCAACAGAGCCATGTGAGTCTTCGACGGCCTCGCGTTCTCAAAGGTGGTGTCGAATTTGGGCACCAAGCCCCGCTCCTCCATGGTCCACACTCCATTCGGGCCTCTGCACGAAGGGAGAGCAGCACAGTTGGTCCTCCACTTACAACAGTTCGTTTAGTGACTGCTTGAAGTGGCAACCGCATTGGGAAAAAAAAGTAACTTAATGACCATTTTCCACACCATTTGCGACCGTTGCGGTCCCGTGATCAAAATCCGGGGGCTTGGCCATTGACTCATATTTATGACCGTTCCCCGGGGTTACGCGATCCCCCTTTTGCGACCTTCTGACGAGCAAAATCACTGGGGAAAGACAAAATTCGCTTAAAACAACCGTGTGACTCATTTAAGAACTGCAGGGATTCGTTTAACAGCGGTGGCAAAAAAGGTCGTAAAATGGGACAAAGCTCACTTAAGAACTGTCCTGCTTAGATGCCGGAAATCTGGGGCTCAATTGTGGTCATAGTTTCGAGGACTACCTGTCGGTGGTATGACTCAGGGCTACCGGAGGAACCGTTTCACCTGATGGGATTGGACCAACCCGTTGACAGCAGAAGGGACATGCTGAAGACCCCATCAGCCAAGGCAGGGGTCTCCAACCTTGGCCACTTTATGACTTGTGGACTTCAATTCCCAGAATTCCTCAGCCAGCTGGCTGAGGAATTCCGGGAATTGAAGTCCACAAGGAATTTTGGCCGACAGGGATGCAGGAGAAGGCCTTTTTCTGCTGTAGCTTCTGCCTTCTGGAACATCGTGCCCCTTGAGGCAAGATCTGCCCCCCCACCTTTTAAGACCTGGCTCTGCTGGTTGGCCTGGGGCTCGGAGGGGGTCAGGCCATTCTCGAGGTGGTCACTGGGGTTAGACAGAAGACACCCCCCACCTCCTGCCCCATTGTATGCTCCCCTCCTCCATCTTAATTGCCTTTGATTCTAATGTTATGTTGACGGTTTTAACAATACTGTTTTAATTGTGTTGTAAACCGCCCGTCACAGCGAGATGAGATAAGAAAAATAACCAGCTCTGAACAGGGTAAGAGCAGCTGCGGGCAGAATGTTCCTGAAAGCTGATGACTCCCTTATGGGTGAGAGGAAAAAGAGGAGAAACTGTAGGTATACCAAGACAGAAGGATTATATTTCCTTATTGTTCGCGAAAAAGTCATGGAAATAATTTCAAGGATAGGCTATACTCCTTCAACCTAAGATGACTTTGTATAAAAAAGAACACCGCTTGGAGGGGGCCGAAAGCCATACTAAGCAGGTATATACAAAAGTATGAAGGCTATTGCTTAATGCATTATAACCCACCCTGAGTCTCCGGAGAAGGGCGGCATACAAATTGAACCAATAAATAAATAAATAAATAGATAAATAAATAAATAAACCTGGCCTTTAATTCAACCGACTTCCTGGATTAATTGATTAATCAAACATAACCAGGAGAGGCGTCTAATCCTGGTTTATATTCCATTATACAGCTAGTCCTCGACTTATAATCATAATTGAGCCCCAAGTTGCTAAACCACATAGTTGTTAAGTGAATCTTGCCCCATTTTACGACCTTTCTTGCCACTGTTAAGCAAATCACCGCAGCTGTTAAGTGAGTAATACGGAAGTTAAGCGAATCTGGCTTCCCCATGGACTTGGCTGGTCAGAAGGTCGCAAAAAGGGATCACTTGAACCATCATAAATATGAATCAGTTGTCAAGCATCTGAATTTTGTTCACGTGACCATGGGGATATTGCAACGGTCGTAAGTGTGAAGACTGGTCATAAATCACTTTTTTCAATGACATTGTAACAGATTAACACAGTTGGAAGGGTCCTTGTAGGTCATCTAGTCCAACCCACCCATCCCCGCCCAAGCGGGAGACCCTACACCATTTCTGACAGATGGCAGTCCAGTCTCTCCTTGAAAGCTGCCAGTGATGAAGCTCCCACCACTTCTGAAGGTAAGCTGTTCCATTCGTAATTTCAAATAGTCACTAAATGAGGACTACCTGTATTAGATGGAATATTCAACTATAAATCTGCAGGCTTTTTCTTGTATCCCCCCCCCAAATGAGATTGAGCATTCAAGGCTTCATAATGCATCATCCGTGCACTGAGCACGGTTTCCAAACCAAAATCACATCCTCATTTAGCTTATTCAAAGTTTGCTGTTCCCATCCCTGGAATCCAAAACTTGGTCTGAAAATTGTGAGTTAGGTAAAGCTTGGCCTCTGAGCCAGACCTCTGGCCTCAGCTGTCCATTTCCTCACCTGAAATCCGGGATCCCTGAAGCTGTGCTGATACCCGCCCCCGTGTGAAAGACCACGTTGAAAGAATTCTGGATCAAGTCAGCCAGCTGATGGATCTTCCTCTCCAACTCGTCCGGCGGATCGAAAATCTGAACAAAAGATGGAAGAAGCGTCGACTGGATTGCATGGCAGAGGTGAGCAAGGGGTCCCTGAAACACCTCCGAAGGGGTGAACCCCCACACAGGGTACAGGCAGCCAGCAGTGTAAATGCCATGTTAAGGCTGAGAGAGAACCCACTCCTAGGTGCCCCCTGCCCAGATTAAATCTGCCCTTGTTGCTTTCTGCTATATTAATATATTAATTCTATTAATATTGACATACTTAGGGATTCCAGGGTTAATGCCTGCTAAATATTTGAAGCAGGTTGATAAAATGTTGAGTAAGTGATGGTTAAGTTTTTAGGTCTTCTTTGGCTAAATTGAGGTTTTTATATGATGGGGGAGATCTGTTCTTCCGATTGTTTTATCTCAGAGGTGATTAAGGACTTGTGTGTTATATCTTAGTACAGGAAGTCCTGGACTTACAACCACGATTGAGCCCAAAATTTCCATGGCTTGTGGTTAAATGAGTTTTTTTGCCCCATTTTACAGTACACGCTATTTGCCATGGTTGTTAAGCGAATCACTGCAGTGGTTAACTAAATGACGGGGTTGTTAAACATATCTGGCTTCCCCTATTAACTTTGCATATCGGAAGATTGCTGGAAAGGTCACAAATGGTGATCATGGGACCCCAGGACATGGAAACAATCACATGTCAGTTGCCAAATGCCTGGATTTTGTATCACGTGATCCCGGGGATGCGGCAATGGTCATAACTATGAAAAATGGTCATCCATCACTTTTTTCAGTGCAGTTGTAACTTTGAACGGTCACCAAATGAATGGCTGTTACAACCACAATCGTGACTAGGATTAGAATAGAATAGATTAGATTAGATTACATAGATAAACAGACAGACAGACATGGATAGATCAAGATAGAGGATAGATAGATAGATAGATAGATAGATAGACAGACAGACAGACAGACAGACAGACAGACAGACAGACATAGACAGATCAAGATAGAGATAGAGGATAGATAGATAGATAGATAGATAGATAGATAGATAGACAGACAGACAGACAGACAGACAGACAGACACAGACAGACAGACAGACAGATCAAGATAGAGATAGAGGATAGATAGATAGATAGATAGATAGATAGATAGATAGATAGACAGACAGACAGACAGACAGACAGACAGACAGACATGGACAGATCAAGATAGAGATAGACAGACAGACAGACAGACAGACAGACAGACATGGACAGATCAAGAGATAGATAGATAGATAGATAGATAGATAGATAGATAGAGATAGACAGACAGACAGACAGACATGGACAGATCAAGATAGATAGATAGACAGACAGACAGACAGACAGACATGAATAGGTCAAGATAGATGATAGATAGATAGATAGATATAGATAGACAGACAGACATGGACAGATCAAGATAGAGATAGATAGATAGATAGATAGATAGATAGATAGATAGATAGATAATAGACAGACAGACAGACATGGACAGATCAAGATAGAGATAGATACAGATAATAGATACAGAGACAGATAAAGAAATACAGATAGATGATAGATGAAGATACAGATAGACAGACATAGGTAGTTAGACAGAGACAGACACCCACCCCACACAGAAAGCTCCCAAAACTTTAAAAAACCAAAACCAGAGCTTAATTTTGAGAATAGGCGCTACTTATATACAGCTAGTCCTTGACTTGCGACCTCAATCGAGCCCAAATGTATGTTGCTTAAGCGAGACATTTGTTAAGGTGAATTTCGCCCCATTTTACCGCCTTCCTTGCCACCGTTGTTAAGTGAATCACTGCAGCAGTTAAAAGTCAGTTAAAGGGATTTTTAAGTGAACGTGGCTTCCCCAAGGAAGGTCGCAAAAGGGGATCAGCACCTGAAACCCCGCCTCCCCTGGGACGCTGCAACCGTCATAAATACGAGTCAGTCGCCAAGCCCCTGAATTTTGATCGCGTGACACCCCCACCCCCACGATGCTGCCACAGTCGTAAGTCTGAAAAAGGGTCCTAACTCCGGTCACTAAACGAACTATTGTAAGTAGAGGACACCTGCCTGTATGGACACCTCCACCCCCCACACACACACACCTCCAATGGGGCCCCATAGGTTAAACCCCTTGAAAGGAAAGATAAAGGAACACACACACACACACACACACACACACACACACACACAATGATGGATGGGGGATTCTGGGAGTTGTAGTCCATGATGCCAACTTTATTTAATGTTAACTTTATTTCATTTTATCTTATTTATTTATTTAATGCCAACTTTAGAGACACCCCCCCACCCTTTGCCCTGGAAGGGGGAGAATCAGCTCCCTCAATGCCCCCCCCTCGCCTCAGGGGCAGCCCCTGTGCCTCAGTTTCCCCCCTTCTCCTTCCGTGCCTCAGTTTCCCTCCAGGTCTTCTTGCTTCAGGCTCTTAAGTCCCCCCCACCCCATCCCTTCGTGCCTCAGTTCCCCCCCCCTCCCCGAGGCCTTCGCCCACTTCCATGGCTGAGGGTCCCTCAGCGGGGAAGGGGGGGCGGTGGGGGGGGGCTGGCCCGTTCCCATGGCAACGAGGCCTCCTCTCGCCTTCCTCGCCTTCCCCTCACCTCCGGGAGGCCGCATTTCCCTTTGTCCGGGTAGGGCGACAACCCCGCCGCGTAATTCACCGACATCCCGTCGTTGTCTTCGCCGCCCTGCTACGTCTTCATCGTTTCGTGGGGAATCATTAGGGAGACCCCCCCCTCGCCTCAGCAGATAACTTCCGGTGGGGGGACAGAAAAAAAAAAGGAGGCCGGAAGGCCTTTTAGTTGCGCAAGCGCATTCCGGGAGTATTAGTTGTGGGTGAGAGAAAGAGACGTTCGCCATCTTTGTTTTGGGCGGAGAGCGCTGCTTTCTTTGGAAAGGGGGCGACGTCGCGGCCGTCATGTTTGGTGCTGGTCTGAGGAGGGAGACCGCCATGTTTGAAAATGATAGAGAGAGAGAGAGAGAGAGAGAGAGAGAGAATGTGTGGTGGTGGATAGGTGAACTAGCCGGCGTCGCCATCTTTGTTTAGGGCAGTTAAGGTGGAAAGGCGGGAAATAGGGAGGGAGAGCAGTATTTAGTTCTGCAGGGGGTTTTTTTGGGGGGGGGAGGAGAGTTCAAACAACCCCCCAAAAATAGGAACATGGCAATGTTGATCAAGGTAGCAGTTTATAAATAACAGTAACAGAGTTGGAAGGGACCTTGGAGGTCAACTAGTCCAACCTCCTGTTCATGCACCAAGACGAATTTCTATCACACTTGGCCAATATTTTATTTTTTTTTGCTTTAATTTATATGCCGCCCTTCTCCGGAGACTCAGGGCGGCTTACAATGCGTTAAACAATAGCCTTCATACTTTTGTATATTTATACAAAGTCAGCTTATTGCCCCCACAAACTGGGTTTTCATTTAACCTACCTTAGAAAGGATGGAAGGCTGAGTCAACCTTGAGCCTGGGGAGATTCGAACTTGCACTAATTGCACCACCCAGCTGGTGCTATTTAACAGCACTTTAGTCTGCTGCGCCACCAAGGCTGTATTTGGGAGAGCTGAGAAGAAATGGATCAATTCAATCAATTGAGTCTGTTGGGTGAACCCAGCCGGTTTAAAATGCCAGCTTGCACATGTAATATAACCCTTTTGGCCTGAAATTGTTTCCTGCTCCAGCAGGGGGTTGGATTAGATGACCCTCAAGGTCCCAAGAGAAGAGCAACCAAGATGATTAGGGGCTCGGAGGTTAAAGCATATGACGAACGGGTTGCAAGTATTGGGGATGCGTAGTTTAAGGAAAAGAAGGACCAGGGTGACAGGATAGCATCTTCCAACATTTGAGGGGCTGCCACAGAGAGGAGGGGGTCAAGCTATTGTGGGAAACAGAGCCTATTGTTTTTACAGAAACTGTTAAGAAGACATGCCGGCCTGTGAAGAAAATACATTGTATATATTTCTAATCTCATGAGCTAGGCTGAAGCTTGAGAATTGTATGTAGGAGTTAGGACCAGAGGGCCTCTGGAATGCTAAAAGCCAGCCTTAAACAGAATTTACTGATTTAACAGATTAACAGAGTTGGAAGGGACCTTGGAGGTCCCACCACCCCCAGCACTATTTCTGATAAATGATATTGTTGGAAGAAATGTCCATCTGGGTTCAGCTCCAAGTGGGGGAAAAAGACACTGGAAACATGGAGACTGCTTGGAAAGATGGTTTAATGGTGGACAGGACCGCATGGTTTGAGTTCCTGAGCAGAAAAGGGCAGAGATGCTGAGAGTCCCTGGGTTTTATGCCCTCTCTGAGCTTTGAACTTCTTGGGGCACAGGAAGAGTATCCTGATTGGTTGTCAGACTCCCAGGGGGTGGAGGGTCTTAGCTAGCCTTGCTGGCTGATGTAAACTTCCCAGGTACCATGTGGGGAGTTTCTGTCCTAGATGGGTCCTATTGGGTTGCAGATGATGGTCCATTGACAAAAGTGGGGGGGAATGAGTGAGCTTGGCTGAGGCCTTAATGGCCCATTGACAAAGGTGGGGGGAGGTAGGAAGCTGCTTTGTCTTTAAAACATGTCTCTCCATTTCTCATCCAGGGAAATATATTCTGCCTTTTTAATATTTCCTAAAATATTTCATTCTTCTAGGAGAGGGGTGGGTGCTAACTTCCTACAATATGATAGAGACAACCTCTAGGAACTTAGGAGCATAAAAGGAAATTCGTAAATAATAAGGGCAGGGGGGTGATAGAATTAAGAGTAATGGGAGATGTAATCAGGGGTGGAGATAATGTATTCCCTTTAGACGCTTCCGATAGATTGTGACAGCATTAATTACTAAGCCAATGAAGAAAAGGTGGGAGGTAAATATTGGTAAAGGCAATAGAGCAAGGGGTCTCCAACCTTGGCAACTTTTAAGACTTGTGGACTTCAAGCTTTGCTGGCTGAGGAATTCTGGGAGTTGATGTCCACAAGTCTTAAAGTGGCCAAGGTTGGAGACCCCTGCTTTAAAGAATAAAGCAAACATATTGATGTTTTAGGATGTGTCCACTCTGTGTGCGTGCGTGCGTGTATGTGTGTGTCTCCCATCCTCTTTGCAAAGTGAATAAAATTATCATTGTTTTCTCTTGGAACGTTTTGGCTGGCGATTGTTTCTTGCAAAACTAGACAACGAATCCCACACTATTTTCCAAAGGCCAGACAGGAAGCCACAGGTGGGTTGTAAACAGGACGAGTTTTGCATATGGAATTTCCCCAAGACACTAACTCGAAAGCGGCGAAGAATTTTATTCCCTGTGTTTGCAAACACGGGGTTCCCAAAAGGGGGTACCCAGAATAAAGCATACATTCGATTTTTTATCCCCTTACACAGACTGTTAATACTACATCCTGTCAAAAGCATATAGTTTATTGCCTCTAAAAGCCCCCACTCCCTTTATTCCAGCTACATTTAAACCATAACCTACTTTTTGCTAGCGTAGGCTTGTATTTCCTCTGCTTGCCGTTTCGGCTGACATTTTTAGCTCGGTGGGCTTGTGGTTTTACCCAGCCAACATCTTACCTGTGACATGTTTGTTCCACTTAATATATTTATGCTAAGCATTTTAGAAACAATACTAACTCCATTTTGTTTATTTATTGTATCTTTTTATTCTTGATGAATGTATTTTATTCTCTTTATGTACACCGAGACCATATACACCTAAGACAAATTCCTTGTGTGTCCAATCACACTTGGCCAATAAAGAATTCTATTCTATTCTATTGAACAATTTCCATTTCCCCCTCTTTAATGATTTCTTAATCTGCTTTTTAAATTCTTAGTTCCTAGAGGATTGTCTCTAGAATAACTATCATTACCACTTGCTAGGTTAGCTAAAATGCTTATTGATTGATTGATTGATTGATTGATTGATTGATTCAATTTATATGCTGCCCTTCTCCGGAGACTCAGGGCAGCTTACAATGTGTTAAGCAATAGCCTTCATACTTTTGTATATACCTGCTTAGTAGGGCTTTCGGGCCCACCCCCAAGCGGTGTTCTTTTTTATACAAAGTCAGCTTATTGCCCCCACAATCTGGGTCCTCATTTTACCTACCTCCGAAGGATGGAAGGCTGAGTCAACCTTGAGCCTGGTGAGATTTGAACTTGCAGTAATTGCAGGCAGCTGGCAGCTAAGTGCTACTTAACAGCACTTTAGTCTGCTGCGCCACCAAGGCTCCTTATCCTTAAAAATATGTCTAGCAAATGTTGGAAATGTAATAAAAAAAACCAGGCACATTTTATCATATGTGGTGGACTTGTGCAAAAAAAAAAAATTGGGCAAAAATACATAGGTGGTTAGAAAAGATAATAGGAAAACATGTAGATTTTAAATCTGAACTGTTTTTATTAGGGATGATATCATATAAATTTGATAAGAAAAGTATGTATTTAGTATTACAACAGCTTTGAGGATTATCTTCGCACAATATTGGAAAAATGAAGAAACATTGCAAGATGAAGAGATAATTAAGAAATTAGAGTGTGCAGAAATGAATAGACTTACATTGAAAATCAAGGAAAAAGAAGACACAGAATATTATCAAACGTGGAACTTATTTTTACTAGTGGTTGGAAAAAAAGGGTGGAGAGTAAGAATGGAATCTAGATTGCTAAGCAAATTAAATACCCAGACAACATGTTGTTTATGAAGCACTAAGAAATGTAATTAATAGAAAATTAATAAAATTTACATTAGAATAACTATCGTAGCAGAGGCCTTCCTACATACAATTCTCAAAACTTCAGCCTAGCTCATGAGATTACAAATGTACACAATGTATTTTCTTCACATGGCTTCTTACAGGTTCTGCAAGAAACAAGAAACTTGTTTCCCGCAGATGGAAACCGATCAAGGAGAAATGCAACCTAGAAATAAGGATAAAATTTCCGACAGTGAGAACAATCCACCAATGGGAACAGAAGTTGCCTTCAGATGTTGTGGGAGCTTCATCACTGGAAGCTTTCAAGGAGAGAGTGGACTGCCACCTTTTTTTTTTTTTTTAAATTTGATTTATATGCCGCCCTTCTCCGGAGACTCAGGGCGGCTTACAATGTGCTCAGCAATAGCCTTCATCCTTTTGTATATTTATACAAAGTCAGTTTATTGCCCCCACAACTGGGTCCTCATTTCACCTACCTTAGAAAGGATGGAAGGCTGAGTCAACCTTGAGCCTTGGCGAGATCCGAACCTGCAGTAATTGCAGGTAGCTGGTCTTAATAACCAGCTTAATAACAGGGTGCCTTAGACCACTGTACTACCAAGGCTCTTTGGTAGTACTGTCAGAAATGGTGTTGGGTTTCCTGCTTAGTCAGAGGGTTGGACTAGATGATTTACAAGATCCCTTCCAAGTCTGTTTATCTGTATCTGAGCCCCATCCAACTCTTATTCTATGTTCTAAAAATGGTTTTCACTGTATTTTTAATTCCTCTCTTTCGTTCATTTTAGTTGCCTTTACGGTTGTAGGAAGTTAGCACCCACCCCTTTCCTGGAAGAGTGAAATATTTTAGGAAATATGAAAAAGGCAGAATATTATATTTCCCTGGATGAGAAATGGAGAAGCATATTTTACAGACAAAGCAGCTCCCATCTTCCTGCCCCCATCCTTTGTCAATGGGCCATTAAGGCCTGGGCCAGTCTATTCTACATAACAAAGATCTACCTCCTTCAGGCAGAGCCAAAGTAGGAATTGCCAAAGACAGGATTAGCCCTCTACACAATAGCAGCAGAAACTCACCACAGGTGATCTGGGAAGCACATGTGACCATCAGCCAGCAAGACCCCCACCCCCTGGGAGTCTGACAACCAATCAGAGTACTCTTTCTGGGTCCCTGGAAGTTCAAAGCCAGAGAGAGCATAAAACCTGAAAAACTTGCTGTATCTGCCCTTTTCTGTTCAGGAACTCAAGCCATGTGATCCTGTCCACCATTAAACCATCTTTCCAAGCAGTCTCCATGTCTCCAGTGTCTTTTTCCCCACTTGGAGCAGAACCTAGAAGGAGATTTCTTCCAACACTGTTATTTGTGAGAAATGCACTTGCTGGTCAGAAACTGGACAGGGTCATGTTGGAAGAAATGTCCGTCTGGGTTCAGTTCCAAGTGGGGAGAAAGACACTGGAAACATGGAGACTGCTTGGAAAGATGGTTTTTAATGGTGGAGAGGACCACATGGTTTGAGATCCTGAGGTGGGGGGAAAGGGAAGAGATGTTGAGAGGGCCCCGGTTTTATGCCCTCTCTGAGCTTTTGAATTTGGGCTTGTGTTCTGATTGGTTGTCAGACTCCCATGGGGCCATCACTGTAGGCTGTCCTGAGTCCCAGACTTGGTTGACTCTTGCTGGGTGATGATGCAATGAAAGGGCTTTGGGCAATTCCTACTATGGCTCTGCCTGAAGGAGGTAGAACTTTGTTATGTAGAATAGGCTGGCCCAGGCCTTAATGGCCCATTGACAAAGGGGAGATAATAGGAAAATATTGAGTTTCTGCCTCCCTTTTAGGGGAAATATTCTGCCCTTTTTAATATTTCCTAAAATATCTCATTTTCCTAGGAGAGGGGTGGGTGCTAACTTCCTATAGTCATTAAGTGAAGCAGCAAGCAATGTTATTGTAAAATATGTTCTTGCAAGGGGGGCTTGGCTAGCAAAAGTAGGCACACCCCAAAATAGATTTCAAGAGCATTTTATTCCCTCCGCCCGAAGCCGCCGCCTTATCAATTGTTGGAAGAAATATCTTGCTGGGTTCAGCTCCAAGTGGGGGAAAAAGACACCGGAAACATGGAGACAGCTTGGAAAGATGGTTTAATGGTGGACAGTGTCACTGCGTTATTTTATTTACCAGCTGAGCTTCATATTTCTGGACTATCAGACTTTCCGTACCTTGCCAAGAATTGTTATCAAAAGCTACTACGCATGTCCATCCACCCACATTCCTTCACACACTCTTTCCTTTGTTCTCTTGCCAGGAGTGCCGGTTGCTGAAAAAGCAGCCGGCTCGAACTATTTCAAAATGTAGCAATTATTTTTATTAGTTAGTGCGGTGTTTTATTTTTCTTTATAACAAATAAATACGTTTTATTCGAGAATATTTTCTTCGGGTTTTATTTCAGAATATTGCAACTTGGAGAAGCCACGACCCATCCTCTCTGAGTCTAATTCAATCAGGGTGATTTTTCCCAGAGTCAAAGATGGGATTAATCGATGCCCTGACACACAGGATCACATGGTTTGAGTTCCTGAGCAGAAAAGGGGTGAGATGCAGTGAGTCCCCGGGTTTTATGCCCTCTCTGAGCTTTGAACTTCTTGGGGCACAGAAAGAGTATCCTGATTGGTTGTCAGACTCCCAAGGGGTGGGGATGGGGGGGTCTTAGCTAGCCTTGCTGGCTGATGTAATCTTCCCAGGTGCCATGTGGGGAGTTTCTGTTGCTAGATGGGCCCTATTGTGATAGGTAAAACCTTGATCTGAACCATTGTTAGAAAATATTAGGCCTGAAGTCTTAGCTAAAATATACTGTTCCTCTTTGACAGTTAGAAAAACTGCTGTATTAGCCTGAATGTATTTTTATCTTACCAACCCAGACAGATGCATCCTGTTATTCCCTGTATATGCTGTCTCAGATGTCACATGAAGATAACATATGAAACTCCCTTTTTTGTATTTTCTCACCCCCAATGTCTGGAGGAACGGTTTTAGTTCCCTATCTTACCATATATGTCCTGTATAACGCCCCTGAATGCGCCTATGTATTCCATAGTATAAATATCTGCTTATGTAAACCCTTCGGGGTTTAGACATTTTGCTTGCTTTTGCTGTTTGAACCTGCGCAAATAAACTTTCCTACAATGAAGAGCTTGACCTAGTCCTGTCTTTCCTACAACACTATTGTGTTGCAGATGATGGTCCATTGACAAAGGGGTGGGGGATTGGGTTTCTGCCTCTAGCCCATTGACAAGGGTGGGGGTGTTGCAGGAAAAGAAACGGGACTAGGAAGCTCTTCTAATGTAAATGAAACGGGCTCTGATAGATGACCACTGGATAACTTTCTATTCACTCTATTCTAAAAAGCAATGCATCCGGTTGGAAAAAGTACAAACTCAGCCAAAATCCTTTTGGTTCCTCTAGGAGGCCTCTAAGTTGTCAGAAGAAAGGAACATTCTAATGACATACAGCTTAAAGGTTGGTTAGGTCAAGGGGATCCACATGAGTTAAAAGTTGTCTATCGTCAGAAGATGATTTGAGTCTATGCTTCAGTAATCTACAAAAAGAATTATAACTTTTGCAAAGAAACTCAGTAATTAGGAAATGTCAATTAAAAATGACAAATGTATAGGACCATATGAATTGCTGACCTAACAGAATCCTTTGTCTAGAAGGGTATAAAACCATTGTACCTAATTTCTGTCTTTGTTCAACGCTTCATGTACAGAGCTTTGAACCTATTGCGCAATATATAAATTGTCTGATTAATCCAAAAGTTGTGTTTGTCTTATTAAATCCACAACACTTCAATGCAGGAAAAAGTTTATTGTGCACGGTTCAAACAGCCCAAAGGCAAACAAAAAGTCTGAATGCTGATGGCTTCTTCTGGCCATGTATTTATACAGTTTAAAGGCAGAATTATTACAGAGAGTGATACATTCCACACGTAAAAGCTGCCCTTTCATCTATCTCTGGGAAAGGAAATAACAATCTTCTTCTCACATACTCAGGTTCTCTGCTCCGGAGCTCAAGACATAACAGGAGGAGACGCCTCAAGGGCAATAAAGGAAGCAATACCCCTTATCCAGGGATATGCATGACATTTGGGGTGCAATAAACATTAAACAACAGGATGTATCTGTTTAGGGTCAGTTTGCCCCTTTTACAATTCTGTACCTACGTCAAATAACCTTTTGCCAGCTTAGCACCTTGGCACGGAAGAGGCACTTCTGTCTTGACCAAAGATTTAGAATTATAATATTTGACTTTGTCCCAATATCGGATCCTAGCCCAGCTCACGGGGAGAGAGGCAGGAAGGTGGGAGCTGCTTTGTCTTTAAAAGATGTTTCTCCATTTCTCATCCAGGGAAATATATTCTGCCTTTTTAATATTTCCTAAAATATTTCATTCTTCTAGGAGAGGGGTGGGCGCTAACTTCCTACACATTCTAAGTCCTATTGCATTTCTTAATACTTACTGTTCCTTAAAAATATATGAAAGCTGCAAAAACAACATTTAGCTTTTATTGCTTTTTCTTAACAATTCTTCCCTTTTTGTTTTAAACACCATTGTTGCTTTCTTTTTTTTTTTTTTGGCGCATTCCTAACATGTGTTCCTATACGTGCGTAACAAATTCACACAATACTTGGGTCAACCAGAAGTAAGATTTATTAAGAAAAGCAGTTTGCAAAGAGCTGGTGGGACTTGGGCTTGGCACAGCGACAGAAGCCCACACTGAGTTACAGATCCCAGCATATTTTATACATCCCTTTCACCGGCCACCGGTCCTTCCTAGCCAGGCCCAGTTAATAGGTCTGGTTTAGTCACATGCTTTCCGGCCGCCTATTAATCTACTATCACCCCTAAATGTATAAAATTAGTCAAGCCCTTATGGTTACCCAAACTTCCTAAGGAATCAAAACCGTCCCCCCATGTCTCACCCCTTTGAATAGTTACCTTGTTACACAAGAATTATAGCATAGTTAAAAATTAAGAGAAAGCAACATTCGAGAGAGCAACTTAATTAAGCAAAAAACAACATTTGAGAGAGGAGGATATGCGTTCTTGCCCCGGTCAAGGCCTGACTTGACTATTCTTTGTTTCTGATAACAGATTAATTGCTCTACATCCCTGTCAGTTCTGGTCTCTTGATCAGAGAGAAAAAGAGGGGAAGAGAGACCCCTCCCAGGAAATTGGAAAGAAAGAGGCCCTTTACAGGAAATGGTGACTTATATGTTAAGGTACTAACTCTAAATAGTTTAAACAAAGGATATACCTTATATAAATGTATCATATGTCTTTCATAAGCTACACGGTGCTCTACCTTATATAGGAGATTATATCTTATATAGTATTCTACCTAATCGTGTAAGATTAGTTAGACTTATGTTGCTAAGCACTCATCCCTTTCAACTCCTTTCAGTTCTCGTCTTCTTGGCATTCCCCTTATCTTGTTTTTCTGTACAATTCAGTACCTGGTACGTATCTCAAGCCAGGAGCTGGTATGTCCAGGGGTCACGCATCGGTCAATCGTGGCTGTGCGTTAGCTATGTAATATTGTGGCTATACTTTAAAATACTAACTCTAAACCAGTAAATAAAGAATATAATATAACCAGAGGTGGGCTGCTGCTGGTTCGGACTGGTTCTGGGCAAACAGGTAGTTCTGAACAGCGGCTGGGCCTGCCCACCCACCTTGGCGCTATCCCGTCCTATAAAGTCGCTGTGTTTTTGAAGCCAATTCTTCTTCCAGAGTGGTGGGACCTTGTAAGGACCTGGTGATTGTTCCATCAGGTGTTATTTGGAATAAAATAAAAGCTGCCTCCCAGCATTACACATGCACACTCCTCCTTCCCTACCAATATCAGGCCTAGAGCCATTCTGTTTTCCCCAGTTGGCATATTCTACTGGTAGCATCAAATTGTGCAGCTATGCCCTTCACAGCATCCTTTGTGAGAGAAAAATGAATTATTTCTGTAAAAAATATAACCTAAGTAACTCCATTATTTAAACTTCATATAACCTGAGTTAGCCCCTCCAACATTAATCAGAATCGGATATGAGTAATCACATTATTCTGAGTAGGATCCGTGACGCCTGTTTTGAGGAAATAGAAGTTTTAGTTCATTCCAAGTTGGGTCAGGCTGACCCAAACTCCATTGAAAAAGGAGGAAAAGACTAAGTGTCCAGTTAATAAGAACAATAACAAACAATTATGAATACATTTTTAGAGAGTACTTTTGGAGGGGAACTGCAGGGTGGAACATGTGAGAAAGCCAAAATGTTATGTAACAACCGAAAACAATATCTGGTGGGGGCGTTCTAATTGTTTTGCTAATTAATTTTTGTTTTGTTTTGCTTTGCTTTGTGTAATTGGTAAATCTCTGTTGGTTACAGTAGATAGAATTGATCCCATCTATATTCTTATTTATAGTTGTTAGAAACAGTACCGGTTTGCCAATGGAACTACACGAGACAATAACTTGGAAACAGCAGAGAGATTATTCACGTAGTTGCAAACACCGGGCGCACACAAGGTGGACCCACAATGAAGCATGCATCAGCTTTCTATCCCCTTACACAAGCTTTGCTCGCCTCCCCCTTTTGCTGGCACAGCAATTCTATCAAAATCATCTCCTTTATATGGTACCTATTTCCCCCCCCCAAAAGCAGTGACTATAGTGGAAATAGACAATATACCCCAACACCTGTGCACATTTTTCAGTTTCAGAGTTTTAAGCATAACCTACTTTTTGCTCTATTTTCTCTTTGTGTTTCCTCTACTTGTGGTTTCTGTCAGCTGCTTATCTAATATCATATCAGCAGTGACTTTTCCACCCGGCACATATAAGCATTTATTTTGGAAACCACAACAATTTCCTTTTGCTTAAACCAAAATAATGATTCAACCCCAGCAGCGATCTGCTTTCGGGCTTTATATTCATCAGGGTCTTCTCTAGGGACCCCATCGACATCCAGGTACACTCCATCCTCTAAGGAGGTTCCTGAAACATCTCTTTTTATTCTATTTATGTTCCTTTATTACCATATCTTTTTTTTTTCTCTTCAAATGCCAGGGTAAGTGGGATAGCCAATTGGACAGTTGCACAGGTCCCTGTCCAATTTGGGGGAAGTACACGCCTTAGTATCTTACCCCCACAATACTACCACAAGTCAGCTCTAGGAATGCTCCGTCTGGAGCCATTCCTCCTTTCAGCTGCGGTGGTTACATCTACAGGTTTCCAGTTCTCCTCCCCTCTTGGCAGAATCCATACCTCGCCTGGTAAGGCATGCAGTGTGGTTTCCAAAAAGGCTGCAGAGAACACAAGTGTGGTTTCAATAACATCCCGGCCTTTTACTGGTGGAAACAGGAGAGGAACAGATCTACTACCACTCTCATTTCCCCAGGCCGTTCCATGTTAATAAAGAGCCAATAATATACGCGTCATACCAACTGGGGCCCATCCAAGGGGAAAGGGGACCACCAGGGCCACATTTATAGCAATTGCTTTTATTTAAACCTCTGGGTTTTTTTTTTTTACCATACATTTCACTCATTTTACCCAGGCATTTGTATTTACGTACCCAGTTTCGGTTTCAAAAAAGTTTGTCTCGAGTTGTCTATTTCCACTATAGTCGCTGCTCTGGTATCCTTAAATCTTCAGCATTTGGCTTTTAGTCATCCCTTTGGCTTTAACCACCACAATCCTGAAACAACCCCCCAAAGGAAGTTTTCCTGCTGTATCGATCCCCATACTATACAGAGTGTTATTGATTTGCTTCACACTCTTTACAGTCAAGGCTGATTTATATTGCATGCTTGCTCCCCACACTGTGGTGCAGAGGGTTTCCTAAGCAAGGAAATGTTTTATTTAACATCTGGTCAGTAGAGTAGAGTAGAGTAGAGTAGAGTAGAGTAGAGTAGAGTAGAGTAGAGTAGAATAGAGTAGATGGAATAAGAATAGAATTAGACTTAAACTCTGCTATTCCTGAGTTAGGATAAGAAATCCATCCTTTAGCCTCTGTTGTCCACCATACATTTCCCCAAAGGGGAAAAAAATACATTTTGCACGCTTATATTTTTTCCACATATTTCCTTGTCTTTTGATTGCTCAAATCCCCACAATTTATTAAATGGCCTCCATCGAATTTGGTCACCTGAGGCTCTGTAGTTAATTCCAATAGTAAATTTAACCAGTGGAACGACTTGCCACCAGAAGTTGTAAATGCTCCGACACTGGAAGTTTTTAAAGAAGATGTTGGATAACCATTTGTCTGAAGTGGTGCAGGGTTTCCTGCCTGAGCAGGGGGTTGGACTAGAAGACCTCCAAGGTCCCTTCTAACTGTTATTTTAAGAGTGCCAGGTTTATGGAAGTTTTGAGCAAATAAAAACTTCCAGTCGTAACCCCCGTTCCCTATTCCCTTGTATCACAAACACCACATAGAATACCACCAGGTACTAAATTTTAGCCCTGTAAGGGAGAGATTTTGGGGCAATGTAATGGAGTGCCTTTTTTTTTTTTTTTTGTCCAATAGTTTTCCTTCAGCTGAAATTATTTGTTTTTCTGTTATTTGAGCAGAGAATAGTTCAGGTTTATTTTCCCTCCCCTAATCTAAATAACCAGAACCTCTCAGGAAAATCTTGATGCTGTTGAAAATAGAAATGGCCTTCCCACTTCCTTACAGTCTTGCCCTAGCCTTGTTCTACCCACTGCCAACTTTCTTCTCCACCCAAGGTCCCAAAGGGGCTTTTTCAGGAGGCAACTGGACTTTCTTGGATTTTGTTTTTTTTTTTTTCCTTTGAAGACGTTTCGCTTCTCCTCCAAGAAGCTTCTTCAGCTCTGACTGGATGGTGGGGAATGGAAGGGTTTTATACTCCTTGCAGACAAAGCTGGTCATTTGCATCCTTTTCGACGGTCGTTGAGGCCGCTTGGAGGTTTGTCTGTGTCCTCAGAGTCACCTGGTTCTTGAAATTTGCAATTTTTTCCTCTGGAAATCCATTCCTTATTCCCACACCGTTCAAAGGGGGTTCCTCCCAATATAAATCCTTCCGTTCCCCACCATCCTGTCTGAGCCAAAGAAGCTTCCGGGATGAGAAGTGAAACGTCTTCAAAAGGAAAAAAAAAAATCAAGAAAGTCCAGTTGCCTCCTGAAAAAGCCTACCTTGTTCTATATTTCTAGTACCAAATAGGATATTTATTTAAACCAAGGACCAAATCCCTCGATGCCATTATGCTTAACCCATATGGCCATTCAGTAAACTGTGGCCCGAGAACAAACCACCTGTAGGTTAAAAAGTCCAGATAAAGTTATCTTCTTGCCATGGGTCCTCCTGTACCCTAAAAGCAAACATATTATTTTATTCTCTCAGGAGACGGGAGTCACCGGAAAGCTGTAGTGTCCACTTTTCTGCTTGTGGAGCTCCGTCCGGTCCCTTCAGTCTGGTGTAAGGAGTCCAGCCTTTTTCCAGCAGTCCCAACAGCTGCCTCAGGGGTCAGCAGAAGCCCTTGGAAAGGGCCTTCCCCTCCAGGATGTAGTTTGGATTGTCTCCAGGAGTGAATAAGGATCCATTCTCCAGGCTGGATGCTGTGTAGGCTGCAAAATCTTAATGGTGGCCATGGAGCAAAACGTCATTTATTTCTGAGGAGAGACAGAGAAGAGGACAGCCCCAGAATATAATTCTTAAGAAAGATATCTTTTCGTCTCCAAGTGGGGGTATTTCTCCCATTCCACTTTGTGGTTGTTGTTGTTGTTGTTGTTTGGTCATTGTAAATCGACTACAGGTAGTCCTCGACAGTTCACTTAGTGGACCGTTCAAAGTTACAACGGCACTGGAAAAAAAAGGGCCGGCGATGTCAAAATTCAGAGGCTTGGCAACCGGTTCACACATACGACCGTTGCTGTGTCCCAGGGCCCACGTGATTCCTCTTTTTACGACCTTCTGACAAAGTCAATGGGGAAAGGGGATCCATTTAACAACCGTCTGACTAAGGTAACAATTGCAGTGATCCACTCAACAACTTTGGCAAGAAAAGTGGTAGAATGGGGGCAAACATGACTTAAGGAATGTCTCATTTAACAAGGGAGATCTGGGGTCTCAGTTGTGGTCGTAAGTCAGGGACTACCTGTATAGCCTCAGTCCTTTTTACTGCCCAAAAGTCACTTTTCCAATTTCTTAAGAATTCCCAGAATAAGATCTTACAAAGCTGGGAAGCTACACAAGAATGTATTTTTTCCTTCCACAGCTGAAGGTGGAGGAAAGGGGGAAAAAAAGAGGGGGGGAGGGAAATAATTTGTCCTGTGTCAGATAGATTATACTTGTCCATGGAGGCTCTATCGGAAATTTTTTTTTCTTTCTCTTCCCCCTTTCGCCCAGATGATATGGCCAGACAGACAGACAGACGATGGATATATTTACTAAACTTGTTGTAAATAACACATTCAGGATTTTAAAAGGTAAAGCCTCCCAGGCTTCACTGATAATATTCAAATCATTCTTGGGGGAGCACATCAAAGCAACATCAAAGGTGGCTAAGAAAATAAACGACTTCCTTCCCCTGCCCCGAGCCAGGCAGAGTAAAAATACAAAACTTATACAAAACTTTTCAGAGTTTCAGAAACCAGTTATCTTAGTTTCAGAGAATGAAGCTGTCAAAGCATAAAACAGGAAAAAATGGCCATTAAAATTTATAGAAGTGGCTGACCAAAGCCATCCACTAGAGCTGAAGGAAAGGAAAAAAAAATCGACCAGCCCAAAAGAACTCAGCTGACCCTCGTGCTCAAAGCAGGATTTGAACTCCCAGTACTCTCCAGCCTTGTAGCCTGTGGCCATAACTGTGAAATCAAATTGGTTCTCCATTAAAGTTCCCCTTCCCCTCCTTGGCACCCACATTAAGCGGCACTAATCACCACTTTTGTAGTAGCAAGATGTCCCAAAGACACACATTTTATCAGAAAAAAAAGCCAACACAGTTCTAGGCTGCGTTAACAGAGGGATAGAGTCAAGATCACGTGAAGTGTTAATAGCACTTTATAAGGCCTTAGTAAGGCCACACTTGGAATACGGCATCCAGTTTTGGTCGCCACGATGTAAAAAAGAAGTGGAGACTCTGGAAAGAGTACAGAGAAGAGCAACAAAGAGGATCAGGGGACTGGAGGCTAAAACAGATGAAGAACAGTTGCAGGAACTGGGCATGTCTAGTTTAATGAAAAGAAGGACTAGGGGGGAAATGATAGCATTGTTCCAATATCTCAGGGGCTGCCACAAAGAAGAGGGAGTCAAGCTCTTCTCCAAAGCACCCGAAGGGAAGACAAGAAGCAACGGGTGGAAACTAATCAAGGAGAAAAGCAACTTAGAACTAAGGAGAAATTTCCAGACTGTTAGAACAATGGAACAACTTGCCACCAGAAGTTGTGAATGCTCCAATACTGGAGGTTTTAAAGAAGATGTTGGATAACCATTTGTCTGAAGTGTGTAGGGTTTCCTGCCTAAGCAGGGGGTTGGACAAGAAGACCTCCAAGGTCCCGATATCTCAATTCTTTATTATATATTTCAGGTATAATCCCCAATAAAAAAATCTCTGGTTTAAAATCTATGTGGTTTTTTTGTCATTTTTCCAACCATGTGTGGATTTTAGTCCAGTATAATATATAATATATACAATAAAGAATTGAGATATCTGATTGTGAATGTATTAACAGCGGCTAGGATTGTGTTTGCTAAAAATTGGAAAAATGAGAAAATACCAATGCAGGATGACATTATTAAGAAAATAATGGAATGTGCTGAAATGAGCAAATTGACATTTGAAATTAGAGAACAAGAAGATAAACAATATTATAAGATATGGGACCTATTCTATCAATGGTTAGATAAAAAAAATATGGAAATGAAATATGGTAGAGATTTTCACAATACAAGAATTGTAGAACTATGTGAAGTATAACATATAGATGTATGACTACTGGATAGATTTAAGAGGACGAAATGAAAGTTATAATAAAAATTCACTCAAACCTTAGAATACTTTGAATGATACGAGGGAAGAAATAGTCATAGCCAAATAAACGATTAATGAGGATAACAATGTATAGATATATATTAGGTCGATGATACGAGAATCTAGATAAATTGTAAATTGTAAGCTATGAATTTGGTGAATGATGTACAAAAGACTTGTAACCAACCGACACACTGTTTGCAATTGAAGATGGTTTTATGTATGTTTAAAAATTAAAAAAAAAATCTTTTCAAAAAAAAAAAAAAAGAAAGAAGACGACCTCCAAAGTCCCTTCCAACTCTGTTATTGTGTAATTTTAAGGTTTTATCGGAAAAGCTGGACCAGAAAACAGGTGCGCCCACCCCTAATTCTTAAAATTCATCCGTTTAGCTGGTTCTTTCCCCCTCCTTCCTCTAGGGCATTCGTTTTTCCAGTGCCCCCTTTCTCTGCAGTTGGCACATTGATCCTTTCCTAATGGACCAGTCTTGACTTTCCTCTCGTCCCACTCCTTTTGATTTAGTTCAGGGCAGCCCCACTGAACATGCCCACCCCTTCTGCTATGGAAAAACCCTGCCTGCGAGGTCGGCCAGGATGGTTGCCAAAATTGGCCCTGACCTCGCCCCAGGGCTCTTCCTCTCCCTCTCATCCACGATCCCCTTCCTCTCATCCACGTTCCCCCCCTTCCTCCTCTCTGCAGTGCTGGCTCCTCTATCCTTTGCTTCACAACTTGGTCTACAAGGGATGCACACATTTCTTCTTCCTTCTTCTGTTCTTCTTCTTCTTCCCTTTTTACATAGACCTTTTGAGCTTCTCTGAGCAGGACCGCTAAGGATTTATCATTCCAGTACTCCATTTCCTGAATTTTCTTTCGGATATCTGGCCAGGCCTGTGTCACAAAATAAACTTTTAGGGAAATCTGTGTTAAAGGGTCTTCCGGATTCATGCCGGCATACTTCCTCACTTGATCTATCAGCCTTTCTAAAAACTCTGACGGAGATTCTTCTTTTCCCTGGGATATCTCAAACGGATTTTTTGGAACAGCCTCCCGGATTCCTTGGATGATCAGGTTCCTGAAGTCTCCCAAATAAGTTATGTGAAGTGGATTCGTACTGACCCACCCAGGGTTCACCTTAGGGACTTTTTCCTCTGCCGGCGTGACCCCAACTCCTGCAGTCTGGCGTTTCTCCCATGCCTTTAAGGCTGCTTTTCTGATCAGGCCAATTTCCTCTCCCGAAAAGAGAATGTTTAAAATCGACATCAGCTCGGTCCAAGTGTAAAGCTTGGGCCCTAATAACTGATCCAATTGTTCCGCTAGGCCAATGGGATCTTCTTTGAGCGGTTTCATCTCTTGCTTGAAATTCCTAACGTCACTGCTGGTCAAGGGCACATCGACAAATGCAACTTGTCTATTGCTTATTGGCTCCTCACAAAGAAGGAACTTTTCCTCATTGGATTGGCCCTGCCCCACAGAAGAGGTTACCTTATCTTTCTCCGGGAAGGGAACATTTCGGACACCCTTTTTATCCACCTCCCTTCTCAAGCCTGGATGTGAATGCACAGCCGAACTGGGGGCTTCCTCCTGTTCCTGATAAGGGGGCGGGGGCAAAGAATCCAGGGGTCCCCAAGGCTTTTTACCCTGTCCCACCTCCCTTCTCAATCCTGGAAGTGATTGTCCACTAAAACATGTTTCCGGTTTTACCGGAGTCGAGAGCCCCACATTCACCTGACCTCTTTGCAGGTCTAGTAAACGCGCAGCCGAACTGGGGGCTTCCTCCTGTTCCTGATAAGGGGGCGGGGGCAAAGAATCCTGGGGTTCCCAAGGCTTTTTACCCTGTCCCACCTCCCTTCTCAAGCCTGGAAGAGATTGTCCACTAAGACCCGGTTCTGGTTCCAGTTCTACAGGAACCGACGGTCCCACAGTCGCCTGGTCTATTAAACGCACAGCCGAACTGGGGGCTTCCTCATGTTCCTGACCCTGGGGTCCATAAAGGGTTGTGGGCAAAGAGTCCCAAGTCTTGGGTCCCTTCTTTCTCTCCTTTGGAACTCCCATCGTGGTCCTCGGATGGTCATCCAACAGGGCAACATAGCCATTTCCTTTCCAACAGGAGGCATATTCTGATTCCTCCTGGGAGAAAGGTTTCTTGTTGTTGACGTAGGTGTTCAGCGTCTGGCATAGCCAGTCCTCTTCCGAGCCATACCACGGCCAGAAGACGGTGGGTGGCCTAATGCTTTTCCTGGTCCATACCGAACAATACTTAATCATTTTCTTTTTATCCTTATACCTGGTGCAGGAATTATTTTTCCAATCCTTCAGCATCCTCCCCAATGGACTATCCGGAGGGATGCTGGGCAGGATGTTTGACTCCACCTCCCCTTTGTCTTCCTCAGGCCTAGAATCCTCGTTTCCCATTATGTCTCTTTTCTCTTCTGTCCTCTTACACTTCGTCCTTCCTCCAGGCTGTTTTCCTCGAGGAAGAACAGACCGAAGGATCCAGACTCTGCACTCACTTTGTACTTACTTGCACCTCTCTCTCTCTCTCTCTCTCTCTCTCTCACACACACACACACACTTTCAAGGGTCTCACAAAACGTCCCAACCACCAAGGCAACACTTACGTCCAATTTTTCTTACTGTGGTCCACGTACGCCTGGTTGCTGGCTGGGGTGCCCACTTATTTTCTCCTACTCCCCTCTTGGTTGATGTTGAATCACTAGTACGACCGTATCCTGGGATCTCAGTCAGTCAGAGGAAATGGACGACCCCTGGCAGAAGGGGAGGGGGGATTGGCCCCCCTCTCCCCACGGTGACTTTTAAAATCCCGGAGGAGCCCCCACCAAACTTGTGAGAAATGCCTTCCCTAGTCAGACAGGGTGATTAAGTGAAGCAGCAAGCAGTTCTATTGTAAAATACGTTCTTGCGAGAGTGGGGTGGCTAGCAAAAGTAGATTTCAGGAGCATTTTATCCCCTCGGCCCGAAGCGCAAGTCCCTCCCAAGTCATCCTATTTGAGGAGAAACACAGTTTACAAAGTTTCCGGAACGCCCAGTTTCCCCCCTTTTTGAAATTTCCCTCCCTTTATAGTCCTCCCCACCCCTTTATCTAGTTCCCCCCACCCCTTTTTAAAGCTGGTTGTTGTTTTTTTATTAGCAATGTGTGCTAATTTTGCTTAACCCACAGATCCTGCTTCCTTGGAACTTGGAGGGGATGTTTTAAAGTTATTACTATTTATCAGAATAAAGACATATAGAGTTAATAAAGCTTGAGCTAACAAGGTCAGAAGTAAACATGGGATACAATATAATGAGTTGTAATCTTCTATAATGTAGAGCAGTGGTCCCCAACCTTTTTATCGCCGCGGCCCGCTGAGCGCGCGCAGGGGTGGGGGCACGGCCCAGGAGCTTTTGTGCACGGCCCATTGCGCACGGCCCAGGAGCTTTTGCGCACGGCCCAGGAGCCTTTGCGCTGCAGCGTTCATGTCCCCCGGCCGCTGCGCGGCCCGGTGCCAGGTACTCCATGGCCCGGCACCGGTCCACGGACCGGGGGTTGGGGACCACTGATGTAGAGTACCATGTAGCTTAGGGAAAGACATTGATATAAGGTATATCCTTTGTTTAAACTATTTAGAGTTAGTATAGCCACACGGAGAGCTGTGTTTAAATGTTCTTTTACTGATAATTTCCTGTAAAGGTCCTCTTTCTCTCTAATTTCCTGTATGGGGCCTCTTTTTCTCTCTCTGCTTGAGACCAGAACTGGCAGGAGAAGCAATTAATCTGTTATCAACTCTCCAGAAACAAGGGCCTTGACTGGGTTAAAAATGCATCTAATTCGAACTTGCTTTAACATCTTTCAAGAGAACTAAGATAGAGAGATAGAGAGGAGACAGAACAATCTCCAGGACAAAGATAGCGAGTAGCCATTCAGTGCCTATGGAAACAGACAGCCAACCACGGGTGGAACTTCGAGTAAGAGTGAAAAGTGCAGTAAAATAATTAGGAAGAGTCCCAAATTGTAAATAGATCCGACCAGTGAGGGGCAAATAACATGGGGTTTGTTATTTGTTAACTAACATAGTTACTTTATATTGTAGGAAGAAATATCCTTCTGGGTTCAGCTCCAAGTGGGGAAAAAGACACTGGAAACATGGAGACTGCTTTGAAAGATGGTTTAATGGTGGACAGGATCACATGGTTTGAGTTCCTGAGCAGAAAAAAGGGGTGAGATGCAGTGAGTCCCTGGGTTTTATGCTCTCGCTGGCTTTGAACTTCCTGGGCCCCAAAAAGAGTATCCTTATAGGTGTCAGAGTCCCAGGGGGTGGGGGGTCTTAGCTAGCCTTGCTGGCTGATGTAATCTTCCCAGGTGCCATGTGGTGAGTTTCTGTTGCTATTGTGTTGCAGATGGGTCCTATTATCAAAGATTGAGTTTACCACGGACCTGGCGTTGCACAGCATCAGCCGCAGGCCCAGGTCCTGAGTATCTGAGCCACCTAGTATCCGAGAGGAGCCTTGGAGACCAGGGCGCGCAATTGCTCTCAAACACTGACACACCCCCAACATATGATATGGTCCCCTGCTCCTGCCATATCTACCCCTCCCAACCACCATGCTGATGGTACATCCCTCATTAGGATAGCCCTCTGCCCCCTTCCCATTCCCTCGTCCTGCACCCTCCAAACTGTTACTCCGTGCCGGGCTCGGCTCCTACCTTGGTAGATTACCCCCCCCATCTGCTTTGGTCGTCCTCCCAGTTCCCCTTAAAAAATTATTAAAAGCCCTAATTAAAAAACCCCTTAATCCCCGCTTTAAAACATACCACCTCTCGGGGCTCCAAAGCCCGTCCTTAAGGTAGGCCTTCGATAACGTGGAAGGCCATTGCCGCGAGAGGGGGCATCTCGCAGCGCAAGCAGATCCGCCGAGGTATAGGCCATACAGGTATGATGAGGTGGAAGAGAGGAACTCTGGGTGTCAGCGATAGTCATAGAGGTGAGAGATGGCAATATGGCTGAACATGAGGAGGCTGGGGCCCCTTCACTCTCTCACAGTGGTGGGGCATCCAGGTCAAATAATTGCAATGCAGGTAGATGGCCACAGCCGCTCTCTCACAGCGGCTGGGTGTCATAGTCCAACAGAAGTCACTCTTTTCCTGCAAATGGAACAGCAGTCATTGACCTGGACTTTCAGCTTCTCCTTTCAGCCTACAATCTCCCTTCCCCCAAGCCAAGGCCACAAGGCGATAATCAGGAGGCAGGAATAAAATAGCCAACAGCAGGAGGAGATAGAGATCAAACATAAAAATCCAGGTGGGTGATAGTAACGTCCCAGAGTCAACAAGATGGAAAAATGGGCCGACCTAATAGAGAGTCCAGGCAGCAATGGGGGGGGGGGCATTTTTCATAAGGAGGGGGGCGAATCCAAGGGGGAGACCGGATGGTAATTCATCAATCACCCTCTATCACTCCCAACCTCCTTTTGATTTTCCGGACCAAGTCACCCCCTATAGTCCAACCTGTCTTCTCCAGGTCAAATTCTGCCACGCTTTTCCAGTCAGGTCCGTTTAGGGGATTTTCAGCTCAGCTAACCGCTGGGCCATACACCCCAATCCTCGAATCTGGGCTAGATAATCATTTGATGTGGCCTACATGCCTCCAAGCCTCCAGGTGCCGGATTCGTCGCCCTCCGCATCCCATATCCCCACAGGCAGCCCATCCCTTTTCCAGCCGCCGTAACATCAAAGGGAGGCTTGGGTTGCTGTAGACGATTCCCTCGGCTCCCTCGGCTCTCCGTCCAGCTCCGTCTGACTCCCCCGACCCCCTTGGCTCCTTCACCTCCTTTGGGTGGTCCGCAGGGTCAGTCGCCCGATTTCTGGGGCTACGCGGCTGTGGAGTCATCCTGGAGGCAGCCATCGCCGCCACCACCCTCCTCACAGCGCTCTGGTTACGTCTCCTGATGAGACATCCGAACAGTCTTCCAGTATTTAAGGAGCTGCCACAAAGAAGAGGGGAGTCAAATTATTTTCCAAAGCACCAGAGGGCAGGACAAGAAACAGTGGATGGAAACTCATCAAGGAGAGAAGCAACCTGGAATTGAGGAGAAACTTCCTAACAGTGAGGACAATTAACCAGTGGAACAGCTTGCCACCAGAAGTTGTGGGTGCTACAACACTGGAGATTTTTAAGAAGAGATTGGACAACCATTTTTCTGGCATGGTATAGGGTCTCCTGCTATTCTGTTAGCTAGAGTAGGCACAATTCCTTTCAACATTGCTATCTAGCAGGACTTGGGAAGCATGCCTTTTCCATGATAGAACTAAGGAGGAATTTCCTGACAGTGAGAATAATTACCGTAATTAGTGGAATGACTTTCTCTCAGAAGCTGTGGGTGCTCCATTACTGGGGTTTTTTAAGAAGAAATTGGACAAGTATTTGTCTGATATGGTATAGGCTCTCCTCCTGCTTTGGGGAGCGGGTTGGACAAGAAGATCCCTTCCTATTCCACTATTCTGTTATTCTCTTGGCCTTCCTCCTTTTCCTCTCAGCCTCAAGAGGAGCAGCCTGTCCCACTGAGCCTCCAAGCTCTTCTGCCACCTTCGCCTTCAAAAACCCTCAGAAATTGGAGGGAGTCTCCAAGGGCAACAGTGGGCAGAAATTGCTGCAGCCTGTGATTGGCTGCAGAGGAGGAAGCCATCACCCAATCGGAATGCCCATATTTCCCGCCTTTTTCCCCTCCTCTGAGGTATAATTACTGGGCAGCTATTGTTATTATTATTTCGATATTAGGTTTTTATCCTGCCTTTTAATATAGAACTCACGGCAGCAAAGTCACACACATACCTCCTGCCTCCTATTTTCCCCCAGAAAAACAATCCTGTGAGGTGGATTTGGCTGAGAGAATGATTGGCCCAAAGTCACTCAGTGAGCTTTTATGGCTAAGGCAGGCCTGGAACTCATCATCTCCATATCTAAAGCCAGCACCTTTCACCACTACCCGAAACTGGCTCTCTTTTATGGTTCAGAGGATAGCATTTTTTAAAATTTTGTTCTTATTCAGAACAACAGGCATGGCCCGTCCCAAGGAGCCACAGCTCTTCTTTAAGACTTGTGGACTTCAGCTCCCAGAATTCCTCAGCTAGCAAATGCTGGCTGGAGAATTCTGGGAATTGAAGTCCACAAGTCTTAAAAATTGCCAAATTTGTAAACCTCTTTCCAAGGGCAACAGTGGGCAGAGGTTGTTGGAGCCTGTGATTGGCTGCAGAGAAGGAACCTCTCACCCAATCAGAATGCTCATTAAAAGAAACAATTTGATAGAGGCTGATGTACCCAACAGTATTGATAGATTAATGGATCTGTTGTGTAATATTAAGTGAATGTATTCTAACCCAGTTTAAAATGATTAAAACGATTCTGCTAGTTTCCGCATATTCCACCTAGTCCTGGGGGTTAGACTAGAAGACCTCCAAGATCCCTTCCAGTTCTATTCTGATTGATTGAATTAAAGAACCTCCCCACTGAGGGCATGTTATCTCTGAACAGCAGGGACTGGGAACAAGCCACAAAGCATCAGTAATCCTTGACATATGACCATAATTGGGAGCAGAATTTCTGTGGTTAAATCTGTCGGTTGTAGAGTGAATCAGATCCAAATTCACAACCTTGTTTATGATTTATTTATGTGTAAAATTTATTAGCCACCCATCTTGCCACACGATAACTCTGGGTCAGGGGTGAAATGCTCCCAGTTCGGACCGGATCGCCCGATCCAGTAGTGATGGAGGCGGGTGGTTCGGAGAACCGGTAGCAAAAATCCCTGCCCCCCCACATCGCCCAGCAATCATCAGAGGCTTTTTAAAATTATTTTTAAAAGAATTTTTTCTACAACTTCTTTGGCTGAAAAAATGCTTTTAAAAGTAAAAAAAAAGCCTCTGATGATCGCGCGGCTCAGCTGGGATCATCAGAGGCTTTTAAAAGCATTTTTTCTACAACCTCTTCTAAGAGGTTATAGAAAAAAATGTTTTTAAAAGGAAAAAAAGCCTCTGCCGATCAAGCAAGTCAGCTGGGATTGTCAGAGGCTTTTTTTTAAAAAAAACTTCTGCCGATCAGGCAAGTCAGCTGGGATCATCAGAGGCTTTTAAAAGCATTTTTTTTTACAACCTCTTCAGCCAAAGAGGTTGTAGAAAAAATGGTTTTAAAAATAAAAATAAAAGTTGGCCACGCCCACTCAGCCATATTACCCCCACCACCACCAAGCCACGCCCGCAGAATCGGTAGTAACAAATTTTACATTTCACCACTGCTCTGGGTGGCTTTTTGTATTTTTTGCCACATTTAGTAAGCGAATCACTAAGTGAATCAGATAGTCATTAAGCGAATCCAACTTCCCCCATTGGCTTTGCTTGTCAGAAGCCGGCTGGGAAGCTCACCAATGACCTTGGGAAGCTGCAGCTGTTGTAAATGCTTTCCATTGGCCCAGCATCCAAATTTTGAGACTATGGGATGGCGTGATGGTCGAAATGGCCAGGACTGGTTGTAAGTCACTTTTTTCAGCACTGTTGTAACTTCCAACGTTTCTTAAATGAACGGTCGTAACTCAAGGACTGCCTCTATTGCCGTACAGTATATTCTTTTGGAATTTGGCGTTCATCTGCAATTCAACCCTTATGGGACCCCATAGCGATAGACAGGAAATCCTTGATATATGACCACAATAGAGCCCAACATTTCTGTTGCTAAGCGAGACAGTTGTTAAGTGAATCTTGCTCCATCGTACGACCTTCCTTGCCACTGCTGTTCCTTCCTGAATCGCTCCAGTTGTTAAAGTAGTAGCACGGTTGTTAAGTGAATCCAGCTTTCTCTGTGGACTTTGCTTGCCAGCAGGTCGCAAAAGGGGATCACGTGACACTGATCCGGGACACTGCAACTGTCGTAAGTCCATAGCAGTTGCCAAACTTGTGAATTTTGATCTTGCGACCATGGGGATGGCTGTGCGATGGTTATAAGTGTGAAAAGCGGTCCTACGTCACATTGTTCAGTGCCGTCGGTCACTAAACGAATGGTCATAAATCGAGGATTACCTGTACTGCCATACACTTATATTCTTTTGCAATTTGCAAGCGCACCTGAAATTCAAAACTTACTGGGGCCCAGAGCAATGTATTATCTTTGGGCCTCTTCTGCGCTCTGCGGAACAGCAAGACAACTGCAAAGGTATCAGCTACATTACCTGGGAGAGGAGTTGGGTTACCTGCGACAGGTAACTAATTAATTCTCAAGGAAGAGGAAGAGCTGGGTTATCTCCACCCCACCACCCGCTGTACAGATCTCCAATTGGTGAGGCTGCTGCCTCCCCACCTGAGGCCGACCAGGAGCCAGGAATATTCTGAAATCATTTTGCAGCCAGGTGGTACCTACTGTAAGAACACACCTTTGCCACCGTGCACACCTGCATCAAAACACAAGCCCAAGAATATCCACGGGACTTCAGCCAAATCGAGTCCCGAAAGACCAGACCGGCTCGTAACCCCACCCCGAGAGATCACCACAGGTAAGCTTCTGTTGCTAAGCGAAACAATTACGTGAGTTTTGCTCCCATGTTACGACCTTTCTTGCCACCGTTGTTAAGCGAATCACTGCAGTTATTAAATTAGTCATCCGGTTGTTAAGTGAATCCGGCTACCCTTCCCTTGACTTTGCTTGTCAGGTGGTGGCAAAAGGGCATATAAATATATTATATTTATATCAATATAAATAAATATAAATGTAAATAATATAAATATAGGTGGCGTCCTACTTTAGAACTGTCATGACTTACAACAGTAATTGTGAATATAAATATATTTATATTTATTTACAATTACTGTTGTAAATTATGACGGTTCTAAAATAGGACACCAAATATAAATATAAATATGGAAGCAGTTGCCAAGCATCTGAATTTCGATCACCTGGTTGTGGGGATCCTGCAAAGGTCATGAAAAACGGTCCTAAGTCACAATTTTCAGGACTATTGTTACTTTGAACGGTCACTAAACGAACTGAAGCCAAAACTTCACTGGGTAGATTTCCTCCACTCCCCCAGGGTTTGAAAAGGAGAAAAATTTGAATAAAAACTTTATAGATTGTTGGATAAACAACTGGATTCCGTAGAGGCGCACCTGATGAAGGGATGGGAGCCACCGTCTCCATCTTCTGACGGGATGGAAAATTCGATCCTAATTAAACCACGAGGGGATGACGGAGGCGGAGGATCTTCTGAGACCAAAACACGAGATCCAATTTCCTGGTTGCAGATCCCAGGTGACGAGCAAGGGGGTGCCTCCGAGGATCCCCCCCCCATCCCTAAGCAACCGAGAGGGTCGAAGATTCAGAACAGAAAAGGGAAAGCACCCTGTGAGAATCAGTGCCATGTTTTGGGTGGCAGAGTTTGGTTTCAGCGCTGGGCTAAGCTACTATCTTTCTTGGCATCGCTTGCCGGCGAAGAGCTTCGGCCATCTGACCTCAGCCTCATTCCCCACCAGGTAGTCCTTGACTAATGACCGGTCGCGTAGCAGCCGTTCCAAGTTATGACAGACCCCTGAAAAGCTACTTATGACCCGGTTTTGAAGTTTTGATATTTTGGCTGCTTGGCAACCGGCTGGAATTTATAGCCATTTTCACCACATCCCGATGTTTTTGATGGAAGTTTTATTCTGGTTACTGGCAAAACGACCAGTAAAACGACCACAATATCTTCTTTTAACAACCCCATAATCCCTTGTGGGGTGGAGTCTGGGCAACTGAATGGAGCTAGCAGAGTGTTTCCTGGCCAGATGCCCTTCCTGTCGCCAATGAGGAATTTTGTTCAGCAGATATATATTTTCATTGTGCCCAGAGAGAGAAATATCTGCCTCTACCTAGGATCGAACTCGCAGCCTCCTGATTGTGAGGTAAGCGCTCCACCTCTAAGTCACCACATCACTCCAACTTACGACCACAATGGAGCCCAAAATTAATTAATTCATCGAGAAATTTGCTAAGGGAGTCTTGCCCCATTTTACGACTTTTTCTTGCCACGTTTGTGAAATGAATCACTGCAATTGTTAAATTAGTCACACGGTTGTTAAGGGGATCTGGTTTCCTCATGGGCTTTGCTTGTCAGAAGGTCGCAAAAGGGGATCGCGTGACCCCGGGACTCTGCGACCGTCATAAATGTGAGTCAGTTGCCAAGCATCCGAATGTAAATCACGGGACCATGGGGAAGGCTGCAACGGTTGTAAGTGCGAAAAATGGTCATGAGTCATTTTTTTTCAGTGCTGTTGTAACTTTGAACGGTCACTAAGCGAACTGTTGTAAGTTGAGGACTACCTATAATGGCTTCACTTAATGACCATGCTGTTCACTTTACAACCACGTTTGTTTAACAACCACTGTAAAAGAAGGCAGTAAAAATAGGTCTGGTGAACTACCTTAGACCCATCATGACTTACAACAGTAATTGCTAGGCTCAGTTACGGTCATAATTCGAGGACTACCTGTATTAGCTAGAACCCACAGAGCTGTGACTTGTAAAAGATACCTTCCTTTGTCCTTTTCTAGATATGGCCATCACTTGACGCCTTGAGGACCAATGCCTAACAGGCAGTCCTAGACTTCTGACCGCAGTTGGGCCCAAAATTTTTGTTGCTAAGCAAGACAGTTGTTAAGTGAATTTTGCTCCATTTTACCCCCTTCTTTGCTACCGTGGTTAAGTGAATCACTGCAGTTGTTAAGTTAGTAATATGGCCTTTTAAGTGAATCTGGCTTCTCCATTGCTCTTCAGAAAGTTGCAAAAGGGGATCACTGACCCTCCCCCCGGAACGCTGCAACCGTCATAAGTGTGAGTCAGTTGCCAAGTGTCTGAATTTGGATCACGTGACCGTGGGGATGCTGCGAGGGTCGTAAGTGTGAAAAACGGTCGCAAGTCTGTTTTTTCAGTGCCATTGTAACTTTGAAAGGCCAATGAACAAATGATTGTACGCCGAAGCAATACAAGTAGTCCTCAACTTACAGCTGTTCATTTAACGACTGTTCAAAGTTACAACAGCATTTTAAAAAATGCCCGTATGACCATTGGCAGGGATTCGCTTAACAATGGTGGCAAGAAAGGTGGTAAAATGGGGCAGAATTCACTTAACGCCTGTCACATTTAGCAACAGAAATTTCGGGCTCCATTACGGTCGTAAGGCGAGGACTCCCTGCCCTCTTGTCGTCGGTAGGCACCACGAACCTTAATCTCTTGATCTGTGTCTTGCAGAGAGCAACATGAAGAGCCTGAAAGCCAGGTTCAAGAAGGTTGACGTGAGTACAAGCCACCGTTGGCAGAGTCTCTCCTCTTTTCAGCCCTGTGCCAGATTCCTAAAATCGGGATTAAAACCCAGAGCCCTTTTCTTGCGGCTCTCCATCCTGCAAAACAGGTTGCAAAAGGGAGCAGGGCAGTGGCGAAATGTAAATTTTGTTACTACCGGTTCTGTGGGCGTGGCTTGGTGGGAGGGGGGGTAATATGACTGAGTGGACATGGCCAACTTTTTTTTTAAAACTTTTAAAACCATTTTTCTACAACCTCTTTGGCTGAAGAGGTTGTTAAAAAAAATGCTTTTAAAGCCTCTGACGATCCCAGCTGACTTGCCTGATCGGCAGAGGCTTTCTTTTTACTTTTAAAAGCATTGTTTCTCTAACCTCTTCGGCCGAAGAGGTTGTAGAAAAAATGCTTTTAAAAATAATTAAAAAAAAGCCTCTGATGATTGCACGGCTCAGCTGGGCAATGGGGGGGGGACGGATTGGGATTTTTGCTACCGGTTCTCCGAACCACCCGCCTCCATCGCTACCGGATCGGACGATCTGGTCCGAACCGTGAGCATTTCACCCTTGCTTGGGAAGGTAAGGGGCTGTGCTGCGCTGTTTAGCTTTGCTAGAAAGCAGGGAATCCTGCTTTCTAAACTGTGCGGCACAGCTGATCATCGGAAATACCGGTTCAGAAAGAACCGGTAGCTTTTTTTTTTTTTTTTTTTACTACTTGCTTTCCCAAACCTCCTTTTGGTGCACTTTGCGCATGCGCACGCAGCATGTGTTTTTGTGCGCGCTGTGCATGCGCAGCCAGCAGGGACTCCAGATAACAGATTAACAGAGTTGGAAGGGACCTTGTAGGTCATCTAGTCCAACCACCCCCACACACACATACACAAGCAGGAGACCCTACACCATTTCTGACAGAAGGCAGTCCAGTCTCTTCTTGAAAGCTTCCAGTGATGAAGCTCCCACAACGTCTGAAGGCAACTTCTGTTCCATGGGTTGATTGTTCTCATGGTCAGAAAATTCTTCCTTATTTCCAGGTTGAATCTCTCCTTGGTCAGTTTCCATCCATGATTCCTTGTCTGGCTTTCAGGTGCCTTGGAAAATAGCTTGACCCTCTCCTCTCTGTAGCAGCCCCTCAAATATCAGAAGACGGCTATCATGTCTCCCCTGGTCCTTCTCTTCACTAGACTAGCCAGGCCCAGTTCCTGCAAGTGTTCTTCATGTGCTTTAGTCTCTAGTCCCATCATCATCTTTGTTGCTCTTCTCTGCACTCTTGAGTCTCAATATCTTTTTTTTATATATTGTGGTGAGTAAAACAGGATCCAATATTCCAACTCTGGTCTTTACCAAGGCATTCTAAAGTGGTACTAGTACCACACTTGATCTTGATTGTATTCCTCTGTTAATGCAATTTAGGATTAGCAATTTTTGGCTGCCGCTGCACACGGCTGGCTCATATTTAGCTGGTTGCCCACTAAGACTCCAAGATCCCTCTCACAGTCACTGCTATTCAGCCTGGTTTCCCCCAGTCTATATGTGTACTTTTGGTTTTTTCTTGCCTAAGTGTAAGACTTTACTTTTCTCTACATTGAATTTCCGGTTCTTTCTAATAGCCAAGGACAGTTTACTCATCTTTAATGCAACGGGGAAATCCCTGCTGTTGAGGAAATAAGATTAAAAATAGCTGGAGCTGCCAAGGCTGATTGATTTGATGAGTCGGAGAGAAAGGGCTGTCCAGATCCTGGTCTTTCAGCTCTTCTTCCATTGTCCCTGTAACTGAGTCCGTCCCTCTTTTTGCTGGTGGTCCTCTTTTTCTTCTTCTTGTTCCTTTCACTTTTTCCAGCATCAAAATCTTTACCAGAGCACTAGGCCGTAGAACATAAAGCACAGAATAATAGAGTTGGAAGGGAACCTTGGAGGTCTTCTAGTCCAACCCCCTGCTCAAGCAGGAGACCCTATACCAGTGATGGCTAATCTTTTTGCCGTCGCGTGCCAAAGGCGGGGGAAGCGTGGGGGGGTTGCGCGCACATGTGCCCACATCCATAATTCAATGCGCCCAGCCCCTCGCACATGCATGTGTGACCCCCCCTGCACTTCCCCTGCTTTTGGCATGCAATGGCACAGTGGGACTGGGAGGCCTGTTTTTCACCCTTCCCAGGCTCCAAAGCCTTTCTAGGTGCCTGGGGAGGGCAAAAACTGCCTTCCTCAACCCCCTTGGGGCCCTCCGGAGCCCAGAAACAGCCCGTTATCCGACTTCCAGTGGGTCCAGAAGGCCCGAAAATTAGCTGGCCGGCATGCACATGTGTGATGGAGCTGAGCTAGGGCAACTTTTGTGTGCCCAGAGATATGGCTCCGTGTGCCACCTGTGGCACGCGTGCCATAGGTTCGCCATCACGGCCCTATACCATTATGGACAAATGGGTATCCAGTCAGTTCTTGAAAACCTCCAGTGATGGAGCACTTACAACATCTGGTGGCAAGCTGTTCCACTGGTTAACCGTCCTCACTGTTAGGAAGTTTCTCCTTAATTCCAGGTTGCTTCTCTCCTTGATTAGTTTGCTCTCATCCATTGCTTCTTGTCCTGCCCTCTGGTGCTTTGGAGAGCAAGTTGACCCACTCCTCTTTGGGGCAGCCCCTCAAATATTGGAAGACTGCTATCACGTCACCCCTATTGGGTGGCTGTAAGTGTGAAAAACGGTCATAACTCACTTTTTTTGCAGTGCCGTTGTAACTGTGAATGATCACTAAATGATCTGTTGTAAGTCGAGGACTCCCTGTATTACAGTATCCCATGTGATTACCTTTTATAACTGTGTTACTTAGCAGCTGCAATGACTCTCTTAATGACCTTGGCAAGAAACGTCATAAAAGGGTATCTACGAGACTGCCTTCTGCCACCGATAGCCTCCCATCGACCGGTACGCTCCCACAGAGAGGGGCTCCTCCGGGTGCCGTCGGCTAGGCAATGTCGGCTGACGACCCCCAGGGGGGGTCCCTACCCTCTGGAATGAGCTGCCCCCGGAGATTTGTAGGATCTCCGACCTGCGTACCTTTCGTCGCGCCCTAAAAACATTATTATTCCAACAAGCAGGGCTGGCCTAAATAATAATAATATTTTACTATTTTAATGGGTTGCTTTATTAGAGTTTTCGGCCAATTTATTTAATTGTTTTAAATTGCTTTTAATTTTTACATTGTCATGGTTTTATTTCTGGCTGTACACCGTCCTGAGTCCTTCGGGAGAAGGGCGGTATAGAAATTTAATAAAATAAATAAATAATAAATAATAATAAATGTGGCTTAAGAAATGTCTCATTTAGTGATGGAATTTTGGGGGTCAGTTGTGGCTGTAAGTCGAGGACTACATCTACTAACTTGGAATGAAGAATCTGACCAGATCAAGAGCAACATTTTCTCCAAGCTGGCTATATCTTCCCACACTACATCCGTAACTTGATTAGTAAGCACCAGAAGCTTTCAAGAAAAGACCGGACTGCCATCTGTCAGAAGTGGTGTAGGTTGCCCTGCTTGGGCACGGGGTTGGACTAGATGACCTACAAGGTCCCTTCCAACTCTGTTAATCTGTTAAATATTCCAATATTTGAGGGGCTGCCACAAAGCAGAGGGGGACAACTGACTTTCCAAAGCACCAGAAGGCAGGATGAGAAGCAATGGATGGAAACTAATCAAGGAGAAAAGCAACCCAGAATTAACTGCGACCCACTGTTTCCTGACAGTGAGGACAATTAACCAGTGGAACAGCTGGCCACCAGAAGTTGTGGGTGCTCCAATACTGGAGGCTTTTACGAAAGGACCGGATAGCCACTTGTCTGAAATGGCATAAGTTCTCCTGCCTGAGCAGGGGGTTGGACTAGAAGACCTCTAAAGTCCCTTCCAACACTTTTATCCTATGTTCTGTTCTCCAAAGGACCTGAAGCCAGAACAAGAAACAAGGGATGGGAACTAATCAAGGAGAGAAGCAGCCTAGAACTAAGGAGAAACTTCCTAACAGTGAGGACAATTAATCAGTGGAACTGCTTGCCTCCAGAGGTTGTGGATGCTTCAACACTGGAAGTTTTAAAGAAGAGATCGGACAACAATCTCTCACTAACTGTGAGAGGGATCTTGGAGTCCTAGTGGACAATCACTTAAATATGAGCTAGCTGTGTGCTGCAGCTGCCAAAAAAGCCAACACAGTTTTAGGCTGCATAAACAGAGGGATAGAATCAAGATCACACGAAATGTTAATACTTTATAATGCCTTGGTAAAGCCACACTTGGAATATGGCATCCAGTCCCTTCCAGCTCTGTTCTGATTAAAAAGCATCGACGTGGATGGATTTGAGAGCAGAGAGAGAGAAGCAAGAAGAGAGCTGGGATTTTGTGTCTCTCTCTCTCTCTCTCTCTCTCTCTCTCTCTCTCTCTCTCTCTCTGTGTCTGTTTGCTTTCAGCCACTAGAGGGAGCCAGTCCTGCACTGCTGCACCCCAGGGCCTTTGTGCGGTGCAACTGAGCTACCTGGACCATTTTGCTTCCATCTACAACAGCCGGCAGCCGCCCTGAGCATCTCCCCTTTGGTCCCCTTCTTTCTGCACCAGGCCTGGGGGGCAGACAGGTTGGATGGATGGCGACCCGCTATTTCCTCGGGGGAACCATGAAGCAGATCTGCTTCTGCGCCGCCTCCCCCTTCGTGGTATGTTCTGCACCCCTGCATCTTACCTCCCATCCTTCCCTCCGTGCTCCTCTGCCTTCCGACAGCCTCCCCCTCCTCACTCGCCCCTCCCCGACCCCATCGCCACTGCCATTGCACCAAGCCTCCTTCCTTCCCCATCTCTACAGACCCGCCAGGGTGTACGTGCGTACGTGTGCTGGTTTCCAAGCAGCTGGACGAGATGTTTTGTTTAAAATGTTCATGTTGCAAGGGACCGAGGTTGGGGAAAGGGGAGGCTGTGTAGCAGGAGAGGAGGGCAGTTGCGCTCTGTGCATGCACAGAGGGCAGCGAGCCCGCACCCCTCATCCACTTACCTCTCCCTGCGCTCTAGAAGGGTTCCAGCTGTGCTGTGAAGAATGAACGGAAAGCTACTGATTGTTTTTTAGCAGAAATGTATGCGTCGCATTCCTCCTTCACAAGAGATGGAAATGGAAGAGAGGAAGAGGAAGAACTCTCATGTTTTCTATTTAGCATGACATCCCTGTTTAAGGATGTTTTCCTGGTTCCTTTGTGCTGTTAAGGATTTTTGTCTGGTTCCCTTTCTCCTCTGTCCGTCCATTATTATTATCATCACAACAACCCTGTGAGGTAGGCTTGGCTTAGAGATGATGTATAACAGAATAAGAGAGCTGGAAGGGGCCTTGGAGGTCTTCTAGTCCAACCTCCTGCTCAAGAAGGAAAGCCTACACCATTTCAGACAAATGGTTGTCCAATCTCTTCTTCAAAACCTCCAGTGATGGAGCACCCACAACTTCTGGAGGCAGGCAGTTCCACTGGTTCATTGTCATCACTGTTAGGAGAGGGTTAGTCAAGGTCACTTCATCAGCTGAGATCAATCCTATCTAGCTTCACCCCTGTTTGAAACCCTTCCAATACTTTCAATTTTATTTCATTGCCTGTGGAGATTCCCAGTCATCCAGGTCACAGTTGTCCCAAAGGTGTTTTTTCTCCAAAAGGCAACCGGACTCCCTTTGTTTTTCCTTGAAGACGTTTCGCTTCTCATCCAAGAAGCTTCTTCAGCTCTGACTAAATGGTGGAGGATGGAAGGACTGCAAGGAATATAAATCTTTCTGTTCTCCATGATTCAATTAGAACCGAAGAAGCTTCTTGGATGAGAAGCGAAATGTCTTCAGGGAAAAACAAAATCTAGTTGCCTTTTGTAAAAAAGCACCTTTGGGCCAATTTTATTTCAGCTTTTCTCGGCATATTCTCAACCTCTCCGGTCTGTTTTGCAACCTGTCTTCTCTTTCTAAGAATATTTGCTGTCTGCATTTCTTGGAGTTAAAGGTTGCCCCCCCCACCTCCTTCACTTCTCATCAATGCAGTTCCAAATGCTTTTAATGTTTTTTAATGTTGGTCTCTCTGCGTGTGTCCCTGCGCTGGCATTTCTCAAGCTTGCAAGGCAGGTCAGGGTGAAGGAAAGGGACATTTGCATCAGAATTGGGTTATTCTAGAAATGACTCTAAAACACCTGGCCCTTGCAAGGTTGAAGGCAGGAAGGGTGGAATTTTCCGTCGGTTAAAACCCATGCGGTGGCTGGATTTGTAAAACCTGCTGAAGTGAAACAAATTCTCCTTCAGAGTGATCTTGACTCCCAGACAGTCCTCAAGGCACCAATGCAGCATTTGGGCAGCTTTGCAGAAGTGGCTGGCCCTTGCCTTCAGCTGACCAGTTTAGCCAGTAGCCCTCGGATTTTTCTGGGGTGTCCCCTATCCTAAACCGTCAAACATATTTTGCTCTTTAGGAACAACAGAATAACAGAGTTGGAAGGGACCTTGGAGGTCTTCCAGTCCAACCCCCTGCTCAAGAAGGAAACCCTACTACACCGTTTCAGACAAATGGTTGTCCAATCTCTTCTTAAAAACTTCCAGTGTTGGAGAATTAACAACTTCTCGAGGCAAGTTGTTCCACTGGTTACTTGTTCTCACTGTCAGGAAATTCTTTCTTAATTCTAGGTGGGTTCTCTCCTTGAGTGAAGCACCTTCAGGTGGTTTGGAGAATAGCTTGACTCCCTCTTCTTTGTGGCAGCCCCTGAGATATTGGAACATTGCTATCATGTCATATCAGTCCTTCTTTTCATCCGACTAGACATACCCAGTTCCAGCAACCATTCTTCATATGTTTTAGCCTCCAGTCCCCGTCATGTTTGTTGCTCTTCTCTGCACTTTCTAGAGCCATGATGGCGAACCTATGGCACACGTGCCACAGGTGGCACGCGTAGCCATATCGGTGGGCATGTGAGCTCAGCTCCGGCACGCATGCACACACCGGCCAGCTGATTTTCGGGCCTTCTAGGCCCACTGGAAGTAGGGAAACAGGCTGTTTCCTGCCCCCGGATGGCTTCGGGGGGTGGTGGAGAAGGTCCGTTTTTCTCTCTCACCAGGCTCCAGAGCCTTTCTAGGAGCTTGGGGAGGGCAAAAACGGCCTTCTCCACCCCCCGGAGGCCCTCTGGAGGCCGGAAACGGCCCGTTTGCCAACTTCCAGTCCACCAGAATTATGGGTCTGGGCACGCGTGCGCGCGACACCCCATCCTCCCCGCTCCTGGCATGTGATGGCAAAAAGGTTAGCCATCACTGTTCTAGAGTCTCCATGTTTTTTTTATATTGTGGCGATCAAAATTGGATGCCGTATTCCAAGTGTGGCCTTACCAAGGCCTTATAAAGTGGTATTAACATTTCATGTGATCTTGATTCTATCCCTCTGTTAATGCAGCCTAGAACTGTGTTGGTTTTTTTGGCAGCTGCAGCACACGGCTGGCTCACATTTAAGTGATTGTCCGCTAGGATGCCAAGTTCCCTCTCACAGTTAGTGAGAGATTGTTGTCCAATCTCTTCTTAAAAACTTCCAGTGTTGATGCATCCACAACCTCTGGAGGCAAACAGTTCCACTGATTAATTGTCCTCACTGTCAGGAAATGTCTTAGTTTCTAGGTTGCTTCTCTACATGATTAGTTTCCATCCCTTGTTTCTTGTTGTGGCTTCGGGAAGTGTTGGAAGGGACTTTAGAGGTCTTCTAGTCCAACCCCTGCTCAAGCAGGAGAGCCTAGATCATTTCCGATAATAATATAGCAGACACTTCTAAAGATGCCCCCTTCCCTTCCAAATAATATAAATAAGACTCACCAGATAACATCCTGTTTAGCTTTGTGGGGTTTTTTTTTTTTAAGCTTTCTGTATTCTTACCAGGTAGGGTCAACCATCATGTCAAACCGCAATATGGTTTGTAGATCTGGATGTAAGATGTGAAGTATCTATAGGGGTTTAGGGGTTGCTGTAGTGAGCCGAACAAACTTGTCATGAAGGAGGTTCTCACACCCCCAAATTTTCTTCTTTTTTAGGAATGAATTGTTCTTCAAAAGGGGGGGGTCGTGGTTGGACAAATTCTAATCCTCCGTGTTGCACGTAGTAGACCAGGGGTTCTTTCTTCAGGATCTGGTGCAGCGTTCCTCAATTTTGGCGACTTGAAGGTACGTGGACTTCAACTCCCAGAATGCCCCCAGCCAACATGGGGAACTCTGGGAATTGAAGTCCACACATCTTCAAATTGTCAAGGTGAAGGAATGCTGGTCTGTTGTGAGGTTCAACTGATGTCTTTGTTGTTGTTTGGAATGGGTGGGGCTGAATCCTTGACTTGTTCCTCTGATGTCCCTCCATTTTGTGGACCCAGTGACTGTCCATTGTTCTAAAAATACGAATGAGGTACTAGAACATCTCAATGGTCTTTGTAAAAAATATCCTAAGCACCTAGAATATCCAGTGAGTAGATTACTCCTGAGTTGAACTCTTGACTGGCCAAGTCCTAAGGAAGTTGATTGAAGCTTCATCTGTCTATGGAGATTCTCAGTCATCCAGGTCATGGTTGTCCCAAAGGTGCTTTTCCAAGAGGCAACTGGACTTTCTGGTAACTGGACGGCAAAGTCCAGTTGCCTCTGGAAAAAGCACCTTTGGGACGAGGCTTCATCTGGTTCCACTTGTTGGGAAATATTGACCTGGTAACTCGTGAGGAAGCCATCCAGACTCTTGGGACTGTTTATCCAGCAACCCTCTGTTAGATCTGTACCCCTGCTGATTAGGAGGTGACGTGTGGTTGGGGTCCACTTGGTTGCAAATGTGAGATAATTGTGTCTTTTCAAGAAGGGGACCCAAAAAGTCCTGGACAACTTCCATCGAATCTTCATCCTTCCCTTTCAGAGGAAGATTGTGGAGAATCTTCAGTGGTCAGGTTGTATCCGGAAAGACTTTGGGATAAAGCAGATTGTCTGAATCCTATCCCAAATTTCAACCAGGATAGTGTGAAGATAATCTTGATCACACGTTGTTGACTTCTGGAGGTGGTGGGACCATCATGGATCTCTCAGTGGCTTCTGATGCCATTGATCATAGCATCCTTTTGGGAGGCATGGATGTGGTGATGGTTCTCCTTCTTCTTGGACCAGTTTTGGTTGACATTGATAAAAAGGAAGGTGTGACCATGAACCCTTTATGAGTGGGATGCCTCAGGGACCAACCTTTCACCTTTCCTACTTCGTATCTACATGAAACTACTAGGGAAGATCCTCCATGGACATGGGATCTACATGGGGTCCCACGTCTTGAAGCTCCAACGATCTGGATGGAGAAGAACATGTGTAAACTCAATTCTTGATAAGATGGAATGGCTATATGGGATCTTGGTTCTCTCAGGAAGTTCGGGGATTGTCCTTCTCTCTCTGTGTTGTACCTGAACATATATGTCAACTATATCTTTTCTAGGAGCTCCTTGGTAGAGGCTGTTTCCTGAATTGTTGGGTCAGATGGAGAAGCTTCGTTGGGTCTTCCAAGATGGGTGGGCTGGAAAGGAGAGGGAGAAGTCGTACCTCGCCTATCCCCCAAGTGATGCTGTTGGTTTTCAGAGCCAAGACTGGAACAAGAATGACGAGAAGCTCCTGCAGGCGGTGGAATTCAATGATGCAGACCGAGTCTCCTCTCTCCTGCTCCGGAAGAGCTTGGTCCCCACCAAACTGGACATGGAGGGGAAATCGGCGTAAGTTTTTCCTTCCTTTCCCATCCCTTCCCCCTTCCTTTTCTTTCCCTCCCCTCCCCAATTATTTACTTTCTTCTGTTTCCCCTTCCTTTTCCAAATCTTCCCTTCCCTTTCTCATCTTAGTTCCTTTCCTGTCCTTTCCTTTCCCCCAATCCTTCCTTCCCTTTCTCAGGTTTTCATTCTTCACTTTCTTCCTTCTTCCATCTGTCCCTCCCTCCCCTTTCTCATCTATTTAGTTTCTTTCCTTTCTCCTTTCCTCCCCTCCCCTTTCTCCCTTCCTTCCGTTTTTCATTCCTCACTTTCTTCCTTTTTCCATCTATCCCTCAACTTCCTCTTTCCCCTTCCCTTTCTCATCTATTTTTTCCTTCCTTCCTCCATTCACTTTCCTTCCTTTTTCTTGTCCTTTCCTCCCTCCCTCCCTTTTATCTCGTCTCCTTTACTTTCCATTTCATAATCCCCTCCCTTCTACTCCTCCTTTCACCCTCCCTCCCTCCCTTCTTTTCCTTTCCATTTCTTAACCCTCTCCCCCTCATCTCCCAGCCCCTTTCTGACTCCCTACTCTAACCTCCTGGTGGTCTCCCATCCAAATAATAAAATGATAAATTTTTTCACACCGTTGCAGCATCCCTGGGGTCACATGATCAAAATTTGGGCATTTGGCAGTTTCCTGGGGGGGGGGGGAGAGAACACCCCCGACCTTCTGACAAGCAAAGTCAATGGGGAAGCCAGATTCACTTAACAACCGTGACTCATTTAACAATCTCAGTGATTCACTTAACCACGGTGGCAAGAAATGGGACAAAATTCACTTAACAACTGCCTTGCTTAGCAACGGAAATGCTGGGCTCAGTTGTGGTCATAAGTCAGGGCCTACCTGCGTGGGTTCCCCCTGGCTATTGAGGGTTCCCAGGAGTTTGTTTTCCTCTTGCAGCTTCCACCTGTGTGCCATGAAGGGGAACGTGGACTGCATGGAGGTGATGTTGGCCCATGGGGCAGACGCTTTGACCACCGACGGTTCAGGTGAGAATATTTTTGAGAATGTCTCAAAGAATCAGGCTGCCTGATTTGAGTGGAAATCTTGAACCTACCTGGCTGGCCTGGATAGAGCTGCAGCACATTACCTTTGGAGATACAGGTAGTCCTCGATTTACAACATCCTTGGAAGGCAAGTAACCCCGTGTTTGTCTTCTTCTGATCTTCTCCACCCTCCCTAGGTCACACCGCGTTGCACCTCTCGGCAAAACACGGCCACCCCCAGTGTGTCAGCAAGCTGTTGCAGGTAAGAGACGGCTATTCAGTTTTGCAAACTTTACAAGCAGAATTGTGTGTTGCCTTCTTCCAGGATGTCTTCTATTTATTTGTTTTTAACTTTGTCTTATTTTATGCTTCTCTTTCTTTTCAAATAAATTAGGGTTAAATAAATAACTAGGGTTATATAATAAATGGATGGATGGATGGATGGATAGATACTGTAGATAGATAGATAGATATAATGATAGATAGATAGATGGATGGATGGATGGATGGATGGATGGATGGATAGATAGATAGACATCAGACTCCAACTTTCATTGAATTTTTGACCCTTAAGTTTTTCTCTCTCATCACTTAAGTCTTCCTGCCATGTTGATGTAGCCGATAGCCAGGGAAGGACCGCACTCCATCATGCAGGTAAGTTCTAGACCAGGCTAGGTTCATATTCTAGACACAAGGCTAGGTTATTGGCAAGACCATCTCTCCCTGAAAGCATCTATCTACCGGATCGGATAAAGCAAGGATCTCCGACTCTGGCAACTTTTAAGACTTGTGGACTTCAACTCCCAGAATTCCTCAGCCGGCCATGCTGATGGCTGGTGCTTAAAATGGTGCTATCTTGATACGATCTCTGTGTGGGTGCAGCCTAGGATTGCATTGGCTTTTTTTGGCCGCTGCAGCACATGGCTGGTTTATACCTAAGCGGTTTCCCTTGGAATTGGTTAGGCCTGGAAGTTGCATCCGTCCCCATGAAGCTTAAAAGTCATAGTACTCTCAAGTTTACAACATGAAGGAATTTCTGAAGTTGAAAATTGCAGGAAAACTTACAAAAGCATCCCAGCAATTAGGAGCCGTGGTGGCGCAGTGGTCGGACCGCAGTATTGCAGGCTGATTTTGCTCACTGCCAGGAGTTCGATCCTGACTGGCTCAAGGTTGACTCAGCCTTCCGTCCTTCCGAGGTCGGTAAAATGAGGACGCAGATTGTTGGGGGCAAGAGGCCGACTCTGTAAACCGCTTAGAGAGGGCTGTGAAGCGGTATATAAGTCTAAGCGCTATTGCTATTATTAATGAAAATGGATGGATTCTCATTTGGTTTATCTTTCAGTGAAAACATGTTCCGGTTAAGAAAGCGTATTCTCTTTTTTTCGCCCCCCCAGCCATCCATGGGTCTATCTCTTGTTTGGAAATCCTTTGTGACTTCAAGGCTTCCTTGAACATCAAGGACCAGGTGAGAGTCTCCTCACCATCCAACCTGCCCATTCAGCCTAAGTTGACAGGTTTCTGGTGTCCATTCATTTTTGCTTCTGTTGTTCTCACAACCAGACGAAAGCATTGAGTAACTCCCTAGTGTTACAAGGAGGCTGTGATTATGAATGACCTCTGAAAGGCTGAAAGGCTGTATAATTTGTAAAAAAATAGTATATTTTTTTACATTTCCTCCTTCTTCTCCTCCTGTTTCCTCTTCTCCTTCTCACCTTCTCTTTCTCTATTCTTCTTTCTCCTTCTTTGTCCCATCCTCCTCCTCCTCTCCTTCCTATTTTCTACGCTTTTTTTCTCTCCTTCTTCTCATCTTCTCTTCCACCTTTCATCTCTTCTTTGTTTCCTTTTCTCCTTCTTCTTCTCTTGGCCTTCTTCTTCCTACTTGTTTTCTCTTCTCCTCCCTCTTTTCTTTCCTCCTCCTCTATCTCTTTCTCCTGTTTTCTTTTCTTCTTTCTTCTCCTTTTTGCCTTCTTCTTGTTTCCTGTTTCTTCTCTTTCCTTCTTTCCTCTTCTTTCCCTTCCTCCTCCTGCTGTCCCCTTCTCCCATAACCAGCTCCTTCAAGGAAAGGAAGGAGAACTTTCATGAACATCCATGTTGACGTTTTCCACTGAGTGGTGATGAAGTTGCTATAAAGACGCAGATGTTTTAACTGACCAGGCAATGTTTTCCCCACTTTCTCCGGGCAGGATGGGGCAACTCCTCTGATGCTGGCAGCCAAGATGAACCATTCGGAGCTCTGCCGCTACTTGCTACACCGAGGAGCTGCTGTTAATGCCAGAGACCAGAAAGGCCGGTGAGAAAACTGGCGTGAAGCCAGGAGTTTGTCTTTCTTGTTCCAAGTGACATGATGCAATTAACTAAGCCCTGGTGGTATTTTGAGAGTTACTTCTGTAATACTAGCCTTGAGATCCTCTCCTCGGATTGACGGTGCCCCTCTTTGCTTCAGAACAGCCCTGATGGTCGCTTGTGAGAATGGCAGCGTGGAGACAGTTGAAGCGCTTATCCACGGCGGCGCACGGGTCGGCTTGATCGATGCCACGGGCCGCGATGCCGCACACTATGGAGCCGCCACAGGCAATGCCCTCATTCAACATTATCTCCAAGAGGCTGCCCAGCGCCATTCTTGGGCCAGTGGTAAGACCCCCATCCTCCTTCCCAGATGCTAGTCCTGTTGAAGGAAGAGGGTTTACTGGTTTCCCGAAGGAATTGGGGCAGGGTCTCCGAAAGAGAAGCTTGGATTGGCCTGGAAGAAACTCACAATGTCCTTCAGCTGCATTGCAGGTTGGCTTTCTCCCCTTGAGTTGACCACTTGAAGGACTTTTTACACCCAAGGCCCATGGTGCTCACCGAGCTTGGTTGTTTCCTTGCAGACGTTTCATGACCCAGCTAGGTAACATCATCAGTACACTGGGTGTTTCCATGCATTTCGGTCATGAAACATCTGCAAGAAAACCGCCAAGCTCAGAGAGCACCAAGGAGCTCGTATTTCAACCCTGGGCTGCAAAGATTTCTCCTCCATCGGTACTACAGGTAGTCCTCGATTTACAACAGTTCATTTAGTGACCGTTCAAAGTTACAACGGCACTGAAAAATAGTGAGGCTGCTTTTCACACTTATGACCGTTACAGCATCCCCAGGGTCACGTGATCAAAAATTCAGACCCTTGGCAACTGACTCACATTTATGACGATTGTGGTGTCCTGGAGGTCACGTGATCCCCTTTTGTGACCATGGGGAAGCCAGATTCACTGAACCACCAGGTTACTAAAAACTGCAGTGATTCACTTAACAGCTGCAGCAAGAAAGGTCGTAAAATGGGGCACGTGCTCACGTAACAAGTCTCTGACTTAGCAACAGAAATTTGGGGCTCAGTTGCGATCGTAAGTCGAGGACTACCTGTATGGCAGTTCACGCCAGGCCTGCTGCCTTCTTCTCCTCAGCAAGCAAAACCAAACAGACCCTTGCCCAGGTTTCCAGCCCTTCCCCCACCTGGCAGCTGTAATAAGCCCTTGTATATGTTGATATCCTAAATGGCTTTATGTCCAGAGACCCCTGACAGACCTCCAAGCAGCTATGGGTCTCTAAAAAAAACCCCTCCCCTCGTTTCGTCCTCTGGCTGTATCATAGGGGGCCTGGGTCTGTGGGAGGAACCCCTTTGGGTGCTCAACCCATCCCCCACTGACCCAGCAAATTGGAGGGTTCCTTGCCAGCCGTTCTTCCTGCTACCTTGAAACATCCCTTTGATATTTTTGTCTTTTTTGCAGAGGAACAATCACCTGATCTGTCCTCTCAGGTAAAATCTTTTCCATTCCAAAAGGGCTCAATGGCAGCAGCAACAGCTGGGAGATCAACTCTTAATGCTCCTCCCTCCCTCCCCTTTCTCCCTCTCTCCATCCCTCCCCTCCCTTCGTCCCTCCCTCTCTCCCCTTGTCCCTCTCCCCTCCCTTTCTCCGTCTCTCCCTTCTTTCTGTCCCACTCTCCTTCCTTTCTTTCTTCCTCCTTCCCCCTCCCCTTCCTTCTCTTTCCCCCTTGTCCCTCCCCCTTTCTCCATTTCTCTCTTCTTTCTGCCCCACCTTCCTTCCCTTTTCTTCCTCCCTCCCTTTCCCTTCTTTCTCCCTCCCTTTCTTTCTCCCCCTCCCTCCCTCCCTTTCCTGTCTTCTTCCCTCACTCCTTTTTCTCTCCTCTTCCTCTCTCTCTCTCTCTCCCTCCTCCTGCTTCTCTCCATCCCTCAGGCTTCCTCCTCCCGACAGTCCCTTTGCAAGGAGAAGAGCAACAGTCCAAGGAAGCGGAAGGCACCCCAGCCGCCCACCTGTAACCCCAACCAGGTAGGCCGCCGATTGGGCTCATGTGCCCACATGGCCCATTGAAGAAAGAGAAGGAAGAGTCCACATATGTCTTTGGCTGAAAATGCATCATTTGGGCATGGAGGGGAACTGACTGGGATATCCAGAGATCTTGGCTTAAGCAGAAAGTGGGGAAGTATTCTGGAAGGTGGAAATGGTTAGTTTTCCCATTAGAAGACAATCTCTGTAGCCCAGGGTTGAATTGTGGGGTCCTTGGTGCTCTCTGAGCTTGGTGGGTTTTTTGCCGACGTCTCATTACCCAACTAGGTAACATCATCAGTGCTAGAAGTGAATGGGTTGGAGGAGGAGATGGTGGAGAAAGAAGAGGAGGGGGACTGTAGGATCCTTGGTGCTCTCTGAATTGACTGTTTTCTCGCAGACATTTCATGACCCAACTAGATAACGACATCAGTGCTAGTGAGTCTGGGATTTACCCTACCAGTTTTGTTCGGTGGCGTAGTTTCCTCCTTGAAGGTTCCTTCATTCGTGTATCATTTCCTGCCTGTTTGTTGTCTGGTATTAATCCCCGCTTATTTGGATGTTGTCTGCTGGAGACACATTTGGTCTTTTGCTCTCCGTCTTTATTGTCCCTTTTGAATGGATTGTAATTATCTCTATATGTCGATCGATGGCTGAATTGTCCGAATGCCAAGCTTCCAGGAGTTCGCCAGCACTTTTAGACTTGGCTTAATCTCCGATGCGAACACAGGTACTCCTTGACTTACAACCACAATTAAGCCTAACATTTGTGTTGCTAAGCGAGACGGTTGTTATGTGAGTTTTGCCCCATTTTATGACTTTTCCTGCAATGTTTGTTAAGTGAATCACAGCAGTTGTTAAGTTAGTAACATGGCTGTTAAGTGAATCCGACTGTCCCCGTGGACTTTGCTTGTCAGAAGGTCGCAAAATGGGATCACGTGACCCCGGGACACTGAAACCGTCATAAACATTTATTTATTTATTTATTTCATGTATTTATATGCCGCCCTTCTCCATAAGGACTCAGGGCGGCGAACACAAGTTAAAAACATATACAACTAAATCCCATTTTAAACCAAATTAACTAATAAATAATAAATAATAAAACCCAGAATCAGAGTCAGCCTATTTGCTTGAACAGCCAAGTCTTCAGGTCCCGATGGAAGGAGCATGAACATGACGGAAGGAACATGAACATAGCAACTGACTCATAAACATGAGTCAGTTGCTATGTGTCTGAATTTCAAATGTGTGATCATGGGGAAAATTCAACCGTCATAAGTATAACCATGTTAGTAACTTAAAGACTGCAGTGACTCACTTAACAACGGCGGCCAGAAACGTCGTAAAATGTGGCAAAACCAAAAAAACCCTCACCCAGCTATCTTCCTTGTTTCTAGGGGGATCGGGAAGCCTACGAGGAGATTGCGAGGTTACGGCAGGAGAGGGTTGAGTTTCTCCAAAAGATCCGGGGATTGGAGCAGCTCCAAGACAAACAGAAACAGGAAGTGAGTGTTTGAAGATGCTAGAACGAAGCTCTCTTAGAAAACCCAGCATAAGAGACGTGGTGGCACAGTGATCGGAATGCGGTATTGCAGGCTGACTCTGCCCACTGCCAGCGGTTTGATCCTAATTGGCTCAAGGTTGGCTCAGCCTTCCGTCCTTCCAAAGTAGTAAAATGAGGACCCAGATTGTTGGTGGCAATAGGCTGACTCTGTAAAACTGCTTAGAGAGGGATGGAAGGCACTGTGAAGCGGTATATAAGTCTAATACAATATAAGTCTGCTATTGCTCTCATCTCTGTCTCTGTCTCTATCTCACATCTCTCTCTTCTGTTTATCTACAATATCTATCTATCAATCTATCTATCTATCTATCTATCTATCTATCTATCTATCTATCTATCTATCTATCTATCTATCGCAGGAGTGTCAAACTCGGTTTCATTGAGGGCCGCATCAGGGTTCTGTTTGACTTGGGGGAGAGACAGGTGGGGTGTGGTCAGCTCAACGTCACTCGTGTTGGGGGCGCCTTTGGTGGCCTGACCACTCTGCCAGCAAAAACGGGCTCCTGAGCTACATTTTTGGCTGCAATGGCCTCCTGTAACCCTCTGCCAACAAAAACTGAGCTTGGGAAGGCAACCTGTGGCCCTCCCGAGCTCCGTTTTCACTGGCAGAGGCACTGCGGGCCAGTCTTTCGCTGTTTCTAGGGCAGGCCCAGTGGCCAGATCTAAGCACCCTGGGGCCGGATCCATCCCTCAGGCCGTGAGTTTCACACCCCTGATCTAGTGTCTATCTTCTCCCTCCCTCCCTCCCTCCCTCCCTCCGCCCCCCCTCTCTCTCTCCTTGATTTATTTTATTTATTTATTTATTTGTTTAAATTTCTATACCGCCCTTCTCCAAATAGGACTCAGGGCGGTGCACAGCCTAAGTAAAAACAAAGCATACAAAATTTAAAAAACAGTATTAAAATAATAAAATATTCTGGCCGTAAATTAAAACAACCCAATTTAAAATCAATTTAAAATTTAGCTCAAGCCAGCCCAGCTAGTTGAAATAAATAAGTTTTCAGGGCCCGACGAAAAATCCGGAGGTCTGTTATTATACATAACTCTGGGGGAAGGTTATTCCAGAGGGTGGGCGCCGTCACAGAGAAGGCTCTCCCCCTGGGGGTCGCCAGCCGACATTGTCTGGTGGACGGCACCCTGAGGAGGCCCACTCTGTGCGAGCGTACTGGCCGGTGGGAGGCTATTGGTGGCAGTAGGCGGTCTCGTAAGTACCCCGGCCCTAAGCCATGGAGCGCTTTAAAGGTGGTCACCAACACCTTGAAGCGCACCCGGAAGACCACCGGGAGCCAGTGCAGCTCGCGCAGGAGAGGTGTCACATGGGAGCGCCTCGTCGCCCCCATAATCCCCCGCGCGGCCGCGTTCTGGACCAGCTGGAGCCTCTGGGTGCACCCCAGGGGGAGCCTCATGTAGAGAGCGTTGCAGTAGTCCAGGCGGGAAGTGACTAGTGCCTGAGTGACTGTGCGTAGAGAGTCCCGATCTAGAAAGGGGCGCAACTGGCATATCAGGCGAACCTGGTAAAAAGCCCCCCTGGCCACGGCCGTCAAATGGTCTTCTAGAGACAGCCGTGCGTCCAGGAGGACGCCCAAGTTGCGAGCCCTCTCCGTGGGGGCGAGTGATTCGCCCCCAATAGCCAGCGATGGCGTCAGCTGGCTATATCGGGACGCTGGAAGCCACAGCCACTCGGTCTTGGAGGGGTTGAGTCGGAGCCTGTTCCTCCCCATCCAGATCCGCACAGCCTCCAGGCACTGGGACATCACTTCAGGGGCATCGTTGGGGTGGCCTGGGGTGGAGATGTACAGCTGGGTGTCATCAGCGTACTGATGGAACTCCACCCCGAAGCCACGGATGATCTCACCCAGCGGCTTTACATAAATGTTGAACAGAAGGGGCGAGAGGACCGACCCTTGTGGCACCCCACAAGCAAGGTGCCTCGGGGTCGACCGCTGCCCCCCCGTCAACACAGATTGCGACCGGTCAGAGAGGTAGGAGGAGAACCACCGCAAAACGGTGCCCCCCACCCCCAACCCCGCTAACTGGTGCAACATGATACCATGGTCGATGGTATCAAAAGCCGCTGAGAGGTCTAACAGGACCAGGATAGAGGAGCAACCCCTATCCCGAGCCCTCCAGAGATCATCCACCAACGCGACCAATGCCGTTTCCGTGCTGTGCCCAGGCCGGAAGCCGGACTGGAGCGGGTCTAGATAGACAGTTTCATCCAGGTACTGGGGAAGCTGTTGCGCTACCACACTCTCAACAACCTTCGCAACGAAGCGAAGGTTGGAGACTGGACGATAGTTAGCCAAAACAGCCGGATCCAGAGAGGACTTCTTGAGGAGGGGCCTCACAACCGCTTCTTTCAAAGCAGCCGGCAGGACCCCCTCACTCAAAGAAGCGTTAACAATCTTCTGGAGCCAACCTCGTGTCACCTCCCGGGAAGCCAGTACCAACCAGGAGGGACACGGGTCCAATAAACATGTGGTCGCGTTCAGCCGTCCCAGGACCCTGTCCATGTCCTCGGGAGCCACAGGATCGAACTCCCCCCAGATAACACTCTCAAGACCTGCCTCAGTCATCCCGTCCGGACATACCCAGTCAGAGGCCAGCCCTTCCCGAATCTGAGCGATTTTGTCATACAGATACTGCACAAAGTCCTCAGCTCGGCCCTGCAAGGGGTCATCCCGCGCTTCCAGATGGAGGAGGGAGCGGGTCACCCTAAACAGGGCGGCCGGGCGATTATCTGATGACGCGATAAGAGCGGCAAAATAGCTAGATTTTGCCGCTTTTATTGCCACTAGGTAGGTCTTAATATGAGACCTCACCAGTGTTCGGTCGGATTCGGAGCGGCTGGTCCTCCAACTACTCTCCAGGCGTCTTTTCCGGCGCTTCATCTCCCTAAGCTCCTCAGAGAACCAAGGAGCTAGGTGAGTTCGGTGCCGGGTCAGAGGCCGCAAAGGCACGACACGGTCCAAGGCCCCGGCAGCCGCACTATCCCAGGCGGCCACCAGGTCCTCAGCCGAGTCGTGAGCCAGAGTCTCAGGAAATGGCCCAAGCTCCATCTGGAACCTATCAGGGTCCATCAGGCGCCTGGGGCGGAACCACCTGGTCGGTCCCGCCTCCCTGCGGCGGGGTGCAGCGGTTAGAAAGTCCAGTCGAAGGAGCGAGTGGTCAGACCATGACAAGGGTTCGATGACTATATCCCCTGTATCAAGGCCACTCGACCACTGACCAGAGACAAAAACTAAGTCCAGAGTGTGTCCACCCATGTGAGTGGGGTCATGAATTAACTGAGTAAGGTCCATGGCCGTCATGGAAGCCATGAACTCCCGAGCCTCCTCAGACGTTTCGCTGACAGATGGCAGGTTGAAATCCCCCATGACTAGAAGTCTGGGGGTACCAACCGCCACCTCAGCTATGACGTTGAGCAGCTCGAGCAGGGCCGTTGCCACGCGGCAGGGAGCCAGGTACGTGATCAACAAGCCCATCTGTACTCCACGACCCCATCTCACAAAAAGGGACTCACATCTGGCTATCTGTGGAACAGTGGTCTCCCTCGGATCAAGACTTTCCTTTATAATAACCGCCACCCCCCCACCCCTGCCCTGAGCTCTCGGCTGATGGAATGCTCGGAAACCTGGTGGGCACATATCCACGAGGGGAAACCCCCCTCATGGCCCAACCAGGTCTCCGTAATACCTGCCAGGTCCGCTCCCCCCTCCTGAATAAGATCGCAAATGAGGGGGGCTTTATTTACCACGGACCTGGCATTGCACGACAGCAGCCGAAGGCTCGGGCCCTGAGAGTCTGAACAGCCTGGGATACGAGAAGGGTTATGGGGACCAGGGCGCGCCACCGCTCGAAGATAGCGAGTGCGTGCCCCCACCACATGATGCGGCCCCCTGCTCCCGCCATATCTGCCCCTCCCACTCAACACATTGATAGAAAAGCCCTCGACAGAATGGACTCTAATGTCCCCCTTACCCCCGGAATCCGCACCCTCCGTGGCCCCACTAACAGCTGGGCCGGACCCCTCCCCCCGTGAGTTAACCCCCAAACCCACACAACCCTCCCACCCCTTAAAATCCCTTAAAAATCTATCAAAAAGTTTCCCTAAAAAACCCCTCAATCCCCTTTTTGCAGCATGCCACCTCTCGGGGTGCCAAAGCCCGTCATGAAGGTAGGCCCTTGATAAAGTGGAGGGCCACACCTGCGAGAGGGGGGGAGTCTCGCAGAATAAGAAGTTCTGTTGGTGAATACATCCAATCAATCAGTTAATTAATTAAGCTGGGGGAAGTCCACGGCCTGGGGGTAATCCAGATAGTCCAAGGTCTGGGGAGGGACATTCAATCAATTCCAAGTCAATAAATTCAATAAATCCAATAAATCCCACTGCTCTCTCACAGCAGTGGATGGAGTCTTAAGCCACTTTGAGGCCAGATGTTAACACCAGCTGCCCTCTCACGAAAGCTGGGAAGGGCCAGAAACCGCAGTCATCGTCCAGCTCCATTCAAGGCTTGAAATCTGAGATATCTCACTCTACAACTGGGGGGCTTTAATAGCAGCCACCAATCTACAGGTCCGCGAGCCAAGAGAAGCCTCCGATGGTTCTGGCGGCTGCACCTTGAGCGAATCAGGAGGCAAATCAGGGGGCTGTAGATGTCCATGGGAGGCAAATATCATCCTATTGTTCAGAGGAACCTCCAGATAATAAGTGGCCTCACAGAGGCTAACAGACCACATGGGGCATAAGAGCTTGGCCCCAGGTCTTTTCCAACCGTCAGAACCAGCAATGTTTTTAGCTCGCCCCCATCCACATAAGGGAGGGGGGGGAACCTCTGGGAGAGCCAGGAAGAGGCCCCCTCCAAGTAAGCCTCCCATCTAAGTTGTAATAGCAGTTCCAAAGAAACTGACATTAATAGTATATTGTGGTCAGAGGCTCCTCGCACTCCCTAAGCAAGTTCCTCCTCCTTTTCGCCCCCTCTGGTGCCATCCCTCACAGCCGCTCGTCCTAGTATTGTAGCAAGTGCCAGCCCGACGATCCCAGCTCTCGAAAAATCTCCATCCATCGCTGGGAAGCCCCTGCCGTCCCCTCGGAGCTCCGGGGAGAGACTGCATCGCCGACGCCACCGCCCACTCCACCGGTCCGGCAGCTGCGGGGAGACGCCGAAGCCGCTCTCCCTGCTCGTAAAACTGCAGCGCAGCCGCCTCCGTCTCCTCCCGGCCATCGCGTTCTGGAAAGCTGCCAGCTCTCAAAAAGGCAGCATCCGATTGGTGGGAAGCTCCCCTCGCCAGACATGGGGCAAAATTAGCTGGTCCGGCCCCCGAAAACCCCCCAAAGCTGGGGAATCTCCCCCAGGTATCACCGCTGCTCAGCTGGGAGCGGCCATCTTGGACATGCGCAAGAGGAAGACCTTGCGCAAGACCATGCGCAAGACCTTCAAGGTCAAACAGGCACATTAAGGGTAACAAAGGAAAGTCCCATGTCCATGCACTTCCTCCAAATCTTGGAATGACCCACAGATTTGGGGCAAAAAGAAACCACTGAAACCTTCAGAGATTAAAGGCATGTCAAAGGAGGTCCGCTTACGCACCAAGTTCCCATTGTCTACACAGGTAGTCCTTGACTTCTGACTGATAATTCCATGCTTTATTTTACTTTCTGGTCATCCAGAATTGGGAAGAGTGGTTTCAAAAGATCCTTTAATAAATCAGTTTTTTTTCCTGGCAATGACTTTACCTCTTTTCTTCTCTCTCTCTCTCTCTCTCTCTTTTTGCCTCTGGCAGCAGCTGGAAATTCAGAATGGCTCCTTGCCTATTCTGGAGAAGCAGGTGAGTCTTATTCTGGAACAGAAGAACACAAAGACGCTAGACAGATGGTTGAACTCATAATGATGTCACAGATTACAACATGATAACCCCAATGATGCAAAGAGCCTAATGGCAGCTTGCTAATTGCAAGAATAGAATAGAGTAGAGTAGAGTAGAATATGTAGAATAGAATAGAATAGAATAGAATAGAATAGAATAGAATAGAATAACAGAGTTGGAAGGGACCTTGGAGGTCTTCTAGTCCAACTCCCTGCTTGGGCAGGAAACCTATACCATTTCAGACAAATGGTTGTCCAATTTCTTCTTAAAGAGATTCTTAAATCATGGCATATTTAATACAGGTAGTCCTCAATTTACAACCAAAATGCAGGCAGGCAGGCAAGAAGAAAGAAAAGAAAGAAAGAAAGAAAGAAAGTGAAAGTGAAAGAGAAAGAGAAAGAGAAAGAGAAAGGAAGGAAGGAAGGAAAAAGGAAGGAAGGAAGGACCTAATGGCTATAAGTGATCCCAAATGCTCAATCCATAAGCCATCTTTTGGCTTGTGATGACTTGCATAGTTCACACAAGCAGTGATTGATCCTTCTTAATGAGAATGTGTCGATCCAAAGCCTCTTTCCTACTGCAGATTCAAAGATCCACTTTCCTGGTTTCCAACAACAAACTCCAAACCTATCTTAGTCCAGTTCAGCATTTTGTGTGAACTCAACTAGCCAATAACTCTAAAGTACATCTGGAACTCCGTATCTAGGATTTTCAGTTCAGTTCAAAAGAAGTCATCAGATACCCAAATAGGCAAGCGTCACAATCGGAATAAAATCTTTGGGGATTTTTGTTGTCTAACCAGGTAGAGGATCTCCAAAACCAACTGGCGGAGACGGCAAATGAGAAGGAAAATCTTAAGAAGGAACTGGAGGTGCTGCGAAGCCGGCTTTCATTCTGTGAGGTACCGAAGGATGATTTGAGGGTCACGTCATTCCTTTAAGGTGACCTTGAGATGCGTTGTCTCGCTCAGATGGAGTGACCGCCCGAGTTGTCCAGCCCCTCAATAGTCCAGTTAAAGTAGGGGTGTCAGGCTGCTAAATCCAAGAGACATTTTGTGATTTTTTTCAAGGTGGTTTCATTATGGATCCTCACCGGTAGACGGAATCTTGCCAAACAACAGCAGGCTAACATCCCTATCATAAAGCATCGCCCGGTGTCGCCTTGCAGAGGGATGGGTGGCAAACGAATTTAATAAATAATAATTTAATAGATAAAATGCATGTTCTGGGAACTGTTAGGGAGGAGTCTTCTTTATCGTTACATAAACTATCTGAACTCAGTTGTCTCTTGCTCCTTTACACCCCCATCTAATGGAAGAGAATATTTGTAGCTCAGGGTTGAACTGTGGGGTCCTTGGTGCTTTCTGAGTTTTGCTTTTTTTTGGTAGATGTTTTATGAGCTGACTAGGGAACATCATCAGTGGTAGAAAGGGGGGGGAGGGGAGAAGGAGGAAGAGGAGGAGGAGAACTGTGGGGTCCTTGGTGCTTTCTGAGTTTTGCTTTTTTTTTGTAGACGTTTTATGACCTGACTAGGGAACATCATCAGTGGTAGAAAGTGGGGGGGGAGAAGGAGAAAGAGGAGGAGGAGGAGAACTGTGAAGTCCTTGGTGCTTTCTGAGTTTGGCTGTTTTCTTTTCTTGCAGACGTTTTATGACCTGAGTAGGGAACATAATCAGTGCTAGAAGGGTGGGGGAAGGAGGAGGAGGAGGAGAACTGTGGGGTCCTTGGTATTTTCTGAGTTTTGCTTTTTTTTTTTTTTGGGCAGACGTTTTATGACCTAACTAGGGAACATCATCAGTGGAAGAAGCGGGGTGGGGAGAAGGAGGAGGAGGAGGAGAACTGTGGGGTCCTTGGTGCTTTCTGAGCTTGGCTGCTTTCTTGCACTCGTTTCCCTGTGCACTGATATTACCTAGTTTGGTAATGAAACGTCTGCAAGAAAATATATCAAGCTCAAGAAGCACCAAGGATCCCAGTCTTCCTCCTCCTCCTCCTCTCCCAAAATCCCACTCTGGTCTAGCACTGATGATGTTACCTAGTTAGATAATGAAACGTCCGCAAGGAAACAACTAAACTCAGAGAGCACTAAGGACCCTCCATCCCTCCCTCCCTCTTGGGAATCCGGATGGCCTTCCATCACATCTGGACGGTATCTGAGAGAGACAAACACACCTTTGCATAAAATCGTCTTCCAAAATAATTGTCTTTTCCTTGAGCCAAACGGAATCTGTCGGCTCCTCTCCTTCTCCATAGAACTTCTCTTAGACTCCCATTTTTTTGGGAAATCTCCCATCTCGTCTTCTCTTTGTGCAGAACGAGAAGGAAAATACCAGCTATGACATTGAAACCCTGCAGGACGAAGAGGGGGAACTGCTGGAGTTTCCAGGTAAGGCTGGGTCTTAATCTGTCGGCAGTCCTCGACTTGCAACGGTCCATTTAGTGACCATTCGAAGTTACAATGAAAAAAAGGGACTTATGACCATTTTTTTCACTCAACCATTGCAGCATCCCCGCCGTCACATGAAGAAAATTGATCTGCTTCGCAACCAACTCATATTTATGACGATTTGCAGTGACCCGGGGGTCACATGGTGATGAGATGACCTGTGTTCCATGTATTTGCACAGTTCTTTTAACAACTTAAAAAGGGACTTTGGATCATTTTTCACACTTATGACCGTTGCGACATCCCTGTAGTCACGTAATCAAACTTCAGACTCATATTTATGACTATTGCAGTGTCCCGGAGTCGTGTGGCCTCCTTTTGCGACCTTCTGACAAGCGAAGTCCATGGGGAAGCCAGATTTGCTTAACAATCGGATCACTAACTTATCAACTGCCATGTTTCGCTTAATGACGGTGGCAAGAACGATAGTAAAAGGGGGCGAAATTCACTGAACAAACATCTGTCTTAGCAACAGAAATGTTGGGCTCAATGGTGGTCGTAAGTCGAGGACTACCTGTATTTTTGTCACTTTAGCCCGGGGTGGGCGTCTCCACCAGATTTAATCTATTTTTTTTTGCACATTTTCACTTTTTCCCCCGTTTCTTCTTCTTCTTTTCCTTTTAGCAACTGCTGAGCTTCTCTCCAAGAAAACCTTAAGTGCCTCCACGGAAGAACTCTTAGCAACTCTGGAGGGCCAAATAGAGTCCCTAACCCAGAAGAACAAAAAATTAATGGAAAAAATACAGGTAAATCCTAACTTTGACCACCTGGGCATTTACTCACCTGCTGTGGAGAAATAGTGCTTGAGTTAACCAACGATAAACTACAGGGAGCAGTTGTCGACTTGCAACAGTTCATTTAATGACTGTTTCAAAGTTACAACAGCACCAAACAAAGTGTCTTGCGGCAATTTTTCACACGTATGTCCGTTGCAGCCTCTCCGTGGTCATGTGATCCAAGTTCAAACAATTGGCAACTGGCATGTACTTATGACGGTTGCAGCGTCCCAGGGTGATGTGATCTTTATGACTGTCTGGCAAGCAAAGTTGACGGGGAAGCCAAATTCACTTAACAATTTACTGATTCACTTAACAACTGTGGCAAGAGAGGTCCTAAAATGGGGCAAAACTCACATAAGAACTGTCTCGCTTTAGCCACAGAAATTTGGGGCTCAATTGTGGTCATTAAGTTGAGGAATAACAATATTTCGTTATATTTTATTGTTATTGTCAACAATAATAAATTCCCTCTTAGTATTAGCCACGGAAGGCAAAACCCAGAAGAACAACAAAAAATATCGGTCAAAAGTCAAGGACTAGCTATATGCATGAAACACAGTCACTGAGGCTATGCATTAAATTCTCCTGAACACATTTGTGGTGTTTTTTCTCTCTCTGTGTGTATCCAAATAAATCAAATTTCCATTTTGTGCAGGTTCTGGAGAAGGACGAGAAGGACCAGAGCGAGGTTGACACTTCTGGGGACTTCATCCCTATCATTTTGTACGACTCGCTCAGATCTGAGTTCGAGAAGCTGAAAGGACAGCAGCTGGAGGCTCAGGAGCTTCTGAAGTCCCTGGAAAGCAACGGAACAGATGGCAGCCCTCGTAAACTCGTCTCAGCAGAGGCTTACGAACAGCTGAAGGATGATTACGAGAAGCAAATCACAGCCCTTAAAGAAGCTTTGGAGAAGATCAGCCTCCCGGATGATCAGATCAGAGAGAACCGAGCGACGGAAAATAAAGCCGGATCGGAGCCGGAAGGAAAAAGCAAATTCAACCCAGTAACCCGAGAAGAGATGGAGGAGCTGATGAATGAGCTGAGTGAGACCCAGAAGAAATATCAGGCAGCTTTGGCTGAAGTCAAGATCCTTGAAGAACAGATTGAGCTGGGCATCTTGTCCGTGGAGGAGAAAGAAGCTACGGAGAGTTCCAGAACTGAACTCGAGACGGTCAAGGCTGCTCTGCACCAGACTCGGGAGGAGCTGAAGGAGCAAGATCAGAAGATGAAGGATTTGGAAGGGCTGCTCAGGGATCAAGAAGAAAGAGGGGCTCAAAACTGCTCCATTAAGGCGTACGAGGAGATGAAAGCCACCCTTGGTGCCTCCTTGGATGCAGTGTCCCAGGAGAAAGAGGTCCTTCTAAAGAGATGCACCTCTGCGGAAACAGAACTAAGAGAACTGAGGGCCACCTTGAAGGAGGAGAGACACGAGATGCTTGAAGGAAGGTCTTCCGTAAGCCAGGCCCTTCAGGAGGAGACCAGCAAGCTGCGAGAGCAGCTAAAGGCCATGACGAAGCAACACGAAGAGGTGAAGGCTCACGTCGAGGAGCTCCAAGAAGGCCGGGAGAAGCTGGAAGAGGAGCTTCAAGCGACCAAGGAGAGGCTGGCCTCTCAGTGTGTCTCCAGAGTGGACCACGAAGACATGGTGGAGAAGTTGAAGACCGCCCTCTCCGGGGCTGAGAAGAAGCTGCTGGAGATGAAAGAGAAGTACACCTCTACCCAAACCAAGCTGGCAGAACTTCAGAAGACCACCGAGGCTTTCAGGCGAGAGTCGGTGCCCCTGGCCGAGCATGCCCGAGCCAAGGAGGCCTTGGAGGGCACCTTGTGGGAGTTGAAGGCCAAAGCAAAGCTGTTAGAGCAGGAGCTGAAAGCCAAAGCCCAAGAGGCCTCCCAACTCCAGGCCCAGCTGGATGAGATCCGTCAAGGCGCCGTTTCCAAGGAGGCCCACGAGCAGCTAAGAGTCACCTCGCAGGCTGAAATCGAGGCCCTGAAGGCAAAGCTGAGCGACCTGGGCTGCAAACACGAACGGACCTGCACGGAAGTCTTCCAGGTGCAGCGGGAGGCCCTCTTCATGAAGAGTGAGAAGCACGCGGCCGAGGCGCAGCTAGCCGCCGCCGAGAAGCAGTTGCAGAGCCTGAGGGCGGAGTCCGAACGTCTCCAGGAGCTGCACACCCACATCGAGGACTCGGCCAAGCTGGTCAAAGAGAAAGACAAGAAGGTGAGTCCTGTTTGATTCATCCGAAAAGGGGCTCTTGGACTTGTCCTATTGCCTCCAGTTTTGGTCACCACACTATAAAAAAGATGTTGAGACTCTAGAAAGAGTGCAGAGAAGAGCAACCAGGATGATTAGGGGACTGGAGGCTAAAACATACGATGAATGGTTACAGGAACTGGGCATGGCTTGTTTAGTGAAGTGAAGGATCAGGGGAGACATAATAGCAGTCTTCCAATATTTGGGGGAGCTGCCAAAGAGTGGAGGAAATATAAAATTTCCTCCACTCTGTGGTGAAATGTAAAATTTGTTACTACCGGTTCTGTGGGTGTGGCTTGATGGTGGTGGTGGGTAATGTGACTGGGTGGGCGTGGCCAACTTTTTTATTTTATTTTTTTTACTTTTAAAAGCATTTTTTCTACAACCTCTTGAAGAGGTTGTAAAAAAATGCTTTTAAAAGCCTCTGATGATCAGGCAACTCAGCTGGGATCGTCAGAGGCTTTTGAAAGCATTTTTTTTTCTATCTAGTCCAACAGTGGGTTGGACTAGAAACCTCCAAGGTCCCTTCCAACTCTGTTATTCAGAGTTGGAAGGGACCTCGGAGGTCTTTTAGTCCAACCCACTGTTCAAGCAGGAGACCCTATATCATTCTGGAGAAATGTCTATCCAATTTCTTCTTAAAAACCTCCAGTGTTGGAGTACCCACAACTTCTGGTGGCTAGCCGTTCCACTGGTTAATTGTTTTAACTCAAGTTAGTCCGAGAGCATCTTTTCAGCATCTTGTTTGTTATGTCCTGTGCATGGATAAGCCAATAATTCTTTATATAAGAGTTGATTGCACATTTTGAGTATATAATTTAAGAGCAGATTAACTTCTCAGTTCTGGCTTTGTATGTTACCGCCAATGTGTAAAATTAGGTATTTTGTAGAATGTCTAGGAAATCTATAGAATGCCAAAAAATGGGACATCAAACTATGAATGGCCTAACCTCTCTTTTAAATTGTTTTTAAATTTTTTTAAAAATTTTAAATTTGAAACTTGTCTTATGAATTTGAGGTGTTTTAAATTTGTTTTCCAGGCCAATTATTTAATTGTATTTTAATGGTTTTTTAACATTTATATTATATGTATTTTATTCGGCTGTTCACCGCCCTGAGTCCTTCAGGAGTAGGGTGGTATACAAATTCAAATAATAATAATAATAATAATAATAATAATAATAATAATAATAATAATAATAATAATAATAATAATTTTGCTTCGACCACCTGATCAGTGGATGCAGCAAAATTTCACAAACTGACTACCTACAATGCCATGACTGTGTTGCTAAGATCATTCACTGGAAATTGTGCCAGAAGTTTGGATTTGAGTACAGCAAAAACCACTGGGAACATCAGGTTGAGAAAGTTTTAGAGAATGAGAAACTCAAGATCTTGTGGGACTTTAGGATTCAGACTGACAGGCACTTGGTCCACAACACACCTGACATAACAATAGTTGAAAAGAAAAAAGTATGGTTCATTGACATTGCAGTACCTGGTGATGCACGGATTGAAGATAAGCAGCAAGAAAAAATCACAAAGTACCGGGATTTGCAAATTAAAGTTGAGCGACTGTGGAAAAAGAAATCGTGTGTTGTCCCGATTGTAATTGGAGCCCTTGGAGCAATACCCAAAGGGCTACCTCGCTATTTAGAAATTCTAAATTTGCCGGACTTGAACATTTTGACTCTACAAAAAAACCACCTTACTCGGACAGCTTACATCCTCCGACGATATCTTAACAGTTCCTAGGTCCTTGGTTAGGACTCGAGCTGCTGAGCTATTAACCAGCCTCAAAGGCTGTGAATCTCACCAAAGATTAACCAATAATAATAATAATAATAATAATGAAAAGCTTAATATTTTGGACATTTCCTAGGCATTCCATGCAATGCCAAAAGGCAAACTGGCAAAGTATATAAAATATTCCTGCTAAAATGTCAGTCAAGCCTTCCTCAAGTAGGTTACAGCGGCACTGAAAAAAGTGACTTACGACCAGTATTGGCTGGCTGGGGAATTCTGGGAATTGAAGTCCACAGATCTTAAAGTTGCCAAGGTTGGACGCCCCTTGTGTGAACTGAAATTAGCTGAAATTCCTTCTCTTTTTCTCAACTCAGGTCTTAATTCTTTTGATTTCTCACTCCTTTTCTGGGCTTACCTCAAAAGGGTATGGACCTATGGAAATTAAGCAGAAGAATCCAGATGTGTGGCTTATTGGGTGTGAAAAATAATGGTTGCCCTGGTGTCACTATTTCCCTTCCTTCCTCGGCAGATCACAGAGCTCTCCAAAGAGGTTTTCAAACTGAAAGAAGCTCTGAAGGACCTTTCAGAGCTATCTAGTGGTGCTTCCCCTAAAGGGATCTTCTCATCAAAGACAGAGAGTGAACTGGACGTAGCTACCTTCCAGAGGAGAATTAAAGATCTGGAGCAGCAATTGATTGTGAGTATCTTACAAAGGAAGGAAAGGAGAATTAAGGAGAGACTCAAAGAGATGTTTTAGGAGGGTCCTTCAAGCTCAATTGTCTGGTTTCTTTCACTTGAGATGGGTCAGGTGTTCCTCGGAAAATGAACAGGGAGTAATGTATTGGTAAGACCACATTTGGAATAGCACTTAGACTTATATACCACTTCACAGCAAATATATACCACATATATACCACTTTACTGACCTTGGAAGGATGGAAGGCTGAGTCAACCTTGAAGTGGTTAGGATTGAACTGCTGGCAGTGAGAAGAGTTAAGCCTGCATTCTAAGCATGGCACCACCACGGCGCTTAGATCCAGTTTTGGTCGGCATGATACAAAAAAGATGTGGAGGCTCTAGAAAGAGTGCAGAGAAGAGCAACAGAGATGATTAGGGGGCTGGAGGTTAAAACATATGAAGAATGGTTGCAGGGATTGGGTATGTCTAGTTTAATGAAAAGAAGGACTAGGGGAGATGTGGACTAGGACTAGCAGTGTTTTAATATCTGAGGAGCTGCCAGAAAGAAGAGGGAGTCAAACTATCCTCCAAAGCATCTGAGGGCAGGACAAGAAGCAACCAATGGACACTAATCAAGGAGAGAAGCAACCTAGAATGAAGGAGAAATTTCCTGACAGTGAGAACAATTAATCTTGCTTCCAGACATTGTGAATGCTCCAACAGTGAAGGTTTTTAAAAAGAGATTGGACAACCATTTCTCTGAAATGGTATACAGCAGGGGTCAAACCCGCGGCCCATGGGCCAGAGGTGTCACGTGCTGGCCACGCCCATCCTGTTTAGCGAAGGGGGGGAAAGTTGCAATACGTCACGTGACGTGTCATTGTGAGTTTGACACCCCTCATATAAGGTCTCCTGGGTGAGCAGGGGGTGAGTCTAGAAGATCTCCAAAGTCCCTTCTAACTCTCTTATTCTGTTAAAATCCCATCTCCAGATGAGATGGAGATGACCTGTGTGCCATGTATTTCCACAGTTCCTTTAACAACGTAATGGCACATATCGTAATCAACCAACCAATCAAAAGCTCTTCACTATATCTTGCTTGAATAAAAGGAAGACGTTTGCATGAGGTGGAACTGATTAGAAGAGATGGGATCCATCGCATGAGATGGGACCAACCCTTGAAGCTGTGGTAGTTAGCTAAACGCCTCTGAAAAATCCAATGTCCTGTAAGAAATTTTAAAATTAACCCCCACAATTTTCATAGGGTCGAGAATAGCTAGTTGGGAATCCTATTACTAACCGAATAAACTCACCTGGTAAATTCAGAATGAGGGCTGTTAAACAGGCAAGCTCTCCTCAGACAAGAAAAAAATTTGGAGACGTTTGTGACCGCAGTGAATTTCACTTGAAATAGTCTTAGCTGAGCCATATCGGTTATTTTACTTTATTTTAAACTATTTCTCTTAATTCTCTCTTTGTACTAGGAATCTGAGCGACGCCATAGCAATATCATCTCTTTGTACAGAGGGCACCTTCTCTATGCTATCCAGGTGAGTTGGCCCAGGTCTTCTTCGTTCCTGACAATGAGTTAGAAATATTTCATATTGTGTGGGAAAAGAAAAAGAATCTGGAATATGTTTGGCAGGGACCCAAAGTAGAGAGGAGGAGGAGCTAGAGGACTGGACTGCCGTTTGAGTGTGGGGACACAGCTAGTGACAGGGACCCAGTTGGTGGGTCTGAATGTGAAGGTGAGAGAGGGCACAGGGGTTGCCTGAACATCTAGAATGACTGAAAGGGACCTTGGAGGTCTTCTAGCCCAACCCCCTGCTCAAGCAGGAGAACCTATACCATTTCAGATAAAGTGACTGTCTAAACCAGGGGTGTCAAACTCAAAGCCCGGGGGACGGATCTGGCCCATGGGTGCTTAGTTCTGGTCTGTGGGGCTGCCCTGGAAACAGTGAAGGACCGGCCTGCAGTGCCTCTGCCAGAGAAAACGGAGCTCAGGAGGGCTGCACACAGCCCTCCCGTGCTCCATTTTCGCTGACAGAGTTGCAGGAGGCCCTCACGGCCAAAAACAGAGCTCGGGAGCCCATTTTCACTGGCAGAGCACTCGGACCACCACAGGTGCCCCCGACACGAGTGATGTCAAGCTGGCCACGCCCACCCCAGGCCCCCAAGGTCAAACACCATCCTCATGCGGCCCTCAATGAAATCGAGTTTGACACCCCTGGTCTAGATTCTTCTTAAAAACTCCCAGTGATGGAACATCCACTTCTAGTGGCAAGCTGTTCCTCTGGTTAATTGTCCTCACTGTTAGGAAGTTTCTCCTTAATTCCAGGTTGCTTCTCTCTTTGATTAGTTTCCAACCATTGTTTCTTGCCCTGCCCTCTATTTGGGGGGTCTGTGTGTGTTTGTGTGGATTTGTGCACGCACACACTCCCATGCTTGTTCCAAAACTGATTTTGGCTTTGGAGCTGAATAACTGCCCATCCCTAATAACTAATGTGTCCAAGTTAGTTTAAAAGTCCTGTTCAAGCAATAAAACTTCGCATCAGGAATTACTTATCCTTCATGTTAGCGCACACAGATAGTCCTTAAGTTACAAACACATTTGAGCCCAAAATTTACGCTAAGTGAGAAGCTTGTTAAGTGAGTCTTGCCCCATTTTACAATTTTTCTCGCCACATTTCTTTTTTTTTTTTATTGAAAAAGTTTTCAAATACAAATTTTCCCCTTTTTTTCCCCCTCTCCCTCCCCCTCCCTAACCCCCCCTCCCCACCCATCCCCCCCTGTGACTTCTTCATAACAAAAAAAAAAAACCTAATTCATAACAGATTACTTACTCCCTCCTCTAGATATTGACCTTTACTTACTAAAAGTATTATTAATATTATAACATCCCCCTTTATCCATACATTTCAGAAAAGAGAAAAGAAAGGAAAAAAAAAAGACATTATACTATAACATTATAGAATAACTTCTCCACTTTAAAACTATACAATAAGTCCTACTTTAACATTTAATCTTCTATATATGTTACTATAACATTTCAAAGCGGCCTTCCCCATAAAATCTAGTTTAACATTTATTCCACTCTATCCATTTCCTCCACTCCCCTAAATATATCACTTAAAAATCCCTTTTCTTAGACTAATCAATCTACTAACTAGTTTATTCACCCACTATCATACAAAATTACCATACACAACATTTCTTAATATCTTTGATTCACTGCCCACACTACTTAAAAATATATGTCTATATTTTCCATTATATCTAAATAAAAAAAGAAGAAAAGACAATGACTTTAAATTTATAATCCATATAGTATCTTCTTTGAGGTCTTTCCACTGGATTGGTAGAACCAACATCCATGATTGGGTAACATAGCTTGCTAGTGCAACAGTTTATTCAGGATCTTCAATCATATCTGCCCCCATCAGTAGTAAATATCTTCTTATATGTATAAAAGTAAAAACAACCACCCGAGTGACATTATAATTATATTCCATATAGTAATAATTGTGGGTTTCATCAGGATTATTAATTCCCATCATCGTAGTGGGTAACAACCCGATCTTCTGCATGCCCCTGCATCATTCTCTTGCCTTGTAATTCAAGATAATATAATATGTTTATCAACACAAAAAGAAATTCCAAAATGGATAATTCAAATCCATCAGTTTAAGGCTCGTTCACGTCCCCAAATTACGGCCATGCAGAGATCTGCCACAATCCTCAGGATGATATTAACCAATACGTCGCCTCTTCTGTGTTTACACATAATCATTCATATTTTAAAGTCACTGGCTTCACTGTTGCCTAATTTAAAAATTTCTATTTTTATGCCACCTATTTCTCTTTTTCTTTTCTTTTTGTGGGTTTGGTTTCCATCCTGGTTTCCTTTCTACAAATTGTATATCATCTGGTCGGTTTTTATTCTGCTTTGTAGATTGGTCTTGGTTTTGTTTTTGTATCTCATGTTTCTTTTTTATCCCTTGTATATCCCCTAGTTGGTTTCCATGCTTATCCTTGCCTTGATAAGTCATCACATTAAAATTAGATGCCACTTCTCTCAAATTTGTAGATAGTCCAGCTGGGGTATCCAATAAATCCAAAGGCAATTCATCTGGTACAGTCTCTATAATTCGATATTTTACCTTTATTTCCGGCTCCTTCTGCTTATCCTGTATTATACCTGAAGATGTTAAGTTCATTTTCAACCTATTTTGATAAAATTTTTCCGCTCTTTCAACAGTATTTAGCTGATATCTTTCTCCTTGATATCTAAATATAATACCAACTGGGGCGTCCCACCTGAATGAAATATTTCTCTTTTTTAACTCATTCACCAGAAAACCAAATTTCTTCCTTTCCATCAATATCTTAGGTGGGAGTTCCTTGTAAATCCAAATCTTTCTTCCATACAATTGCAAATTAGAATTGAAGGAATTTTGCACGATATTATTCCTAATTTCCTTATCTGTAAAATAAATCACCACGTCTCTAGGCAATTGCCTTTGCTTGGCAATCCAGGAGTTGATTCGATAAACTCTGTCAATCCTACAAAACACTTCGTCAGGTTGAACCTTTAGAATCCCAGCTAGAAATTCAGAAGATATTTTCCTTAAATCATCTCTATTATTTTCCTGCAAACCTCTTAATCTTATCGCATATTCTGTGAAATTATATTGTACCATTAAAATCTCTTTTTCAATCTTCTGTTGCAGATTTTCTGCATTACCATGCTTTTGATCAGCATCCATTTTAGGTTTTTCTTCTAAGCTATTATCCCGAGTGTTTGTCAAATCATTTTCAATTTTTTGAATTCTATTGTCCAATTTATCTTGAATTTCTTCCATTTTAGACTCTAGTACATTAGTATTTGTGTCCAACTGTATCATAAATTCTGTAAAACCATTAGCCACTTTTGAGAATTCTTTGTCCAAAGAATCAAACTTAGATTTCACCAATTCTTTAATTTCTTTAATTTCCTGCTTAAATTTTTCAAGTTGCTGATTCACAATCTCCTCCCTTCTTTCAATCTCCTCTATAAAAAATTCTGTTATATTAAAATCAGGTTTCTGAGACTGAAGAGTTAAGACTTGTTCCTTTAAATTATTGGTGGGGGAATCCCCCCCCTTCTTGTTTATCTGACTTTATGAGTCTCAGTGCCATGTTTCCGCCCAGGCAGGCTTTGTTAAAAAAAAAAAGCAAGAAAGACTTCTTTCCAATCAACAACAATATCAGATCTCCAAGGGAAAAAAAAGAGAAAAAGACACAGGAGCGAAGTTTTGTCTACAAATGTAGCCAGTGGTATTTATTCCGCTACATTGTAGTAATAGAAAATGGAAGGACTTTCCCTTTCAGCCTCTCCTCCAGCCGACGCCATTTTAAAAGGCTTTTTTTCCTCTTTCTTTTCCTCCTCTCTCTTAAGTAATTTTTTTTTTAAAAAATCAGTAAAATACTTGCGGTTCAGTATTACAGGTCCAGCTCACATTTCTTTGAGTAATCTGTTAAATTTGCAGGCCTGGCTCTGCATCAGCAGAGGTCTCCCAAAGCCCGGAGCAGCGGCTGGGGATACGGGGCATCTCATCCGCTCCGTACCAAAAGTAAAGAAAAAACTTTTGGGACTCCGCAGAGAGTTCTACCCACCCCTGCTGGCTCTATCTCTGTTTCCTCGTGGAAACGGAGTTTTTTCGAGCCGCCATTCCGTTGTGAAGGCGGCTCTGACAGGTGATGGAAGCTGACGATCCCAAAGGAACGTCTGGCAGCGACAAACAGCAAACCGGAAGTCTCGCCACATTTCTTAAGTGAATCACTGCAGTTAAGTTAGTAACACGGTTGTTAAGCGAACCTGGCATCCCCGTTGACTTTGCTTGTCAGGTCGCAAAAGCAGATCATGTGACTCCGGGACATTGCAACCATCATGTGAGTCAATTGTCAAGTACCAGAGTGTAAATCACGTGACCACGGGGATGGTGCAACAGTCATAAGTGTGAAAATTGGCCATAAGTCACTTTTTTCAGTGCTGTTGTAACTTCAAACAGCCACTAAATGAAGTATTGTAAGCCGAGGACTACCTGTATGGCAGTATTTCAATTTATTTTGACTCTTTCATAGAGCCAGTTTAGGAATAAACTATGCAGGCCGATGTCCAACTGGTCAGCATCAGAGCCTCTGAAAAAGATAGTGCATTCCAGGCTCAATTCCCCACCGAGTTCTAAAGTCTTTCCTGGACCAAATTCTTATCTTTCCAGCCAGAGTTAAAGTATGGAAAGGAATAAGTAGATAAATAAATATATAAATAAATATATAAATCCTTTAGAACCATATTTCTCAACCTTGGCAACTTTAAAGATATGCAGACTTCAACTGCCAGAATTTCCCAGCCCACAAAACAACAATCACAAAAACCCATCCCAGACATGATGGGATGGGTGGATATAACTGGAGAGGAAGTGTCTCAGATCATCCAGCCCCACGTCACGTAGGCCCTTATAGGTCATAACCAGCAGCAGGAATTGAATCCAGAAGCTGACTGGCAATCAATGACGCTCACAGAGCAAAGAGGTCATGAGAATTCCTTGGTGCTCTCTAAGCTTGTTTTCTTGGAGACGTTTCATGACCCAACTAGGTAATATTATCAGTGCTAGAAGGGAATGGGGTTTATGGAAAGGAAGAGTGTGGGGTCTTTTGTACTCTCTGAGCTTGGTGGAGTTTTTTGCAGACATTTCATTATCCAACTAGATAACATTATCAGGGCTACAAAGGAGTGGGGTTTACGGAGAGGAAGAAGAGGAGGGGGAGAAGGAAGAGTATGGGGTCCTTGGTGCTCTCTGAGCTTGGTGGTTTTCTTACAGACATTTCATGACCCAACTACCTAGGTAACATTATCAGTGCTAGTGTGATGAGCACTGATAATGTTACCTAGTTGGGTCATGAAATGTCTGCAAGAAAACCACCAAGCTCAGAGAGCACCAAGAACCCCTCATGTCAACTCTGAGCTACAAACATTCTCCTTTATCAGAGAGATCGTGACTGCTGATCTTGTAGGGATTCCCTCAAGCACAATCTCCTTGAATAGTGAGATGTTATTGGACATCTGTCCTCTTGTAGGAACAAAGGCAAAAGTCCTCCTACCAGCCAAAATGCTTGATTAAATGCTGAGGAACATCTCCAGATGTTCATGATCTCATTTTTGTTTTTTTTCCCCTTTCTGCTCCTCTCAGGGCCACATGGATGAAGATGTCCAAAGAATCCTCTTCCAGATTTTGAAGATGCAAAGTCTCCAAGAACAAGGCAGATGAGACAAGGCGACTGGTCGCAGACTCGAACCCGGGGTGGGGTGGGCAGGCTGGGACATTTCCTTGGGGAAGAAGGACATCAAGATCACACCAACTATCCAGTCCAACGGTGAGCCAGGAAGGGAGTAGAGCAGCTGGAACCCAAATGCCTTTGAATTGCTTCACAGCAGGCAGGAAATCCTTGGCACCGTCACTTTGCCATGTCCACGGTGGCCAAAGCTCTCCCAGCTGAATATCTGCCTGCAATCACAATGTTAAAGGCTACAGGGTCATAGCAAGGGGGTAGAGTAGAAAGAGAGATGAAAGATCTAGGGTGGGACAGGGGTGTGATCCCTAGTGGTCAGCTGTTTATTTCCACTGCATCTAATGGCAAAAAAAATATTGAGTCCCTATGCTTCCTTACTGGGGAATCTCCCGCCAATCGGTCTCTCGGAAAACAGACTACCGGCAAGGTTGTTGTTTTGGTAAAATGGGGGCAAATATGTAGTTTTGACTTCTGTACCAGGGTATTGGTGTGTGAGTGTGTGTGTTAAATGGTTGAGTTGAGGGTCACATCCGCATAATCGAAGCCGGATTTCTTTTTAACGTGTTTTGTAAAAACATGCAGAAAAGGAGCAGGGCTGCAATCTTGACTTTTTTGCCCGCCCTGCTCGTGCAGAGAAGCAGTGGGATGGAAATGTAGTAATCTTTTTTTTTAACACGGAGAAAGGACAAAGTTAGTTACAGGTAGTCCTCGATTTATAATCATTTAATGACCGGAGTTACAACAGAACTGAAAAAAATGACATATGACAGTTTTTCACACTTATGACCATTGCATCCTCCCCAGTCACGTGATCAAAATTCAGACACTTGGCTACCATCTCGTATTTATGACAGTTGCAGTGTCCCAGTGTCACGCATTCCCCTTTTGCGACCTTCTGACAAGCCAGTGGGGAATCCAGATTCGCTTAACGACCATGTGACTCATTTAACAACTGCAGTGATTCACTTGTCAAGAACGGTCGTGAAATGAGGCAAGATTCACCTAACAACTGTCTCACTTAACAACAGAAATGTTTGGCTCAATTGTGGTCGTAAGTTGAGGACTACCTGTATGGGAAGTCTGGGGTCCGAAAGCAAGTCACTGTATCTGCTGAAATATTACAGAGTGTGAAAAACAACCCTGCCAAGATGTTAAATTAGGCAAATGAGTTTAAATTCTTAACATTTAATCACTGTTAATTGTCTTTTAAAATTGAAATGATTGGGATGAAATGCCCAAAGCTGGGAAAACTTTTAGTAGCCAGGGGGGAAAAATGCAATTATAGTCTTCCATAATTTTAGCATGCATTTGAGAATGAATCTCAATGGCTTAATTTCTGGATCAGGGTGCAAATAAGATAATGGTGCAAATAAGATTTCCAGTCAAATTATGCAACTCCTTAGCCTTTCCCGTGACTTCCAATGAATTATAGTAATTTGTGCTAAAAAGTAAAAAAAGAATCTCTTCCTGCACTGAGCAGAATTGGATATTGTCTAGGGTTCCTTTCATTCTACCTGAATGTCTGGTTTTCACAAAAATCAAGATGGCAGCCACAATACAGATAGTCCTTGATTTACGACAGTTCATTTAGTGACTGAAGTTACAATGGTACTGAAAAAAGTGACATGATAGTTTTTCATGCTTACAACCATTGCAGCATCCCCATGGTCAAGTGTACAAAATTTGGGCACAGGGCAACTGACTCATCTTTATGACAGTCGCAATGTGATCTCCTTTTGGGACCTTTTGACAAGCAAAATCAATAAGGAAGCCAGGTTCACTTAACAACCGTGTTCCTAATTTAACAATTGCAGTGATTCACTTAGCAACTGTGTTAAGAAAGGACGTGAAGTGGGCCAAAATTCACTTAAGGAACGCCTCACTTAGCAACAGAAATGTTAGGCTTAATTTTGGTCGTAAATTGAGGACTCCCTGTATTGTGATAAGAGCTCTGCTTTGGTTTAAAATGTGCCTCGAGACTGCCACCTCTTTTTTTTGGGGGGGGGAGCTCACCCCTTGAGGACACCCCTGATTCTGTGGCCAACTGACTTGGTTCCTTGATTCTATGCAGGCTTCCAAATGACGTTCTTCCAGATACAGTTTTTTTTTAAGGTGCATTTTAAAATCTGGAATCTCTGCACAAGGAAACCAAGATTGTAAGGCAAGGATGTGAAGCCTTTAAATTTAGGATGGGCGAGGTTTGATTGTAGGGATGAGTGAAGTTGGTGGCTCCAATGGTCAAATTCTGTGGACCACTGTTGGAATTTTTAAGGAAAAGGTCCAGCCTGTGTTTTTTTTCAGTTAGAGATTAGATTAGGATTAGAGATTAAGTTTACTTTGGCTGTATTGTAGAACAGTGCTTGTTAACCATGACAACTTTAAGATGAGTGGACTTCAATTCCCAGAATTCCTCAGGCGCCCATGCTGGCTGGGGAATTCTGGGAGTTGAAGTCCACCCATCTTAAAGCTGCCACAGTTAACAAATACAACCATAGTTTAGTTTAGTTTAGTTTATTTGATTTGTATACCGCCTTACTCCCGAAGGACTCAGGGCGGTGAACAGCCAACAATAAAATACATAGATACAAAAAAATTAAAACCAGAATAAAATCAAATTAAATCATTTTGGCCCAGACAGATTAAAACACCCCAATAATTTAAAAACAGATTAAAATTTACATATTTAAAAAGGGAGAGATTAGGCCAAGCCCGCCTGATGGAATAAAAAGGTCTTCACAGCACGGCGGAAGGAGCGCAGATCCGGGATCCTCCGTATCTCCGGGGGAAGCTCATTCCAGATGGTAGGTGCCCCCACAGAGAAGGCTCTCCCCCTGGGGGCCGCCAGTCAACACTGTTTGGCTGACGGCACCCGGAGGAGTCCCTCTCTATGAGAGCGTACTGGCTGGTGGGAGGCTATTGGTGGTAGTAGGCGGTCCCGTAGATAACCAGGACCATACATGGCTGGCTCAGGAATTCTGGGAGTTGAAGTCCACAAGTCATAAAAGGGACATCGTTCCCCACCCCTGCCAAAGTTCAGAAGCAAATTGACCACAAGAACTCCACAACTGCACATCGTTGTTAAAAGCAAAAGTTGCATAGAGGATTTGACTACTGAGCTGTGGATTTGGGGCTGTGTTTTGTGTATATGTGCGTTTCAAAGGCCAAACCAATGAATACAGGAGTGGCAGTGAGATAGGTTTAGCTAAAGATGCCAACCTTACGGCCTGATTTTGCTTCTGTGCATTCATAAGGAGCTTAATGAAGACAAATAAAGACAGTCCTCGTTTAGCGACTGCCTCATTTAGCGATCAGTATTAAGACAAGGATGGAAAAAAGTAACTTGGCCAGCCGTCCTCGCATGGATGATCTTTGCAGGTCTGGAAGGACAAAGGAAAGCTGGAGGGAAACGTTGGTTTCACTTAAGTGACCGCTTTACTTAACGACTGAGGTGCCAATCCCAATTGGGGTTGCTAAATGAGGACTATCTATACAGTCTTTTTAGAGAAAGTGTTCCCTGCTAAATACAGGCAGTCCTCAAGATATGACCGTAATGGAGCCTGCCAATTACAGTCACTTCTTGAGACGTTCATTAGGTGAAACAGCTAATGCCCCCATTCCTTGGCTCTCCCTGATAGAAACGCTAAACGAACAAAAACAAACAGGAGTCATTCAACAGAGCCTCGGAGGTGGGAGAGACCCTCAGAGGGTTGTCTGCCATAGGCCTCCCGAGTCTATCCCCACTCGTGGTCATTCTCACTGGGGTCCCTGCAATCCTTCCTTGGCACCAGCAATTAAGGGCATATCGGGGTAGATGGAGATTGGAAGCCAAAGAAAGGAAGGAGAAATAGAACATAAACAGAGTTGGAAGGGACCTTAGAGGTCTTCTAACCCAACCCCCTGCTCGTGCAGGAGACCCTATATAATAATAATAATAATAATAATAATAATAATAATAATAATAATTTTATTTCTATACCGCCCTTCTCCCGAAGGACTCAGGGCGGTGTACAGCCTATATACCATTTCAGATAAATTATTGTCCAGTCTCTTTTTGATGGAGCACCCACAACTTCTGAATGCAAGTGGTTCCATTGGTTGATTGCTCTCACCATTAGGAAATTTCTCCTTAGTTCGAATTTGGGTCTCTCCTTGGCTGGTTTCCATCCATTGTTCCTCATCTTGCCTTTCAGTGCTTTGGAAAATAGCTTGACCTCCTCGTCTTTGTAGGAGCCCCTCAACTATTGGAAGACTGCTATTATGTCCACCATAGTTCTTCTTTTCGTTAAACTAGGTCTGAGGTCTTCAAACTTGGCAGCTTTAAGACTTGTGGACTTCAACTCCCAGAATTGCTGGCTGGAGAATTTTGGGAGTTGAAGTCCACAAGTCTTAAAGTTGCCAAGTTTGAGGACCCCTGAAGTAGGCATACCCAATTCCTGTATGAGAACTGATGAGGATGAGAATCAGTGGCACCAAAATGTTGTAACAGGTTCATAAACTTTTGATTCCTATAGTATTTTGGAACAGGGTCGTTGGGTCCATGACCCTGTTGCAAAATATTGCAGAAGTTTGCTATGTGGCCGGCTGCCTGCGTAAGAAACTGATCCTGCAGGGGCAGGTGACTTTCTCCGAGGCTTAAAAATCAAAAAGACAAGTTAGCTGGGCCCCTGGAGCAAACTTGGGTCCTGCTTGGGTGAGATCTCCCCTTCGTTTCTGTGGCTTCTGAGCCCCAAATTCTCATTTCTCCTTCCTTTCTTTGGCTTCTGAGCTCCAGCTGATTTGGTGCCACTGCCTGATTTCCACTGGGTGGACGAAGGTACCCAGCGGGATGGCGGATGGGTGGGTGAGCCCTGCAGCATCCCTGCAGTCGGTCATAAGAGTGAATTACTGCAGCCATCGTATCTTTGAAACCAAGTTGCAAGTAGCTCTTAGGTAGTCGTTTGTAACTTCAAATGGTCTCTAAGCATTCAGAATACAGAATAACAAGAGTTGGAAGGGATCTTTGAGGCCATCTAGTTCAACCCCCTGCTCAAGCAGGAGTCTCTATTCCATTCCGGACAAATGGTTGTCCAATCTCTTTTCGAAAACTTCCAATGATGGACTTGTCATTGTTTTTCCTTGAAGACGTTTCGCTTCTCATCCAAGGAAGCTTCTTCAGTTCTAACTGAATGGCGGAGAACAGAAGGATTTATATTCCTTGCAATCCTTCTGTTCTCCATCATTCAGTCAGAACGGAAGAAGCTTCTGGGATAAGAAGCGAAACGTCTTCAAGGAAAAACAAAGGAAGTCCAGTTGCTTTTTTGAAAAAAGCACCTTTGGGACAACCATGACCTGGATGACTGAGAATCTTCATAGACCTCCTCCATTGGAAGCAAGATGCTCAGCCTATTCCAAATATTAAGATGTCGGTTTTTGCATTTAAGTCTGTGTGTGTTGTCTGAAGGGCCAACCTGGGTCAAAGTAGCCTAGGGAGACTGCATTTCAATAGCGGCTGGGGAGTGAGGGCATTTCTGGAGGGGCAGTCAGGAGTTTTAAGGGGGAAACTGGCTTTCTTAAGCATCTTTAAGGCACAATGGAATTTTTAGCTCTAGTAATTCTGGGTGGGCACAGAAGGAATGTTGGCAATCCACTATTTTTCCATCCTGACATTAAAAAAATTGGAAATTCTGGACAGGTGGGGGCATCATAAGATAAAGCAACAGGGGAACAAGGGTGGTTAATAATTTCCTTGCATGGTTCAGCAGAGGATCTGTACGAAAATTCACTGTGTCGCTGCCTTTCTTTTCACAATTCACAGCAATAAAACATCTGCCTTTGCTCTGCTTATTTAACTCTTTTCAAAATCTTGAGGTCTGGCAGTTTGACGATCCTGTTTCTGCCAGTTCTGCGGGTGATAAAACTTGAATTGATCCCCATTATTGGGGAAAAAGGAGGTCCCAGCTAGAGGGCTAGAATCAAAATCACATGAAGTCTTAATACCACTTTATAATGCCTGGGTAAGACCACACTTGAAATGCTGCATCCGGTTTTGATTACCATGATATAAAAAAGATGTTGAGACTCTAGAAAGAGGGCAGAGAAGAGCAACAAAGAGGATTAGGGGACTGGAGGCTAAAACATATAAAGAATGGTTGCTAGAATTGGATATGTCTAGTTTAATGAAGGACTAAGGGTGACATAATAACAGTGATCCAATATTTGAGGGGCTGCCATGAAGAGGAGGGAATCAACTTATTCTCCAAAGCACCAGAAGGCAGGACAAGACACAATGGATGGAAACTAACCAAGGAGATAGCTAACCTAGAAATAAGAGAGAAATTTCCTGACAGAACAATTAACCAGTGGAACTGCTTGCCTCCAGAAGTTGCGGGTCCTCCAATACTGGAGGTCTTTAAGAAGAGATTGGACAGCCATTTGTCTGGAATGGGGTAGGATTTCCTGCCTGAGCAAAGGGTTGGACTAGAAGACCTCCAAGGTTCCTTCTAACTTT